TAAACAAACTTTGGTAATGCATCGGTGGGAAAATACTCTCGCCAAATATCGGGTACTGTCGGTAACTTGCGACCACTATCGTAGAAGTCTTGGGCTCCTGTTAATTTTCGTGTTTACTTACATTACTAAGAACGCGCCCTGTAACCAAAGCTTATTTGCCCTCGTAAAATCGCCCAAACTGTACGTTTGGTTTATTTGTTGATTTTTTACGCTCCTGGTTAAGGACTGGTGTAGAAAGCAATACGTATGGGTAATGTTGACTGACTCCATATGTATATCTTTAGTCGGCATTATTTACGTTTTTTTTATCAATTTTTGGTTAAGGGTAGAGATAAATAGTTTATGCTTAATTTGAATGAAAAAAATTTTAGTATATAATGTTATACACGATCAGCGCAATATGTATTAAATGCGGTAGAGGAAAAGAAGGTGTATAGAATGGTAACTTTGAGAGTTTGGGAGACTGCGATTCCCCGGTTTCAAAGTTTGAGACCGTGACTTGAGCGTTTTTTTTTTATACCCGAGCTTAAGACTTTACTTTTAAAAAATCCAAGCCCGAGACTCTAAGCGCCAAAAATTTCGAGGTAATGGTAAAAATAAAGCTAAATAAAATGCACGACCGAAAATGCGAATGGAAGCTGGCGGAAGCCCACCAATATTCTGCGTTAGCTAAGGCGCGTTGTGCGCCACTATCCGAGAAGCTAAAATCACCCACCATATATTAGTATATATTTAAAATATTAACATATTATTAATGCTAATAAGATGATTTACCACAGCAAACCGGTAAAGAATTAGTTCACTCAATGGACGCTTGTTCTATCTTCGGCTTGCGTTAATCTTGGTGTGACTTACATTACCACAAACGAGCGCTATCGAAATCGCCTAAACATTTGGTTTATTTGTTGATTTTTTACGCCCCTGGTTAAGGTGTAGAAAGCAACATGAGCAATGTTGACTGACTCCATATGCATATCTTTAGTCGACAATATTTACGATTTTCTATCCAGTTATAAAAATTTTTGGTTAAGGGTAGAGATAAATGGTTTATGTTTGATTTGAATGAAAGAAGGGTTACGTATATAATATTATACACGATCAGCACAATACGTAATATAGAGGAAAAGGCATGGAAAAGAAGGGGTATAGAATGGTAACTTTGCACTTTAGAAGACCACGAGACCCCGGCTTCAAAATTTGAGACCGTGACTTGAGCGTTTTTATTATATCCGAGCTTGAGACTTTACTTTTAAAAAAATCCGAGCCCGAGACTCTAAGAGCCAAAAATTTCGAGGTAGTGGTATAAATAAAGCTAAATAAAATACATGACCGAAAACGCGAATGGAAGCTGGCGAAAGCCCACCAATATTCTGCGTTAGCTAATATAATGCGAGTTGTGCGCCACATCCGAGAAGCTAAAATCACCCACCATATATTAATATATATTGAACCGAAATATTACCATATTAATTAAAAACCCTGATAAGATGATTTACCACAGTAAACTGGTAGAGAATTAGTTCACTCGATGGACGCTTGTTTTTTTTTCTGCTCTCATGGCTTCTCCGGACGTATCATTCGTGTCTGCTCATCCAGATTCCTCTATCATCGTTTTCGTACCCTGCGAAGGAAAGATCGAAGCGACTCTACTAGCAGGGTATCGTTTTCGTAAATGTTAGCTCCAAAACCAGCTCTAGTTCGACTCGAAAGCAAGCAAATGATATTCATATGGCAGTTGCAATATTTTGCAGTATAACGTTAAATTCGACAGTTGGGGACCAGCGTCATCCCCGACTTTTCTCGTCGCAAATATCACCGCCCCATCAGTCTTGTTTGCCTAAACAAAGGTACATGGAAATCATGCGAAAAAAGGTTCGGTATGAACGAGTATTGATGAAAGCTGTTTGTAGTTCGTTAAAGAATGCTTATGTGGATTTCTCGTCGAAGAATTGACAGAGAAATTTATTGTAGAGTGATTTATTGAGTTTTTAATGCCTTTTTTTTTACATATAAATGAAAGGGAAAAAACATTACATTACAAGAAATATTCACATTTCGTAACTAAAAAAATCTCAAAAGGCGAGGAAGTCTCAAGAAGCCACGAAGGCTTATAGGTGAGACTTCCTCTCTACATTAGATTTTATTATAGTTATTCATTAAATATATACTTATGTAAATAAAGAACAGCATATATTAGAGTAATTTACAAGTGTATAGAAAATATTAAGAAAAAGTTAATTGTCTCAGTAATAATTAGTAATAAATTACAAACGATTTATTGAGCTTCTGCAAATGAATTAAATATGATTTACGTAAACCTTTAATTATTGAGGAGGTAAAGAGTTTAACAATTTCGTTCCTTAAGATTGTAAATTTTTTCATGTTTGTTCTGCTGGAATGAGCACAGTGCATATGACTCAGTTAAAATGACTGCTTGTATTTACGACTGTCTACCTTTTTTAGAGTCTATATTCTGTATTTACAATTCATGACTGAAATTTTAATGTTTAAGTTAGTGTATTAGATCGACGTAAATAACTAACATGCAAGATACTGTTACGAGTAAGCAATTGATATAGTTTGTGTAATAGTACATGATGTAAGGTCTAAGTTCAATGCAGTGCGAACCTGAGTGTCAAATAAAAATAATTGAACTTTACGTGCCCAGTTGTTTTTGAATTTGCCACCTCTCGGCTGGTTTGACAAGAAAAAGTGGTTAAAAAACGGTCCTATTGCTATAGTGATGTTAAAAAACTGAACATGCTGTTTTTCCCTTGTCCTCAAGAAGCCCAGATACCACATTTCCTCGAATAAGCGTCTAAGTCTTTTCTGTCTGTAATCGCTCTATTCCAACAAAACAAATTCTAGAAGAACAACGCCCAGTATAATTATCTCCACCGCTTCATACATCTCAATCAAATCCCATTGCGTCTTATACTTCAACCCTTGCCTAGTCCTTGTACGGGGTCTTTCAGTTTTTATCAAGATACAGCTATTTCGAGAAAGGTTGTCGGAAAAATGTGCAAGCGACAATGCCGAAACGTAATATGGGATATGATCAATACACTGTTTCTGACGACTGTACCTGTCGAATTAGCCTACTTTTGTTACTTTCCTTTAGCACTCGCAAACACATTTCCACGGCCTTTCGTACCAATTCTTTTAAATTTATTTTAAGAGCAGTGTACTTAAAACCACCCACTATGCCTTTCGGGATTGTCGCGTGCACTTTTTCCGGCAACCTTTCTCGAAATAGCTGTATATACACTTGCTAAAACTCTAGCCTGCGATTAGGCGGCCCTATGTCACTTTAATTTTTGTGCTCCCCAGAAAAAAAAAACACATTGATCGAGGATTACTAAAGCAAAGACATTTTTTTGGCTGTTTACTGAATTCAGGCTTCCAACATTTTTGTTGGCTTGACAGATGCTAGACAGACCCAAGAGTGGATTTAGGGGTGGGCCGAGGCCCGAGGGGGGCGCGGCCACTCCTTTTTTTCTTTTATTTTGTATTATTTGTATAGAATTCTTAGAAAAATAAAAAGTATCCATATAGCTGGTAAGTAGGCAAGTGTCCGGGCCACCCCTTTCTGAATTTTCTGGATCCGCCCTTGAAACCGGATTCAATCCCACTCTCGAAAACTAGGTCGACATGTTTCTCGCAAACCCCGAGTTCAGCCCTTGGATGATGGTTGTAGTTAGCCAACTATATACTAGTTCCAGTTAGGTCTTTTAATGATCACTCCACCCTCCATGTTCCTGTTGTGGAATCATAGAAGGCCCTGAAATGGTTCAGTATTATAAATCAGCTATAAGAGCTTGTCTTTGGCTTTCGATGGCCAGGATGCAAAGAGTTCCAAGTATAAAAAAAGATGACTGAGAATACTAAGTTACAAATTCAGCTCAGCTTATTTCCCAAAAAAGCGTGGAACTCACCATGACATTGCCCCTTTAATATAGAGGATAGCTTTCTGACAAACTTTTGAAAATAGGTAAGGGGCTGCTACTGCTTTGGATTGAAAGGCCAATCAGGCAAGTGCCCCTTGGGTCATGCACATATAGCTGATATCAGCTGGATATAGGGAGGGAGTGATCCCATGATAGGCGCCTACATTAACAGACTTTGGATAGATTGGAAGCCTAGGAGATGCCAACTGACTCCTGAGAAGGTTTGAAAAGGGGGAGATCTTAGCGTCAAGTGTTTGACTTAGCCTTATTCACCCGATCTTAAAACTCCTACTAAAGGTAATTGGCAGCATAGACTCATATTTGAAATGTCTCTTTTATGCGTTTTTTTTTCTTCCTGTCATCGTCATTCTTTTATGAGGGACGAGGGACGAGGGGTTAGTCATGTAAAACAAAATATTGGCTAAACTCGTAAACTTTTATTCAAAGGCCCCCAAATTATCCGGGTATTTTTGAAAACAAAGATTTTTTTCTTTGCTTTCAAAAATACGCGTCCAGTACGCAGCGTATTTGAATCGTCTAGATCTTCGCCCGTGCACATGAACGTCGAGTTAAAAGAAAAAAAACTCCTTTCAGTTTTGTTTACCCACACGTAAAAGAGAAAAGGTTTTTGCTATCTTATGTAGCCTCGGTCATAAGTTGCTCGGCAACGTTTTGGCAACCTTTGCTATTTGTCGCAAATTTCTGGCAGCACAATATCCCCGTTTTCAAAAAATATGCTGATACCAGTTTTGTTTGTCAAATTGATAACGATCAGGAAAGGACTAACGACCTTTCATATCATGCATCTCTCTTAAAGGGAACGCATCATCCATTGTGTTGTGTTATGACTGCGATGAAAGCAGGCTTTACAGTTGATCATAATAGCTAGCACAGTATGGTAATCCTTTAAAAAGTCGGCCTTCTTTTTCGAGAGTTCTTCATGGAGGGTTACTAGTGACAACCATACAAGGACACGAGAATCCCTTGCGCGGATCGAGTAGCGACTGCGGGCTTCCTTCTTCCCAGTCCCCCTCGTTTGATAGCAGAAGGGGAGATTAGTGTGATAGTTTGTGCTGTCTGAGAAAAGATCCCTTACAGAAACAAGTTTTCCTGCTTTTCAAGTTGGATTTTTTATACAGTTATGAGTTTGCAAAGCTATTTGTGTTTTATTTTGACTTCAATGTTCATCGCCTTGTGGAAATCAAATGTTTTAAGCGACACTGTTGTCCCTGTTGGCCATTTGAAACCGCTCGGTTCTCATAGACCGCCACAAACAAATCTTGTGGACGATTTAGAAGAAATGCCTTCTCCTCAAGATTTTTGGAGAAAGTATGTGCTACCATCCAGAGCTGTTGTTTTACGTGGTGCTGCTAAACACGCAAAAGCTTTCACGGAATGGACAGATAAATACATCAGAGAAAAGTATGCCGACTTGGAGATTCGACTGGAGGGAAAAAAGGAAAAGAGTTCTAAAGTTCCTGTCGGGGCTAAAGGAGTTGGAAGAGACACAATTGGTACGTTAAACATGCTGCTTTTATTTTGGTTTCCTCAGGTGAGGTCTCAGCTGACTCATCGTTTGCTTACATGTAAATTAGTCATTCAAGCATTTTTTCTCGTATAAAGACTCAGCATTTTAATGATCATGCTGTTAAGAGATTAATGAACTAAATGTATGACCTACTTAAGTATTCATGAAAGAGTTCCTACGTGAACTGTATCACTCTTTACTCCTTTTGAAATAAGTTGAAAATGAGACCAATGTATTTAAGAATATCCGGCCACAATAACATATATTTATCAACCGCCTTTAATCACATTGTATATGGAACGAAAACATATTAAAGCAAGAGGAGCCATATTAAAATGTTCAATGATCTGAAAACAGGTCACGGTGTGACAAGTGGTCAGCTGGTAATCGAAAGCAGGTGCTTAAATGAAAGTATAAAAAGCAAAAAATAAAACAAAAACAAAAAAAAAATAGCTTAGAATAAAATGAAATAAAATAAAATAAAACAGAACAAAACAAAACAGAAAACATTTGGTTAGTTTAGTTAGTCATAAATACAATCTCTATTTCCCTCCTTGTGAAGATTGCAATATTCAGGTTTGTGTAGGTAATGTTTCTTTACTGTGACTGTTACTATGATACAGTGTAGGTCACCAGTTTCTTCCAAAACAGGGCTCAAAAAAGAGCCATCTAGTACTGCAGGACCAGTAGATGTTATTGCTGTACAACCGAGTGACTTTTAATCAAGCTTTCTTACCATATGGGCAAGGGTACAGGCGAGTTGATCATCCTTTAAGAAAATCCTTAACTAAGGCAAGCAAGAAGTGGCCCCTGGCAGGCAAAATGTGAGAGCTGCCGGCCCAAAGGACAAGCTGAAATTCAAGTTTTTTTTGGTAGTTTAAAAAACAAAGCACTGGAAAACGAAGACCGAAGCATGAAGCACCCAAATCTCGAAAAAGGAGCACCCAAACTCGAAAACGAAGCACCCAAGACTCGAAAATGAAGCACCTAAATCTCAAAAATGAAGCACCCGAAGCTCGAAAACGAAGCACCCAAGTCTCGAAACCTGTCTGTCCTTTAAAAACACGAGACAGTCCCTTGCCAAGTCACCAAATAAAAATGCTATTACAGCATGAATCAAGCATGATAACGAATAAGTGAAGAACGTAGTTCAAGGATTCCCAGTTCAAAACTATTCAATCAGAACCGCGAGGTATTGCAAATGCATTTCTGCTGTCCTGGCTAAGGTATGTGTCACACTACCTTGCAGTAGAAATCTGTCATCAGTGGACATTACTATGTGCGACCCTGAGTTTTCAGGTTGGAAAAAACTTTGAAAATCGGCAAAAACATCAAAGAAGCCGATTTGTGGCATAAAAAGCACGTCTCCAGGCTTTGCCCCACTGACTGCCTTCTCCCTTCTCTCCAATAGGTTAACTCTCCATTTTTTTTTTTTGCTCCCTTTATTTTAAAATTCTCCACTTTCCCACCATGGAGCCTGGTTCCAGGCTATTACCTGAGAACAAATTCTGCCTGGATTTGATTTGGGTATCATGCAGTGTCATAGATACCCAATATGTCGTCATAAACATGTGTGTACATGTATGTGCACCGAAAAAATGCATATTAAGATGATGTATCAAGTATCGTGATACTAATAATACTGGACTTCCTATCTAGAAACGTTCAGTTAAACAGTTCACGGGCTTAAAATAAAAACTCGGGATGGATTTGTGGACCTTTGGAGGTGCGGACGCATGCGTTGCCTCCACCTGGTTCGTCTTGCGTCATGCAAAACTTTAAGTTGTAGTTCTTCAACCTACAGGGGTTTCGAGATTTGGGTGCTCCGTTTTCGAGCCTTGGGTGCTTCGTTTGCTAGGTCTGGGTGCTTCGTGCTTCGGTCTTTGTTTTTGAGTGCTTCGTTTTCGAAACTACCAGTTTTTAATAACCAAAAATTCAAAATGTCCCTGATTTGGTCATTACAAATAATTTTAAATACAATTTAAAAATGTTAAAGTAACCAAGGATGAAGTTGAACCACAACAACTAGCAATACATGTATATCATAGCAGATCTGCCAACTCTCACAATTCTGCCTTGAGTCTTACGTTTTTTTGTCTTTTATCATGGCCTCATGACAACACTCCCAATCTCACAGTTTTTTGGGGAAATTTTTCCTTGTGGAGTAAAATGGAAATCCAGTGGGGAATGTTAGTGCCTTTTTAATCCTTGTTGGAAGCTAACAGTTTTGTCTAACATTTTTTTAGTGGCCATGATTAGTTGGCTAATCAGGAAGAAATGACTCATCGCTGTAACTGAGTTTCATCCTTTTTTGTTTAGCGATGGCCTCAGCAGGGGTCACCGTGACAAATAAAGCAAGATAATGTTTAAGTAAACACCCGACCCCCCAATAGGAAAAGGGGTTGCTAAATATTGATAGGGTGGAAAAACAGAGTCTATCTACTCTTTGTAGAATCAGATTTTTTTCATGAGTCTCCAGATTTTCCTTTATCAGGGGTTGGCAGATCTGTCATAGACATGAGACATAAACATTTCTCTCTTTTGTTTATTAGGAAACTTTATCAACAATTACCATGAAGAAGGCAATAATCTGTATGTTGTCTCTGAGTTACCCACCCCCATGTGGCAAGATGTAACAGTCATTCCCCCTCTGACCTGTGGCCTCTTGAAAGATCGACTTGTAGAGGTTGACTTGTGGATGAGTGGGGGAGGTACCAAGAGTATTCTTCACAAGGATGCTTATAATGCAATCAACTGTTTATATAATGGCACAAAAGAATGGAAAATGATTGAGTACAAGTACGAGGATAAGATATACAAGGCATGGGAGCCTCCCCAAATGGTTGGTGGATATTCGCGGTTAAATGTTCACGCAGTTGACTTGTTGAAGTATCCTAAAGTCTCTGAAGTTCCTTGGTCGTTTGTAACAGTCCATGCTGGTGATTGTCTTTTCTTACCAAAGAGTAAGTGATTCCTCATCAATTTTGTACAACTGAGTCATACAATTTTAGAGCATGCACACCTTAACTGGTTGAACCTGACCCTGCTACAATATCCCTTGTATAACCACTTGCCAGTGACATCGTAATAATTATTATTGTTCTGGACAGCTGCAACTTTAATCCACATGTACTTAACTTGTTTAAAGGACAACAGACAAGACAGCATTTTTATTCACAGTGTCTAGGTAAAATACGAGAAATTATGAAAGTGCAGAAAACTGTATGGAACAAATAAAGATTAATATATAACTACATGAAAGAAAATGTGCAAGCTTTAAATAATTATTAGTGTGCAACAGCCAAAGTAGCAATGCTCTTGAATTGGCTGCTGCTTATTTGCAAATACGTAAAGGAAACAAAGATGAAATAATAAAATACTAATAAATATTTAACTAACTCATCGGGTAAAAGAGGAGCTATGAAAATGTAAAAAGATCGAGGCCCAGCAAAAGGAAAAGTGCAAATACTATAAGTTGAATATCACACGTGGCAAGTTTTGTGCCTAAGGTTTACTGTTGAAACTTTATTGTTGTGTGGGGTGACGATACTATTAGAAAAGCCAGGGTTTGAGCTAGGATTTGATCACTGGGGGACAATTTGTCTCCTTGGCTAAATTTTTGGGGAACATTTTCATTTTTAGGGGGACAGAAATTTGTACACCCTTCTGCTGATGCAAAGGGGTTTGTCTTCTTAGCAGGGCTTCTGATAGGTCTCGGAAGAAAAAGTCAAATTTCGCGGGATTTTTAGGGACAAATTCGCGGAAAAATCGGCCGATTGCGCAGGAGTTTTCGGGGCAAACTTCAACGAAAAGCAATCGGTAAAAAACGACCGATTTTGTGGTTATTTTCAAGGCAAATTTCGCTAGAAATCGATCGGTTTTGCGCTGATCAGATCAGCCTTTTTAACGTTTTTCTAACAGAGCTCATCATTTGCTCTTTCAACAACAATATGCTCCAGAAATGAACCGATGGCAAAGCCTTTAACATCATGGCTAGTGCCCAGTTTTTCGCAACGTAATCTGTTTGCACGTTTCGGTGACGAAGTTCCAAGATAAATTTGCAAGTTTACGGCAAGTAAATAGCCCCTATAGCTGAAATATAAGTTTCAAATATGTTTTACAGACATGTATTTGATAAGATTTCTACCGAATTTCGCGGTATTTTTCGTGTTTTTGTGAATTTCGCGGCTCCGCGACCGCGCGAAGAATCAGAAGCCCTGTCTTAGATTTCCGACAAAAATAGCAGTAGAGTGTGACTGAAGCGTAACTTTGGAATGAACTTTAAAGGTGCGATAAAATATACTTTCCACGTTCTGTTTCAGCTTGCAGTTTCTGTACTGAAATAAATCTCTTTGTGTGTGCTTTCTTTCGAGTTTTTTCCCTAAATTTTGAAGGGGACAAATTGTCCCCTTGGCCGTTTTTTAAAGGGGCAATTCCAATTGCAGTGCGGGATTGGCGCAATGGCGCGGCCTGGCTCAAACCCTGGAAAAGCCTTGTGTTATTGCTGTCATCTAAAATAAGACACACAAAATTCACAGAAGTCTTCTTTACATCAGTGCACTAGTATTCTTTGTCGCATTCATGTTACACTAATTCAATCATGGAAAGGCTAAATTCGAATGGCAGAACTTTTACCAAGGGCTGTGCACTTTCACATGATCTGTGAACGTAATTTTTGATGGTCGATGAAATAGTTAGAAATGGTGGTGACATATATATCGGTTACTTTCCTGGTAAATTTTCATATGTGGCAAATGCTTTCAAAGTAAGTAGAACCACTGTCATAAACTTAGAGCAGCCTCTACATACATAACATAACATTGAGTCATGTCGAAATATTGGAGGAAACAACTCTGATTTATCTCACGACAAGGTGACTTGCAGTTTATCAAGACTTCCAAAAGAGCAAGGCCGACTTCATCACTGGGGGAAATTTTCCAATGATTTAAACGAATTTGGTGATATTCTTCCAAAAGGAACTTCCATTTCCACGGAATTTTGTTCATTTGACAACAATTAATTTTGCTGTCTGGTTCCACGAACTATTTAGGTGTCCCAAACTCTGCACAATGAACCTACCTCTTTCCCTTCACAATCTCTAGATTTTATATTTTAAAGCACTACCGTAATTTGTATTAATTATAATCATTCTGTGTGAGTTTAAATAAAAATTGACTTGACTTGACTTGACTTGAAAATTAGTAGTTAGTACCAGGAAAGATTTAGTGTAGAAAATATGGCATATACTCAATTAATACATTCCACCATTTCCTCAAAAAACTGTAAAGAGATTTTGTGCACACGCAAGACTGATGGCATCAGAATCACAGGATGTTTCCAATGGAAACTAGTATCATCTGCACCGCTGACAACAGCAAAGTTTCAATAGTAAATTTCCCACTTGTTTTACTCAACTGATAATCGTAGTAAATGGGGGAGGGGAAAAAAGGTGTTCTAGCAGTGCCTGGTAAAAGTCAATGTAGCAGGGAAACTTGTTTGTCCTAAAACCATCTTGACATTTTGTCTTTTTCATCTTTTTTTCTTCAAAAGCAGCAATTTAGCGTTAGAAATAAAGCCAGCTAGTGCTTAACTTGTAAACAAAGATTTGGATATTTTGGTTCTTGTTGGCCGGATAGTTAGCAAACTAATTACTAATGTCTAAGCCATCGCAGTGACTATAACTTGAGTGTGCACAGGGTTGTCACTAAGATTTCAAGTTGCCGGGTAAATACAACAAGTAGGAAGGGAATCAAATGGCTAGGGATTTCTTTTGGTTCTATTTTTCTCCTATTTTCCAATAAAAGTAACTAGGGGCCTCTCTCTTAGTAGGGGGGGAAAATCCCCGGCCCCCGGCTCATAATGACAACCCTGGTGCAGATTATTTAAATTATTATTTTATCAATACCATTATAACAACAGAAACAGTCCTTCTATACTTGCCTGTTATCTCCAGGGTTGTCATTAAGAGCCGGGGGCCAGGGATTTTCCCCGGCTGCTAAGTGAGTAGCCCCCAGCTACTTTTATTGGAAAATAGAACAAAAATAGAACGAAAAGAAATCCCTAGCTGTTTGATTCCCCGCGTACTAGTTGTATTTACCCGGCAACTTGAAATCTTTGTGACAACCCTGTATCTCCATGATTTTTTTTATAATTATCTTTCCTTGTGAAGGTTAATACATTGTACCTGACGTGGTGTAAATTAATGTTTGTCAAATGTTGTTTTCCATATTATTTGTGATTACTTATGAGAGATTTTCTTTAATTATAATTAGGTTATTATCACCAAGTAACTTCATATGGAAGCCAAAATACAGCCGTGGCATTGCTGTTTGGACGACTGGATGGAGTTACGGATATTGATTTCACTGGATGTGATCAGCTGTTAAGTTTCAAACCATTGAGTGAAATGGATGTAGATTGGAAATATTCTGGACATGGTAATCTCAGCATGGGAAATACCGACTTGGAAACTGTTAGGTTGGTTGGTTGGTTATAATTATTTTTATCATCTGACACCATGTTGCATTATGGCAGCTGATCATAAGCCATGGAAATCTGGTTGTGCTATAATAGAATGATTTTAATTCTCAGGTTGTGGAATATATAAATCATCTTTCACGAAATGTCCCTAGGGGTAGAGAGCATTGAGAGGTGGCTGTATTTGCAGGCTACTTTAACTTGACAGCATAAAAAGGCAATTTACTGGCTCCTTGTTATACTTTTCCACCTTCTTCAAGAGTTAGTGTCCACCTAAAGAGAAATTTTGTTACTTGTAACATTCTGGCTAAGATGTTCATTTCTGACCTTAGAAACAAAGTAGACTGTTAGATCAAGGTCTAAAATTTAAGCATTATAGTGCTCACTGATTCTCACATTACTAAGCACACATAAAAGGCACATGTCTGACAAAAGCAGGGTCAGAAGCTATAATGTTTCTTGAAGCTTTGCTCTTTTAGATTAGAATTATTATGCATTAGTCTTTATTAGTTAAATGTTGCTGTGAATCTAATGGCTGTAAAATTAGAGTTATTGTTAGCTACTCTAGAGAAAGTGTGACTTTACAATAGACGCTTAAAAGACCCTTGTTGTGACATGTTAGTTTTCTTATATCTGAAAATATCCCACTTTTAAATTTCCTCGACATAGCATTGTTTTTGCACTTTGCAAATGAGAAGGCCTGAGTCTATATAAATGTTTTATTTCAGGGAAGGAATGCTGGAGTTTTTCGCTGATGAGGAGAAATTTGATAAAGACCGATTTCTTCGGAGAAGTGAAAAGAAAATAAAGGTGTGTCCAAATGAGCAACGCGGGTCAAAACTAATTTGTAATGAGGGAGTGCAAAATCTGTTTGTTTTTTTACAGTACCCCAGGCTTAACAATATATCCGAAAGTCATTTGAGTGATAATGGGGAGCTCAAGAAAAGGGATTTTTAAGCAACGCTCTTCAACTGGAAGGGAGGCGTATGCGAACAAATAATTTGTATCGCTGTCAAGTGTCTGTACTCTTATAGAGACGATTTTCCAGAAAATTTAAGCAAAACCACTGCTCAAGAATGCAAGAAGCGTACTTTTCGTTATGTGCGTGGCACGGAAATGCATTTTCCTAAGCTTTCTAATAAAAAATATTAAATAGGGGGCTGGGGTTGGTGTATGGCGGCACGAGAGAAGAATTGTTGAGAGAATTTTTCTTTTACCAACTCGGCCTGTTTTTGAATCCTGAAGGGTATGTGACGTCTTATGTGGGTTGAGTCTTGGTTTTTGTTCTTTTTCTGAGAGGGTTTTCTCCAAGTACTGTGGTTTGCAAGTACTCGGGGCACTCCTTAATATCTGGCCTAAGTGGGTACATCTGCTGAACAGGGTATGTTTTTCAGGGTCTTGAGTCTTAAACAATCTCGCTATTTAGCTCCTTGATCAGGGTGTCTTGTGAGACCGAAAGCCTTTAAAAGTGTGTGAGGCCTGGTGGTGAGCAGTCTACATTTGTTGTACCATCAATTTTTTCCAGGAAATCTGATTCCATGATGTTAGTTTGAAAAATTTCTTAATCCAGTAGGCAAAGCGAATTGAATGAGGGCCAAAAAAGGACTCTTGTCTAAACCAGGGTAGTGAAATGAGTAATATTTGTCTTGAAGAAGGTCAAGGTTTGAAGGCCCAATACACTCTACTTTTTGTTCTAATATTCTTGGAGAGAGAGAGGAGATTTAAAAATTGAAAATAATATTGTCGATTGCTTTTCTTTCAGAAAAAGATGTTGTACAGTTATTTGGATCGTGTGCAAGAGCAGGCTTTACTGGTAAGCACCAACACTCTAACTTGTACAGAGTTCTAACAACGCACCCATTTCCAACCTCCAACTCTGACCTTTCTCTGAAAGTCATGAAAGATGTGTATTCATTCTACTGCCTCATCAAAAATCATGGTCTTAAAGTAATTGATAACTAGAAAGTGTTTTAGAATTGAAGACGCTGTTTTTACGTCTCCAGAAGACGACAGGACTTTCATTCGTACTTGCTTATCCCGGCCATGCAAAGGTTGAGCCATTTGCGGGACAAAGTACGCTAGGTACCAGAGGTTTTCTGTCGCGTGCTTCGGGAAGCGTCGGCGGCCGCAGGCCGACACATCTTTGGCCGAATGCCGAAGTCTCGAGCGGCGAAGCTTTTCGCGCGGATCACTATAAAGATTTGACCGAAAGCGGAAAACCGCACGTTAAAAGTCCTTGGCACCCAGGGTAGTGATAAAGGCAATATCTTCTTTTTTCAGTTTTTGTCCACCCCCTAGGAAATTGAGCCCACGATCTTGCACTGTGCAGTCCATTACTCTGCTGGCTAATAATTTGCAAAATTCAGCCTACATTTTCTGCAGTCCAGCAGCAGAAAAGAGTTAGTTCTGGGTTCATCCAGAATGCGAGCAATGCTTGCACTTAATCTAAAGTTCTGGCGTAAGGCAGCTCGTAAATGTGCCCTATTTGAGTTTTTGCATGAAATCCCACGTCGATGCAACTGCTCTCCTAGGATGTCACTTTTTTCAAAGCCTGCGATGTCAGATTTTCATGTCAGATAGCACTTACAAGCTTTCGCAGTATGGAGCGAGTGTGAAAACGGCGAGTGAGACTGCTATCGGTTTTGCAGCCTAGAAAAAGAGTTGATCATAGATTTACTTCAAAATCCTGAACTTCACAGATGTTCGATCGCCTCGGGGGCAACAAGAAAGGATTTGTAACCAAGGATGATGTAAGAAGATTAAACCGTGATGAGATGAGAGCAATTGTTCTTGCAATTGAAGGAACGGATGTTAGCAACACAGAAGAGGCAGAGTATGGAGTTGTTGATCCAGGAGAAATTAGGTAAGAAAACATCGGCTTGCAATCAGCTTTCTTGCTATTGGAATAGGGGTGCGGAGACTAACATGTCCACCCATACTTGTATGACTAACATATGGGCTACTATGTGAAGCTCAATCCACGAGCAAGCTCTCCATTTGGTGTGGCGAGTGAAGCGAGTGGCATTATCTTTTGTGTGCCTCTCGCGCATTACTTGTCGCAATATCTCGAAAATGAGTGTGGACTTCTTTCTTGTTTTTGGCTTATCCCAGTCGCTTTCATATTCACAGACAGGAAAATCCAGGTGACGAGGTTAGGATTACTTTCGTAGATCTTTTGCTTGTGGAAATTTTCAAGTAAAACCAAGAATACCAAAGTCTCTTGGCAAAAATTATTATCAAAGGCTATGTCATACTCTCTTTGCAGGATGAAAGCAACTCTGAAGAACATCTTGCTCCCTAATAACTTTAGCCAGTTAACTTCTGACAAAGGAACGCCTAAAGTTTTAGTCCATACTCAACTAAGAATCGCTACAATTTGTGCTATTTAAACCGCCGTGGAATTACTAAATTAAAGGCAAAAGGAAAAACGAAATGGATTCAGCTGGCAGATGTAGTAAAATGATGTCGGGTAACTGCAACCTGATTTACTTACTTTGATATTTCGAATAGAAGTCTCCGATTCACTTAGTACTTTTATTTAGACATGTAGACACGTATTTTAAAGTGTGCATGTAAACTATTTTTAGGAGCATACTTCAAAACCTTGTGGTTCGTGATGGACAAATATTTAAGGACGACTGGATTGAAGCTTATATGGAGGTAAGACTCACAAATTGAACAAAAAATCCAGGTGAAAGTACAAAAGTATTTTTTTTAATGTAAAACGTGAAGATGTCATGGAATTTGTTAACAATCAGAGAGTCCCTTTTACGCCAATGTTTCCGGCAACTTGCCTTTGCTGTAGTATGTACAGAACAAGCTCATGATCTTGTTATACAGCTGGATTTTTTTCCTCAACACCGCGGTCTTATATTGGTTACTTCGAGGTCACATGACATCTATTAATAAAGCTGTTTCCCGCCAAAATTTTCTGAGAGAACAAGACTGCAAAGTTGCTAAACCTTCTTTCTATTAACTGGTCATTAAGCGTCGAAGCCTCAAGATAGTGGATAGTTGTAATGCATCAGTACATTCGTGTTGCACATGTATTCAATACAGTTGAGCCTTTGCCAAGAACTGTGAGGTCAGCAACGTAGAGAATGGAATCGTTTTTTTATACGAAACAAGAATTCAACGTGTTTTATACGGAATAATCTCTTTTTTCTGCTATACAGGAAACAGGGGGAACGAAACACTTTGCAGAGATGGTAAGCAAAACTACATATAACTAAGTGGTGACAAATGTGTTAAGACAGACATGGGTCTCAGAAATTATTAGCGGTTAGTCGAGGAGATACGGTACGTTTTAGTGGTGAGGAGGAATTTGAGCCATGCTGTAGAACGGCAATGGGTTATTTTCGAGTTCCAAAAACCTTCACTTACAAAGGCTAAGGCCAAGGCTAAGTGCAAGTTTTATGTGCACGACAATGAAACTCATTTCCCAATATCAAAGGCCTCAAAATTACCCTCGTTTTGAGACTGAGGCTTGGGCTTAATGGGAGTACGCCTGTCATTGTCATTTCGAAGTAACCATTTCTCTCTCCGTGGGACCACCTGCAGCCTAGGCCAGCGCAACATCCACTTTGTAACGAAATGGGCATGTCAATCGTTGACGTCGCGAATTCGACCTGGAGGGTTGTTTTTGGAGTACTTTTGTAGTTTTTTTTTACAGTTTCGCACTTCGTATGGTGTGTTTGGAACTAACTTTGTGCATCGTTTCAGATATTAAGTGTAGAGCGAAAAGAGCAGTTATTATTATCATTATCAGTTATCATCATCATCATCATCGTCATCATCATCATCATTATTAAATATGTTGAATTCATTTCCAAACAGTTTTTCAGTAAATTGCGTGATGATACCAGTATATCAGACAAGGTCACCAAAGAGGAAATACAGAGAAACCTTGTCCGTGCGTTACAGAGATATATGGACTGGCAACAAGAACCCGAGATTCCCCCGGGACAGGACAGCCCCGAACCGCAAGATGCTTACAGAGAAGACGACGAAGACCGTGAAGAGGATGAACAAGAGGACGATGAAAAGATGGAAGCAACAGTGGAAACAAAACATGAAGAGTTATAAAACGAATTTTTTTAAAATACAAGTAACTGCAACCTTCTGCCCAGGGATTTCCTCCGCGGTCTCTGCCAAACAGAAAACCCTTGTGACGAGGTTAGAATTACTTTCGTAGATCCTTTGCCTGACATTTTCATTTGACACTAAGAATAAACTTTATTGGTAAAAATTATAGCGATTCGCTGTTGCGTATTAACTAAAAACATTGGCAATCCTTTTGTAGAATTTGAGCAAGGGTTATTCACAAAGGCTATGCAAGTCCCTGTCAGAGAACAACATTTTGCGTCCTAATATTTAAGTAACACAAGAAGTATAAAAGGAAATAAGCTTTGTTATTTTGGTTTAATTGAAAACCAGTTTCAAAACTATGAAAAATTTTTCTCAAACTATCTCTTCTAATTGCACAATCATAGAAACATGTTTGTTTCTGTTTAGATTTCTAGTGTTTCCTAAATATTATAAGAACTGAGCAAGATGTTCGTCGGGGTTGTTTCCATCCTATTGCTTCCCTTGTTTTCATCATTTATTAACCGTCAGAGTTCGAGAATTTACAGTGGCAGGCTTCTGCTCTTTGAGGGGCTCGTTTCTTACAAAAACTTGGATGGCCTTTCGATGCCGAAGAGCCGCCCTATCACCCTCCTGAATCTAAATTCATTTCTTTTTGGTTTTTGGAAACTAACTTGACGGAATAAGATAGGTTAAGTTTTGAAGTCAAGAGCTACATCCTCACCGTATAGTTTCCAGAAGTATGATCAAAGGTTACGGCCGCAGTCGTCTGTAGCGACGAATCTAGCCTGTATTCGAAGGCTATGCTGAATCTTGCAGAGTGCGTTCGAAGACTCCAGGGCATTTTTCCTTATCCTCGCCCCCACGCAGGCGTTTTTAGGGGAGTTCGTATTTCGCCGCAAGGGACGTCTTTCCCACGCTAGCGACGAGGAAAGTTGCGAGGGGTAACCCGACGGCACGCGATTCATGAAACTTTAAGAAAACCTTCATGACCTGAATCTTGCAGAGTGCGTTCGAGCAATTTCGACTCCAGGGCATTTTTCCTTTAGCACGTTGATATAATGATGACATTCACCCTCGTAAAGTCTGTTGGGATACCAGCGACTTGTTTCAAAATCCTTCCAATCAGTGAACGGTGATTGTACGTAAATCTCGCCAGTCTGTATAAGGAGCGTGTTCTGGCACTCTAAACACAATGGAAATGAACAAGTAGATGGTGTACTATATGCTTCGTAGGCCCAGTTCAAAGGTCGATGTTTTCGTGCACCGAACCCAATTCCTTTCAATTAAGAACATCGACGTTTGAATCAGTTAAGTGGGACGTATCTAATTTGGATCGAGTAGCCCACATGGAAATTTCGACTGTGGAGCGACTTCGTTCATGTGCCGAACCAAACGCATAAATTACTATAATTTATTTTCACTGGTAAGCATTATAGACCATTCTATATCTCGAAAATGAATTGAGTCCGGCTAATTAAGTTCGACGTCTGAATCACCCGTCAAACTTGTATCACTTGGGTCGGTACATGAAAAGTTCGACGTTTGAACTGGGCCTTAATTAAATGCTATCTGTATTACTTTTTTATTAGCGACTTTCACATCTGACTAGGAGTACGAAAATGAGTACGAATACGACTACACGAACAATTTGAAGCTTATTCATCCCCAGAACGGCGTATAACTCTCTCCAGTTGTTGATGAGCCATTAAAAAACGTTGAGGATAAGATTTGTGTGATAAGTAATTATACCAGGCCAAGTAGTTGACTTGCAAATTCGTACACTTTTTCTCAATCTCTTAGACGTAGTCCGATCTACAGAAGACTATTAGTATGGCCTCCGAGAGGGTTCACTTGTGCGAATTCGCGGAAAATTTTGGCGGCGGAGCCGCCAAGCAGCAAAGAAAAGTAAATTTTCCCCGAATTAGCACAAATGAACCTTCTCGCACGCTGCTGTTAGTATATTGTGTGAGATATAGCTTCGAGCCCGAAAAGGTATCGGGGCGTTCGAAAAACGAACCAAATCGTGCAACGGAGTAAAATATTTATTAACTGTTAGTATTTATAGAAATAGCAGGAAGTAACTATTTAAACTAAAAATACATTGCAAGAATTAATATATTTCATTATTTGTTCAAATACAATAATTAGGCGTGACAATTTCTCTTTACATACATTGTCATTTTGATACAAAAACTAATTATTATGCTTTCTGTGTTGGGTTTGCCATCGACATTAAGTCATGTAACAGTCTCGCAGAGGACATTGATAGTGAAGTGTTAATGTAAAGTCAGTTAACGATTAAATAAAGGAGGTAATTCTATTTTCTCGTCTTTTTTATCGGACGTTCTCTGTTTAGTCGCGAGTTTTTCATGTTTATTTCTAACGAAACACGTTTAACCCAAGAAAACTTCTTACTCAAAATCATGACAGTGATAATACTTCTCTTTTGAGAGAGAGATCGGTCTTTTATTGGGAAATGTTTTTGCCAAGCGCGACAATGGTAGAGAAGCCTGGTAAATGACAAAATAACAGCTTGTGTCAATCAAATATGTCTCCTGGGTGTTATATGTAAAAATTCGAATAGAAAAATATTGTCTGGTGAAACATTTTGCTTTCTTGAACGTTTGCTATCAATTTGCAGATTTTTTCCTGAACTTACCAGTGTTTTCAACGAGCTGCTGATTGGCCCATAATAACTTCCTTGGAATGTATTGTTATTTTCCTGTAATCCAATTGGTCAACTTTGTCTGAGTGGCCCCGGTTACAGTAGTCGCGCTTTATATCTGTCTAAATGACAAATTTGTGTTTTCAAATATTTTGTTCACATTCTTATACGCACGCGAACACAAGCATCTTTAAAATTTACCTCCGCCTTTACGTAAAAAGTACGCGTCAGTGGTATTTACGAGGTTTAACATTCATCGTTTCATCGTAATTATGAGAAATATGCGAGAACTTAATTCAAAGAATCAAATTTATTCGATAATATTGACTGCATTTAATGGTTAAGAGAGGGCGCGCGGATCGTAATAAAATAGCTTTAATTAGCATTGTTACGTATCAAAATCGTATCATTTTCCTTTAAAGAAGTGAATTCAGTTTTAGTTTCGTTTCAGCTTCATCTTAGGAGGGTTCTATAGTATCGCCGCAATGAGCGAAAGCGCTGAAGCAGGCTGCAAGATAGTCAGTCACCAGGAAATCATTACAGAAAGCGAGGATGAAGATAGCGATAGCTCGACAGACTTTGATCCAGAGGAAATCGAAAAGGAAATAATGGGTGTAAAAAGCATGTTAAGAAGGCATTGTGGCCGACATAAGGTGAGGAGGAGGATTGAGCATTTTCATTCACGTGGCTTGCAGCTGTGCAAATTGATCGGAACAAAATGAAGGAAGTGTTTTTGTTTGTTTTGAGATTGACTTATTGTACAGATTAGTCGTTTCTTGTTCTGCGACTGGTCAATTTTCTGTCCGTGACTACTGTACGGACCAAGTTTTTCTTATTAAGGGCTGTTACGTATTTTGTCAGACAGCTATTCCTTTTTATTCCTTTATTTCTTTTTACAGGAATAAAGCCGCATAACTGACACTCGCGTTTTTTTCGTTTCTTATGGTGCAGTTATGTTCAACGAGAGTTATGTTTCTTTCGGGCAAGGGACAAGTTCCAGGGACTCTAACCATTACACAAGTAGGTTAAAATATCATTTTTGACGCAATTTTATATTTAACAGAACGTTGCAAAGTTGCAGAGTGAACATGCTAACTGGCTGAAAAACGAGGTAACACTGAGAAATAAACCGTTAAACCTGGAAGGCTCTAGCACCACAGAGACGATACAGAAGGTCAACAGAGCAGAAGATAGGGAAAAAATTCGCCGAATGTCCATACCGTTCTCGTGTGATGTGGAAGAGACAGACCTTGACATCTCTGTAACAAGCGGACAGCTCTCAAACGTGCATCAGGAGCTTCTACACCTGTTTGCAATTCATGATGTGAGTGTGGTCTAGAGCAAACATCAATACTAGTATAATAAAAATTTTCAAAAGCTTCTCCTCGGTAACACAGGAATCGACTTGTTAAAAGACAGATTAGTTTGAGATGGTATGGTCTGCTTTGATTTTTTTTCGTTCACATTTTTCGTTAGTAGCTTTTACAATCCATTAAAATGAAATTAACCGACGTATTGTCCATTGATCTACCAAAATATCGAAGAAGAAGTAGAAATTAAAATGATTCCATCCTTTTCTGTTGTACCAGCCTCTATGTTTGTAGTTATACTAGACTGCTGCTATTGGCACGTGCGCTCGGTTTTGAACTCCACCAGGCATGGACCTGGCGAATTGATGAGGATGGACTTGAGGGATGCAAAGGTCTCAGTACGAAATGCCCTCCATACCCCACTCCACGTCACAGCCCATGGGATGGTCAAAACTCAGGAGAGATTGTTTCAACGTCACTAGTGGTTCTTTATCGCTTCGTGAGAGTTTTAACTCTTAATTTTAAAATATTCATGGTGAAAAAGTTTTTAAACAACCCCTCAGACGGTTAATTTGTCCCTATCCGCTAAGAAGAATAGGTGCCAGTTCGAAACGACGGTATAGCACCTTCTTAGCTACTTTAAAAGTCTGAGTGCTTAGCCTTTCGGGAACTGTCGACCTATAAGCCATCGCTTGCGAAATACAGGTACCCTAACAATTGAACTAACCATACTAAAGAGTTGAGGTATTCAATTTTAAATTGTTGCTTACAGGCCAAATACCAAATGGAATGTGAGCAGGAACGACGAAGTGTTGAAAGTACAAAGAACCGTATGCACGAGGAGTTACTAAGTAACATGGCCCGGCGCAAGGCGCGAGAAATATTTGAAATGGAAAGACAAAGAAAAATAGAAGAAATGATAAGGCTAACCGAGACCGTGAGTGCAGAAAGCATTGCTATGGCCGAAACTAACGATCGATTGAGTCATGTGCATGAAGATTTGAAAAATGCTTTCAAGCGAATGAGGGTAAGTAGATGTTCCAACAATTGAATTTCCCCTATTAGATTTACAGTCAAACGGTACCCCATAGATTTCATCAATGATTTCATAGTAAGCTGGTTTCATATCAAGTTCCATTGTGTTTCATAAGTATGTTTTAAGGTTGAGATTAAGTGCCACTGGGTGACAAAGGGAAAATATGCGTTGCATTTAATGTGCAATTATTTTTCGGTGTCAACGAGTGAACAAGCCTTAAGACGCTTTTGAAAATTTTTCGAGTCCTTCAAAAAAATTGCTTCAAAGAAAATATTTTTTGCCCCATGATGACAATGACGAGATGACGTTCTACGTCCACTATTAATTGATGACGTGTTTATAATTCTTTCCTCTTTAAACGCAGTTCTTGTCTACTTATCTTTTCCAACATATTGGTTTGATTATCAGGTTTTTTCTGTTTTTACTTTTGCATTAAAGAAAAGCAATTTGCTAAAGAAATGAAGTCAAACTTGCCATTTTTGAGCTTAAAAAAAAAACAAAACAAAAACAAAAAAAAAACAAAAAGACAAAAAAGAACAATAGAACGAAAGAATGAAAGAAAAAATGAAGCCAAAATAAAATCGAAGCTTCAAGGCAAGCTTTACGTTCTAGGTTGGTTGATGAGCAATGTTCTTTCCACTAGGATGCCAAAGCAGCTAAAGAAGACCAAGACCGCAAAAGAACGGAAGAATTAAAGGAGATGATGTTACAGGAGATAAGAAGGAGACCAACAGGTAGCGAGCTGAACGTAATGGAACAAGAAAGGAAAAGAAGGGAGGAGTTGTATCAAGTACAGCTGAATGAGCGAAGTCAATCACACGAGAATCTGCTGCAAGTTCAAGAACAATTACTGAAAATCTTCGCTAAACTTAAGGTTTGTTTAGAACGTAGTATTTTTTTTTCAAGATTCTTTTTTCACCATGGCACTTTAAGAGAGGATCTCTTTGTTTTCAATTAATATAATCGCAGTCGAGAGATAATAGTGGGTTCCATAAGAGTTGGCGGCCACCTCGCGTCGGAGAAGCCGTAATGTGGAGAGTTAGAGGTGTAAGGTGAGACCAATTTTGTGTGCGGAACAGTTAGGACATTCTCATTTTCAAAAATAAACAAGGAACCAATTCTTAGCCTGCCGCGTGCCCCGTTCAGCGGCCTTTTTTGCAACCATGCATATTACTTTCATGCGCCTGGTACACAGGCTACCAATAAACCGAAGCGAGTAACCCTCGCGGGGCGTTTTCACAGACCATTTTATTAAGTTTTAGTCGTTTTTGGCGAAAATATGTTGTATCACAAAAGCGTTTTGGTTTCCATAATATACGCAGAGAGAAAAGAAGGTTAAAAAGATTGAAACGCGCCAGCACCAAGAAGAAAATAAGGAACGTATGCAGGAGGAGCTGATACGAAGGTCCCTCCAGAGGGAGGTGTCCAAACTAGAGGCACAGGAAAAGGCCCGAAGGATCAAAGAATCGAAGAGTCAGATTGGCGAGGGTGATGATGCTAAATCCAAGGCTATCGACATGTTGGTTGACGTCCAAAAACAGTTGCTGGATGTTTTTGCAGTATCCAAGGTTTGATTTCTAGTTTTTCTTTGTATTGAATAACAATGATTTGTTTATATTATATTATATTTATATTATTATATTAAACAATTGGACAGCTTCGTGCCCACAAGAAGGGCTATCCGGTAAAGCATGAACGCCTATCCGACTCTCCGCTTTACAGATCGGCGTGGCGCGGCTTCGCTCCGCCAATCCCGCCGAAATCACCGTTCTTATGTGTGAACAGAAGTTCAGGGCGGAAAAACGTATTGAGCATGCGTGAACTTTTTTGCCCAGATCCCCTGGCCGGGTTTGAAAAAATGGCGGGATTTCAAATATTTTATTGCCTAAAAATAAGATGTTTCCACTCATAACCTGGAAAGAACTGGCAATTTGTCTTCAAAAGTTGCAAGCTGTGGTTATAACCTTGTGGTTTCTTAATTTTCTCGAAGAATACCTCATAGTAAAACGGACTTTAACGACATCAATTTCCTTGAGTTGTACTGGAAATGTGCATGCGTAGGTCCGATTTTTTTCAAGATGCATTCACAAAATGTGTTCATATAAGGAAGTTCCTGGATATATAAGGTCGGGAGCTCCACTGTGGACACAAAAACAACATATCTTTGGACAGTGATTTGCCCAAGAAAATTAACGCTTGCCCACAATGTGTTTGAAGGCACTGAACTTGTCGCACTCGAGCTGATATTTTAAAACCCTCGCTCGATCGGACACTCGTAGTTTCGCAGATAACTAAAATATAGACAAAATCCTCAATGTAGAAGTTATTGCGTTGATATGCGGGCAGAAAAAAGGTCAATCTTTATCTAGTAAAATCTTCCCAAAAATCGGTTTTAAAGCAACTATAGTTTATTTTTAAACTTGATCGTTTCGCGTACTAAGAGATAAATATAAATTACGCTTTGTGTTGTCAAGTTGAAAATGCATAACATCTGTCAAAAACCTACACGTAGGTAGGATTTCCTTCAAACAAAGTTAAAATTACATTATTGCAAAAACTTCTTGCTGACAATGAAGAAATGAATTTTTTGTACCAAAACAACCTACCTAAAGATCTTAAAAGCAAAAGATCAGTTGCTGTGAGCTTCGCAGCTAAACCATGATTCACCATGTAGCTTCTCCACGCTTTAATAACTCAGTGAATAACTGGTCCATGTGAGGGTCTTCATTCAAGCAAATTAAACCCAGCCAATCGTTACAAAATTCAGAAAACTGCACATAAGGGTATTTGTTTTGCTCGCTTCAGACAAATCCAGCTCCAGCAATTCAGTGTTACGGGCAGAGTCAATTGTTTTGAAGTCACTGCCGGCAGTTGTCCTCAGTACTTCACAGCGAGTGAAATGGAAAATTTGCGTACAGAAAGTTATTTCTTACAAAGAACAGAAACTTTCACAGTGCAGTGGAAAACAAAACTATGTAATTAAAAGTGACGAAAACGCTGACTACTTAGAGTATTTGAGCAACAGAAAAATGATTCTTTTCTTCTAGACTAAGTTTACTGGCCTTCTACCGGTATTTCCGAGAAAGTTTTACGGCGCACTAAATGGTTCTTTAACTGAAGAGAAGGATAAAGCTGGTTCTACAAAGGGAATAAATATGAGCATGTGAAAAAGTATTTTCTAATTTTAAAAAAAAAGTGGGTTTTAATTCAGCCCGGCGAAAGAAGGCGAAATCAACTCGCAAATAAATCGAATGAACAATCAAAAAAATACTCGCCTCTTTGGAAATGTTCAAAACTCTTTATTCCACCTCAGACTGAAGGAATGATCCGTTTTTCCTTTAACATTGGTTGTTCCGAGTCCAAAGTAATTTTCAAGTGACGAAAAACAAAAACCACACAAAAGTAAAAAGGCTTTTCGAGGAGCAAACGTTCACACCTTGTGCATGTCATTCAGTCTTAGTCAGAACTCTCTCAGTGACAAACAAACAAACTGTCGAACACAGTCAACACAAGCTGTCAACACACAGAAAAGCTCGCCTTGAGCCTGCGATAAAGGATGCGCAGAAGCTTGCGCAGAACGTTTTTCCGCCCTGAAAGAACAGAATTAAGCCCTATCCGGTACTGACTCGTCCCCAGTCGTCTCTCATTATTAGTATGAGACAACTTAGAGACGACTGGGGACGAGTCAGTATCCGGTATGATAAAAGCTATCGTGTGAACATAACCTTTGTAAATTTTGTTTGTTCATAATGTGTCTCATTATTGATGGGCTCCTGCCTTTATTCTGAGTGAACACATAAATTGTGATGACGATGACTAATAGATCGGTCTATTTTTTTACTTACTCTATCGTGTGAACATAACCTGATAACCTTTATAAATCTTGTTTGTTCATAATAGGGCCATTTATACGAGGAAAAATAAGACGCGTCTTACATAAGACGCGTCTTAGAACTGTACCATTTATACGAGCATGTCTTATCTAATAAGACGCGTCTTAGCTAAGCCGCGTCTTATTTTAGACGAAATGTGCCGTTTATACGGAAAGTTCGCGTCTTATTTAAGACGCGTCTTATTTTTCCTCGTATAAATGGCCCTATTGAGTCACATTATTGATGGGGTCCTGCCTTTATTCTGAGTGAACACATAAATTGAGATGACGATGACTATTAGATCGGTTTATTTTGTTACTTACTTGAGTCCTTTCATTACCTGTTGCTTTATTCTGCGTTTTTTTTACTTCGGTATTTTACTTTTGTGATGGTTTGTATTTCCCTTGGTGCATGCAAAGGTGTGGAATGAGCAAGCAGACCAGTTTTAGTTTTCTGATTATATTTATTGTCATATTATTGCCATATTGTTTTGCTAAATGCATCCTTTCTTGACAACAGCTCCAGGACGTTAAACATCGAATGGACCAACTAAAGGTTATGAACTGCCGTCAAAATATGCTACAAGAAATCCGTAGCCGACGAGTAGACAGAGAAAACAGCAGCGGCATAACGTAGGTAGCACATGCATGCAACATATAATATAACATATAGACCACGGTTAAACGAGAAAAACCGTGGCGTTTATCGTTCCCAGAGGCTGTGATTCTTTTGGTCAGCACTATATGGATAACTGGCACTGGAGCGACCACTGGAGTTTTTCTGAAATGTCCGCAATCGCGTATCCAGAGTCCTTGGGCTCTATGGTCAGCGGGTAGTCGCCAGGCGTAAGTATTCATATATGGTAATTATAATGTAACGATATAAAGCTTTCTATGAAGTATACCTAACTTACGAAGTGACACCAGCTGACTAAGGAGCCCGAGGACTTTGCGCACGAAATTGAACTGTCCGTCCGTCATGTACATGAATAGCAGCTTAACAATACACGCAGTAGTTATTTGCAGTTGAAAAGAGACCGTACTTTTAATAAACTCGTACAGTTTTTGCTTAAACAGTCTGGTGAAAATTAACACTTCTCACAGTTCTTTAAATTTGTATCATCTCAACAGACGTAAGTCTATTGTAGCTGTTCACAAGCCTGGAAGAAGACTGTCGTTAATTGGTGAAAAACTTCAGCATGAAGTTACTCACTCTCCCTTTCGTGATGTTAGTCAAAACTGAAAGTGAAGAGTCACATGATGTGAAATACAGCAGACAAAATAACTGGGTGGTTGTATCGTAACAGTTACAGCACAAAACAACACCTGATTGTACTAGCTTGATGACCTAGATTAAGAAGTGCTTGAAGTTTTGTTTGTTAAAATTGATTAAAAAATTAACACACTAATTCTCTTAAACTGAGTTGATCAATATAGTCCATACCATGTTGGTACAGACGTACTAACATTTTATAGTTATACTTATGCCCTGACCAATTATGCTTCCTATTATTTCCTTAACGTAACATCCCGCGTGCGTCGCGCTCTTTCATCAGTAAGTCCCGTTTGTCGAATGAAACACTCCGTTAATGGCAAGCCTAAATTAAACTCACGCATTCGTGGTTTCAATGTCACTAAAACCTACATGTAAATTTATAACGAAGTATAGCTGTTTATACATGAAATACACAGAAACTAACCCAGTGAGGTCAGCAATTTATTCTTCTGTAGTTTCAAAGAAACTTAAAAGTAAAAACTTATACTGGAACACAAAGTGAAATCAAGTGTAAATGTTCGTCCTGAAAAAAAATCCATGATCGAGTCATAGTTATTTCCTTGACTGTAGTATTTAACTTGGGACGTTAATAATATCGTTATTGTAATCAGTTGTTTTAAAATGTTAGCGTCGTTCAGCTAGGTTAGGATTTTATGAGCCAGTCTACACCAGCCCGGAAATCCATCTTTCTCTCCAAAACCGCTAATCCAGCGTAAAATCCCAGGGCAAACATGATATACAGCGCGAGGAACTGCCATGGCCCGCTGGGACAACTTGTGAGATAACACATCAAAGTAGCAGGAGGTGTGCACATCATTAGCTGTGGTCACACTACAGACTTTTACGTAGGTAAAACCGATTTACCTAGGGCAAATTCATCAAAAATCTGCCTAGGTAAATTCATCTCTGGTTTTGTTTTACCTAAATTCTGGTAAGGTCACATTACTGATAATTCGGCTCCCAAAGTTTTCACGCCAGTTGAATTTTTTGGAGCGTAAATTCAAGAAGACAAAATGCGCAGGGATCTAGCTGATCAAAGAGACGTTTTTTTCTTTTATCTCGCTGTTTAATTCTTACGCTAATTCAAAGTGCAAGGTGAAGAAAGGCGAAGACGTAGACGACTCGTGCTCCCAAAATATCTTTCACAGCGTGATCTATGTCCGGGTCTGTCATCAAGACCTTCGCCGATGAGCTTCTATTGGCTAGCAACCTCGGTATTTTATTTTTCCCTAGCTATTGCTTTGGGGTAGCTGCCAAGGGAAACTCTATTGTTTTCGAGACATATCCAAGATCCAGAGGATAAAATTTTCCCGAGGTAAGTTACCTGGGGAAAAATCGGTCACACTTAAAAAATCAAGTTTCCCTAGGTAAACTGTCAACAAGTCGTGTTTACCTAGGTAAAACGTCTGTAGTGTGACCACAGCTATTGATCAGAATAGTGCCACTGCGGGTCACTGGCCGGGGTGTAAACACCTTTCTCATACACGGTGCTGATGTCTTGGACTGTAGCAGTCTTCATGAGGCCATTCTGTTTCACGTACACTGTGTCTCCAATTTGGACATCCCTGGCGGGAATGGCTTGTGAGAGGCCAATCTTTTCCACAAAGAGAAGATGGTCTTCGGTTATCTTCAAGTTATTGTTTTTTGTTGTGGTGATGCTAAGGAATTCTTGCAATTTCTCTTGTTCACGGTGAATAAAAGTGATGACCGGTTCTAAGCAGATGTTCCCTTTCGCAGCGACCTGAACTTTTTCGCCAATCTTCAAAGAATGCAGCTCTTCGCAATCCGTACCTGTCGACAAATGTGGATGACCCTGGGAAACACCCGCCAGGTGGTTTAGAATTCAATAATTACTCAGGCTTACCTTTCGAGATTCAGTTCCTGAAAGCTATCAAGGAAGACCACAGTTGCTTGAGACTTTTAAACCCTCTTACGCGTTGAGCAAGGTGAAAAGTGAAAACGATGCCATGCGAAATCGGATTACCGAATTTTGACAAGCGACGCATTTCTCAACCAAAAACCCAATAAACAAACCAGCCATGAATAACAGAAGACTCTTGATAGCAGCTGTATTTCATTTTGTACATCCAGAGGAAAAAGACAGTAAAAAACAACAAGTTGACACAAAACACTGTCACCTTCAGCTGTCAAAGTAAACAACTTTCAACATGCTGCATAAATTTTCCGCATGAACTCACCTGTCAAATTTTGACCAATCAGAGAATAAAAATTGGACGTAGTGAGTGACCAACGTGTGACCATGGTAAGAAAAGGTCTTCCCCGCCTGTAATTTTAAAAACCTGGCTGAATTTTCGCGTCCGAGGTCAGTTTGAAATCAAAATCCTAATAGCGAGGGGCCATAGTGACTTAAACACAACATATTTCATGTGAATCACTGGAAAAAATAAACTTGAGCCTGCGATCATTTGAAACTGGTAATTTGTCAGCGGATAACTTCGAAACATACTAGACCTCGATGGGTCGACACTTGAGCCCGCGGTACGGTCAGGTGATACTGTTCAGCGGATATCCTGTTTTGACAGCTGTCAATTGATCACAACATTGATGTGCAATAAGTTTGCTCTTGGGCTCCCAAACTAGCTAGAAAGTGTGAGAGTAAACATTGGTTATCCTGTGGAGCGGATGGACGGTCGCTCGCTCGCTCGCTCGCTCGGTGTACGGTCACTTGATTACCAGATTTTCTGGGATGGGTAGATTTTCTAAGTTATGGGGCTCCGCCCACGCTCGGCGCGAAGCCCCACGCTTGGAGCTCCGCTACCAACTCGTCGACGTCTCTTGTTGCCTCAGGCAGTGGATCGTTATCATGTTATGAAAACGCTTAATCAGAGACAGCATAAATGCCAAGTCTAATTGTGGCAAGCAGAGTAGAGACTTGCCTCCACTGGAAGTTGGGGGCAAGGTGCGGTTTCGTCCAAATGGTGAGAGAGAATGGCGCAAAGCTGAAGTAATGCCAAGATCATACATGCTAGATGAATATGGACGTACTTACAGGAGAAATAGACGACAGATCATCTCTATTCCAAGTGATTCTCCCATAGACTGCGAGCAGTCCCTCTTCAGTCAATCAAGTCTAAGCTCGGCAGGACTGGAGAGAGCGAATTGGCCGAGAGGGAAACTGGAGAAAGGCGAGAGAGAGAGGCTCCTTTCCCGCCTTCTCCCCAGCTTCCCCTCGGCTTTCGCTCGCTTCGCTCGATTTCCTCGCTCGCGCTTTCCTCGCTCGCGTGACCATCGCAAGGGACTGCTCGCAGTCTAATTCTCCCATGACCCCAAGGACAAGGGCTCCTCCCATAAGTACCCAACCGCGTGACTCGCCTGCGAATACAAGATAGACTTGTATTTGAGAAGCCAGCACCAAGTCCAGTGAAACTAGAGAGACAGACACTCCCATTACAAACAGATCAGGGCGTTAAGTTACGAGGCCGCAAAGACTCATTGAATCGTGTTAGGGGGGAAATGTTGTAACATTGAAACCTGTGGGACCCCCTTAGGGGCCCCTGACTGACTTACATGTACACCCCAAAAACGGGGAACCGCATGCGTTGTGTTTTTTACTTCCTTTGGACACGAACATGTTAGAATAGTCTTTACTAGTTGTCGATTTTAACTTCATTGAATGATCTTATAACAAACAGTATTCCACTTTAACTGGCTCTAGACTGTACTGAGAACGGACTCTACTGTTGAACTACTACTACCTCCTTAACTTCAACGTACTTTCAGTACAACAGCAAACACTACAAACAGTTACACGGTACAGCTATGGGCTCTCACGTTCCTGTTGTTGTGGCAGAAATTGTTATGCAAAACTTCGAAGAACAAGCCCTAGCTACTTACACGCGAACTATACCTCTTTGAATTACTCTACGTTGACGACACTTTACCACTGCATACAAAGACGAAATCAACGATTTTCACGAACACCTTAACAGACAGAACGCGGACATACAGTTTACCAAGGGGATCGAGGAAAATGACGAGATATCTTTTCTAGTCTACTTGGTCACTCGCGACAATTTACAGAAAACCGACACATACCGACAGATTACCAGACCAGTCATCGTACAACCAAACCTCTTACAAAGCTACAACTATACGGACTTTGACGAGACTAGCGCAATTAGTTTGCTACTCGCCTGACAGCCTACAAGACGAGACTGACTACCTAAACAACGCTTTTTGTAAAAGCAACTACAACACGGACTTTGTTAGACGGAACACTCACAGAAACACTGATTCCAACACCCAGACCATCGTCAACTCTGGCCGTTACGACAGCGACCATACCGTACATCAGAGAAACCTCTGAAACTATCGCCCGTAGACTGTAACCTTACAATATACGTGTTGCACACAAACCGATCACCACTTTTCGAAGCTTTATAACGACTTGTCAAGGACAAGGACAAACTGGAGGACAGACAGGGAGTAGTATACAAGATCAAATGCTGCGACTGCCAGGCCACTTACAATGGTGAAACCGGTAGAAACCTTAGCACGCGACTGACCGAACACAAAAGACCGACAAGAAATGGCAAAGCTAAAAAATCTGTAAATAAGCCTAGTCTAATTTTTCAACTATTTTAAAATTAGTTTTATATGTATGGGTTCGTGACTAGAGGAAAATTGTGACAATATCCTGACTTTGTAAGACTTTTCCACCCTTCCACACCACTCAAAAGTGCGGAACTAAGCAAAGAATGACAAAAAACAAACATTATGATGAGAAGATGGAATCATAATGTCATTTTATTGCGAGGAAATTCCTGTTTCTTATCAGCAGTGTGCAGGCGGTCGTTCCCTGGCCAATCAGGAGATCGAACGTGTTTAGTGCTGTATAAAAGACTTGTTGTATGTTTTGCGTGGCCCTTCCAGCTATTACCATCAGCCTGTACTGACAACCCTTTGACGGTTAAAATTAGTTGAAAATTTTAAGGCAAGTTTCTTTTTACTAGGGGAAAAGTGTGACAATATCCTGACTTTGTCAGACTAATACACATTTCTACACATCTGAAAAGTGCATGTGGAAGCGGGATCTCTACGATGGCGGAAAGCGGGAGAGAAATTCAAAAAGGCAAGCTTTCGTTATTTGTTACTGCTTACATCCAGACAAAGAAACGAACCCAACAACGTTTCTTGACTTCCATTTAACGTTTTCCGAGGCTTAAAGCAAAATTTTATACACGAGAAAAGTCAAAAAACGAAAATTCGTACTCGGGATAAAAAAAACAGCATTACTTCCTGTGAAATCGGAAACCTTTCCAAGTCGCTTACATCATAGGACATGAATGAGATAGCATGACACATGTACACGAGTGTCGACTGTACCAGTCGTGTCACTGGCTCGTCTGTCTCGCTAGCTGTCGAAATTCTCCGTAAGAACGACACCGGTGAGGGTAAAAGGAGTTTGCGGAATGGCATGTGGCATGGCTTGCGGAAGGACATAATTATGGGGAATGTAAAATATGGACAATGGCGCAAAGAAACAAATAAAACTGAAAAGCATCTTTGTCGAGCCTCTTTTTGGCGCCAATTTGAGTGAGCAACTGCTTTGCAGTTACATTTATTACTGCTGGCTCAAACCAACAAGGCAGAGCAGAGAGTAGCGATAAGGTTTACTAATACTTAATTTATTTTTGGTGTTTTCGACAATACTTTTTCTCTTTCTGCCCACCATTATAATACAGTCAAATGTCAAAACGCTAGAGGGAAAAGAACGCTTGTTGAACGTGAAGTCCGGCTAGCTACAATTCTAGGGATTGTTAATTAATACGGTAGACGAATCAGATCATATTTTAGACTAAAAGAACGCCCCGACTAAAACAAATCTGTGATTCAGAAATTAAGTGAAGCGAGCTGCTCTCTGTCTCCTTTCGACCTTTCCGCGTGTCTTCGCACCTTCCTTGTTTATGTGAGTGTGTGCGTTTGATCGTAAAAAAAAGCTAAAACGGTAGGAAGGGAAAAAAAAGAGAAAAAGACACACACTTAACTGCCAGGATTCACACTCGCCCTTCTCCGCCAGCTGTTAGCTTCGCGTGCCGGAAACGTAACCACGCAGCCAAGGAAACAAAATGCAAGATCTGTTTCATCTCTAAATATTATGTCACGATCACGTAACCCATGCACCTCCACCGTCTGAAAGTGAAACACTTCTCGCGCGGTTTCAAATACAACTATAAGTAAAAGGAAACTGTTAAGTTAATCGTGCAAACATCTTCTGCAGAAAAAAATAAAGTAGAAGGGAGTGTGACCTTCCAAAATATATTTTCTTCAATGGACGACTTTCGTCATATAGTATCGGTGCTGCCACGCAGCCCGACTAATAAAGGCAAGAAGAATCTTTGTGGCTGTGCTGAAAAGGCTAATCGACAATGAGCCGTCGTGGCCGCGATTGTCATCGTATGTTGAGCCTGCAACATTAAAACAGCGGCTGTGTTTGCAAATTGATTGGCGCCAAAAAATGGCGCACTTTTCAGTTTAATTTATTTCTTTGGGTCATTCTGCGTATATTTAATTTACATTCCACATAATTATGTCATTCTGCAAGCCATGCCACATGCCATTCTTCAAATTCATTCCGCCTTTTACCTTCACCAGAACGACAAAGCGAGTCAGGTCAAATGTCGTCAAAGACCATTTTGATCGGTCTCGGTATTTTTCGGTGTGGTGGGGAAATAGAAAATCCGTCCATGGAAGACCTTCCTGGGAACTCTCTCCGTACGACTATAATTCACAAAAAACTGAAAGTTTTGTCGCGTGGTGTAAACTTGTGTCGAAGGAACGTGGTTTGATTTACAACACATTTTTTTATTTTGGACAAGGCCAAAACACTCCCTATTAGAATAGGGAGTCAAACAGCATGATTTACATGATAACGGGAGAAACACGATAAAGGGCGGGAGTTGGGAGACAAAAGGACAAAAAAGCACGGGAGGCGGGAGAACGGGGTACGGGAAGCGGGAGATTGTGACCCCCCTGTCACCCCCCCCCCACACTGACAAAGGGTTTCGTGACCAGGAGAAAAGTGTAACATTATCCTTACTTTGTCAGACTTCTCCACACTTCCACGCCTCTGAGAAGTGTAGAACTAAGTAAAGAATGACAAAGGGTTTGTAACTGGGGGAAAAGTGTGACATTATCCTGACTTTGTCAGACCATTCCACACTTCCACAACTCTGAGAAGTGTAGAACTAAGTAAAGAATGACAGAGGGATTGTGGCTAGGGAAAAAGTATGACAAAATCCCGACTTTGTCAGACCATTCCACACTTCTACACCTCTGAGAAATTTAGAACTAAGGATGAAAAAGGAAAGTAGGGATCTTGTGGCCAGCGCTGGACATTTGTGAGTATTATCGTTATGTAACTTACTTAAAGGGGTCCCAAAAAGATCAAAGTGTTCTGGAACATCTCCTTTGATTGCATTCTGAACAGGAAGACATCGATGTCCAAAGCGCGGCCTTCCACGAAGCAGAAGCCATTTCAACGATGCCAGTGCCTCGGCTGACGACAATACGCCATCTGCAATCTCTTGGGGAACCGATTTTGAATAGCCTGTAGTTGTTACTTAACGATTACAGTGCGACCACAAGAACCGAGGCCACCCAGACAAAATTTTGAGATAAATTTTGAAATAAGCCAGCAAGCACAAGTCGAGATCTAAACTTTACAATGAAATTGCACATGAGTGTACTCAGAGCCAGTTCAAAATACGTTGCGAACCATTTTTCTAAAGGATATAAATAAGGAATCGTGACGTTTGTATAAATCAAGCTGAAAAATGGATCGAATCAAAGCCAGCAGTAAAGAAAACTCACTCAGCCCCGTTTGCCGTGAAAATGAGCGGCTGTTGCCTTTAGTTCGGATTGTTCAAAGTTTCTTTACTGATGGCTTTAATTCCGGCCAACCTAGACGTTGTCAAAACTTTTTTCAGCTTGACGTCACGATTCCTTATTTATATCTTTTAGAAAGATGGTTCGCAAATCGCAACGTATTTTTAACTGGCTGTGTATACAATAGTCCATTTTATAGTTGTGGACTTAGTACCCTAACCCTCGAGTGAATGTGAGGCTGACGGTGACCTTTTTTTGATAGAAACCTCCTTTGCTTTGTTATGGAAATACTGGTTAGCATAAGAATAACTTGATTTACATGATAAAGCAGGAAGGCTTGTATCAAAACAAGGTCAACTCCAGCCTCGCTTCCGTCCATAACTGCAAAATGGCCTATTATGTGCAATTTCATTGTTTAGATCTCGACTTGTGATTGGCTAATTTCAAAATTTGTTTTGTGGGTGGCCTTGGTTCGTGTGGCCGCACTGTAAGTGTGGACAGAAACGAAGGCTCTGTTTTTGGACCATACTTGTTTTAAATCTATATCAAACTATTAATTAATCTATTAATAAATGTCAAGTTATTATTCTTTATTTTATTCGCTGATGATACAAATCTATTTTTAAGTCACCAAGATTTAAAGACGCTCGACAAAATCATGAATCAAGAAGTAAACCAGGTTACATTGTTGCTAGCAGCAAACAAATCATCATTAAATGTTGGAAAGACTATTTTTATGATCTTCAAAAGCAATAATAAAAAAATTTAACATGACGTAACTGTAAATATTGCACAGCAAAATATAAAAAAAGTGGATCATGCAAAATTCTTGGGGGTATTAAAATGTTTAAAACATAGATATTGTGTTGGAAATTTCACATCAATTATGTATCAATGAAAAAATCAAAAATAGCAGGTATAATAGCAAAAGCAAGACATACAATATTTAGAACTAAAAAATTTAAAGGAACTATACAATACCATGGTTTATGCATACCTGACCTATTGTAATATTAACTGGGCATGCATATGTCCTTATAGACCAAGATCTATTTAGTACATATCACTAAAGAACATAGTAAAACATTTTAAAGTTTTGTTTAAGTCAGTAAAAATAATGAATATCTATGAAATAAATGTATACCTACATGCAATCTTCATGTACTTGCATTAGTACGGCAAACGTCCTGAAACACTTAATGACTACTGCGTAATAAACGATAGTATACACTCCTAAAATACAAGATCAACTTAAAAAATACACTTTCGTAAGAACAAATTACGGAAAATTTTCTATTCAGTATAGGGGAGTCATACATAAAATAGTTTGCCAAATTATTTAAAGGAATTAAAATCAAGCAACACATTCAAGAAAGCATTACAGCCAGGTACCATTCAGCTGACTATTCCTCCTTGATACCTTGATTTATATGTAAAGTGAAACTTATTACGACACCTTCTATCAACAATGTAAAGAAATCATTGAGGAATCTTAAAAAAGCTCATCAGAGCTTGTTGCGTTTCCCTTTGCCTTAGCTATATATCACTGTAATAACAAAATGATGTAGCTGGCAATAAACAATTCTCGTGAGAATAACGGGACAAAATAGGTGAAAAGGCGTGGTTATTACAAAATGGAGCAGTGCTTCTTAGGGCGTCGGGCTTTAACTTTCTTTGTTGCTGCTCCACCAGATTTATTTTGAGTCTCTTTTTTTGCATGTTCTTGTCTCTCTTCAATTTCTATGGCTTTCTTCTCTCTATTTTTGGCTTCAATTTTGTCTTCGACATCTCTGAGCAAGTTTTCGTACTCACTCTTGTCTTCCTCACTGAGGTCCTTTTCCTCTAGCAGTTTTTTTCTTAGTCGTTCCCTCTCTTGTTTCAGCTGTTCAAACTTCAAGGTAAATCCACTGGAATCCAGAGTTTTCTTGATGCGCTCTTCAAGAACTTCCTTCGAAGCATCGGTGAGACTGTTGATGAAAGGACTTTTTGCCAGATTCATTTTGTCGATTGTCTGAAGGAAAAAGGGCGAAAATAAGCTAAAGATCTATCCAAAATTGCCAATGAACTTCGAAAACAAAGGTACGACTGTAATGGATATAAATTACGAGTTCCAGTACACCTTTTCCATTAATCTCCCTCCACTATTTCCTAATTAGTTTCATTAAAGTAGGGGAGGACAGAGTCCTTCATAACTAGTTAATTTAACAAAAAGACGGAGAGCCTGTTAAATGAACAAGGGAGAAAAAGATTGTACACTGTAACAATATGTTAAATTTACACTTCTATTAAATTTACGCCTTCTCTAAATCTAAAAGGTGGTACGAATTCGATAACAGAAAATATAAATTAAAATATTAAAAAATATATCATTAATTCCGAGAGTAGCGAGGCTTATAACTTCGTCGCGCGCAAAGCACGTGCACCGCGCGTAACTCCCACGAGGATCGCAAGACAAGCGTGATCGTCTCTTTGATATAAATCTATCGAGTTTGGTTGGTGTTCCCCTTAACATCATCGCATTGTTGGTTTCCAGGCAACCGATAGGCTTGCTTTGCGAAGAGCGTCGTCTTGCTTTGGTCATATTTCTATCTGGCTGGTTTTATAATGGCCCGTGTTAGGAGTCGATAAGTACTTTTTGCGAAGGCAAAAGTACTTTTAAGAGAAAATGGAAGCGACTTGGATCATTAGCCTTAAGATATGAACGAAAATCGAGGTAACAGAACACATGTTTTGTTCGCATACGAGTTTGTACCATATCGGCTTTGTTGGGCATCTGTTCTTTAAATGCGATGAAATGCGTTTAAGTTCGGTTTTTTTTACAGTAAAAACACCAGTTATTCTCCTGAAAAATAGCTTTGAACCAAACTTAGTGAGTTAAGTTCATGAAAAATTCGACGTCTGGCTTAGGGAACATACCATGGAAGAGATGATCTTTTTTTAAAAGCCTTTAGAACTTTTTTAAAGCCTTTAGAACTCCCGCCAGCACGCCCTGTTCCTTAGGCACTTCGACGTACGCGTGACGTGATCAACGGTCGCTCAAAGCTTAATACGTCACAGCGACAACTTGCCTCCGTCCGGGAGCGGGCACAGTGTTCATTTGCCAGTGACAAATCGCGCCAAAACATGACCCGAGCACCCGGCTATTTACACAACCGAGCAGTCTTCTTCGTTTTCTTCTTAGTCTGACCTCGATGCTTTTTAAAAACTTTCACTTTCACATACTTTCACTTTCAATTTAAACCTCTCAGAGTCTTTAAAACAACGATGCACTGTGCCCGCTCCCGGACGGTGGCAAATTATCGCTGTGACTTTAGCTTTGAGCGACTGTTGATCACGTCATGTCCAAGTGCCCGGTAGTACGCATCGAGAGAAAGAAAACTCTAAGGGAAAAAGTTTAAAATCAAGCGCTTCGCGAGGGGTTTTGGTAAAATCTGAGACTCCAGAAGCATAGAGGGGAAAGACAAATTATCGACAGATCCTTTGACGGCAATTTTGGCGAGTTTGGACCGTTTTTATGAGATTTATGGAGCTTCGAACTTGAACGGTCGGCTTCAGAGTCTCCAGTCTTCCCATTTTTCTTATTGTTAGTACAACTAAAAATCTTAAACCTCGATAAAACGGCTTGCAAATGGCTTTAGAAGTGACGAGACAGTAAAAAAACAAAAAAACAAAAAACAAAACAAAACAAAACAAAAACACAAGGAGAGTCATTTTTGTTTCTTTTTTTGGTCAAAAAATGGAATTTAGGACGTATTTTGTTTATTTTCATACATTCCCTTATAAAGTCCCAACGAACTCCCACCGAGTTTGGGACGCCTGTGGAGAATGTCAACAACAAATCTCCGTCGGCTGTGCGGTCCGGAAGGAAATCTTGTCGCGTCAATATGACAGTTCTATTGTATTTTTAAGGAAAAACAGACGACAACAGCGCGTGCGCATAATCAGGACACTGTCCCTTTTTAATTCTCAATGATGATGACCGGACGCTACGCTCTATCCAAGCCAAATAGAGAGCAGGTCATTGTGAGTTCGTTATATACCCGAAGGTGGAAATGACATAAATGGAAATATAGGAAATGACTAATGTTTTGAACTGCGGATAAAGAAATGAAAGTCGAAAGAATCCTTGCACAGTTGAATAAACAACCTAAGCGGTTGAAAAAGAACATGACAAAAATTAACGAACTTACAATGACCTGCTCTCCAGTTGGCTTGATTAGCTTTGATAGAGCACAGGTGCCCCAAGCTCGAAATATGACCATCGGCACTGTTGCGTATCGTTCTAACTAGAAATATGTATGTCGCAATACCCTCGCGAAACTCGGTTAGGTAACGGCACTCAAGTTAAGCCCTGTCGGTCGGGGTTACGAACTGGATGGGTGACCAACCGAGAATCACGAACAATTTCCCATGCAAATGACACACAAGCACAACAACTGGCTCCAAATCCTCGCCCTGGAAGATTTTCCACCGAAACTCCTCTGGAGCGAGAACGCCGACTTCAAATTCAGCGTGAACAACGAAGGAGAAGACGTCAACAAGAAACCGCGGAGCAGAAGGAACATCGCTTAGCACAGCGAAGGCAACGCCGACAACAACAGACAGAGGAACAGAAGGTTGGAATCAGTGGCATTATGATCGTTTTACACTGTCGAAAACCCAGATTTCTTAGTTTGCCGGTTTCCCCTACGGGCGTGTGAGGCTAGCGCGCTTCGCGCGCGTAAGACTCTTACGCCACGCTTTACCGATTTCTTTTACTGATTTTGAGAAAAAAACCGACTGTTTTGTAGTCTAATAAATAAACACATCAAAATGCGCCTTTGGTCATCGGTGGCGAAGTCTATGTTGCCTGGAAACGCAAAATGCTCCATGACGTCACTGGCGGACACCAAGCATATATTCAGAGAAAGATTTATTTATGAAGCCTCGAATTTCGCAGCTAAGACCACGCGCGGTTAGCAGACTGCGCTCTCGCTTCGCGCGCGACAAGATTATAAAGTCGTTACGCTCGGAATTATAAGGATTTGTATGGGAGAAAAAAAAAAACATTTGTTTCTGTAGCCTGCGAGAGTAAAAGGATTTAAATAAAAATCGGCTAACTTCGCGCGCGCGTGGGAGCCTCACTATAAAGAATTTTAATAGCAACAGTAAACAGATACCGTAGAACCTCGATAACACGAACTCGGATAACTGGAATTCCCCGCAAACGCAAACTAAATTTCCTTTCCCATGATCGAAATTTCACTGAGATTTATCCCGATAACTCGACTTCCTCGCTAACTCGAATTGTTTTTCTTTTCCCTTCAGAGTTCGAGTTACAGGGTTCTATTGTAGTGGCTTAATCCATTCATCACTACAATGATTTTGGAAATTTTAGCGACTAACAGATTTATATGTTTGAGCCATGTAAAGTTGTCAGACATTTAAATAAACACTCCCAAAAACTTACAGTCGTTTGCGTTTTTAACAATATTACTATCGATTTTACATAATTATTGTCCCGACGTAGTCAATCGAACGTTCGGTAATCGAGTATAGCAGGCAAGATGTCGGACAGGGCAGAGGTGAAACTTACTATTCTATTCCATTACATTGCTTGCGTTTTGCAGCAGCTTCTGCAAACACCACTTGCAGTTTTAATAGAAATCTACTTTGAGGTAATGAGGACACTTTTAGCGCTAGTAGTAACTATTTTGTGCACACTGTACACTGTTGCGTGTGTCCAGATTCAGTTGCTGTGGTCGTTTTCTAGTTATCTAAGCGAAGCTTTAGCGACCACGGTATAAATCTTTTAAAAATATCCCCGTTCGGTGTTATCCCGAGCGATATAAAGGAAGTTTACATGTTGTACTGAGCCGTTCATGTTATATTTATATTGTGAATGAATCAATTTCGAATCAGCTAAACAATAAAGATTTTAGTTCCGTGAAATGTGTTAATATCTCTAAAACTTGCTCCTCTAGTTAAAACTCAGTTAAAGAGTGAATTCCCTCCAGTTCTACTAAGAGTTAATACTTATCAATTTTGTATACCATTTTGTTTTTCTACCGAACAAAATCGAACCAATCGCGTCGACTGAGTTCGATTGGGTTCGGTAATCGAACTTAATCGAACTCACAAAAAAGCTCCAGTTCGATTATGTTCGATTGCCGAACCAATCGAACTCCAATCGAACGATTGGGTTCGATTGGTTTTTGGTTCGGTTTCGTTCGATTGACTACGCCGGGTATTGTTCAACGCTTACGTTGATAAGATTTGTCAGTTGCTTCTTATATCCCTCTGGATCTTTTTCCTCCCTCAGCATGTTGTTAAACAGCACCACTCGCTCGTTGATGTCGTCGACAAAATGGCGCATCCATTCTGGCGCATTTCTTACCCACCGCATACAGCATTCCTCTATTGTTATGTTTTGTTCTTCTACTGCATTCTTCGTCTGGTCACCATACGTAAGAACGAGAATCGTGTACTTCAAAGATTCATTTCCCAGAAAGGTGGTTAGAAGTCTTAACGCTTGCTCATCTTCGCCTGTCAATCGAGAGCCATATCTTGCTACAAACAAGAAAGCATCAAACCCTCTCGGAGCAAGTGCAAAGATTTTGCTCACTTCTGTCAAAATCTTTTCTTGATCGAGTCGCGCTTGACATGCAAGAGCGACAGCTGTCGACCTCTTAACTGCGGCCGTATACAGAACGCCTGGGGTGTCTATCACGAAAATAGAACGCTCAAGGGATCTTCGTCCATGTTCACATTCTTGTGTGACAGCTAAACCGTCTGACTCAGACGTAAAGTACCTCTTCCCAATGATTGTGTTTCCTGTTGCGCTTTTTCCGTTGCCGGTCTTCCCAAGGAGAACAACAGTGAGGTCTTTGCCACTTGGAAGCTAGAGAAACACATGCAGTGTATTAGTGATAATGACAACAAGTGAGAGATGATGGCTATTTAATAGGGTAAGCAAGAGATTGTGCCAGTTGCCTCGGACCAAGTAAAAAGAGAAACTGCTCATAGTCTGAGTTGGAGCAAATTCGATGATGATCGAAAGTAAATGCCATTTTGCGGCGATTTGGCATGAAATCATTGTCCGTTTCTGTCCAATGTACGCATAGTATTTCTTATTTTTATAACACGCAAAGAAAAATGCCATTTTTTTGGGGCGTCGATAAAACCCGGAACACGAAACATTCCGGAACATTCCGGAACATGCCGGAACATGACGGAACATCCCGGAACATGAAAAAATAAAAATAATTTTCATGGAAAAAAAAAATACAAATACAATAATAATAATAACATAGTTTTTGTAAAAATTAATAATAACAAAATAACATGAAAAACGAAAAATTAAGAAATCTGATTAAGAAAAAGAAACTGATATCTGTTCATCTAGGAGTATGAGAAAACAATATTTTGTCACAATTAATTTGTTGGGCGAGTGAGGGTCCATGCAAATGGTAGTAATGAGTGAAGGCTTGCTTCTAAATTCAAAATATAATGAAATGGGTCACGAGGAGGGAGGTTTTCAAGCTTTCCTGACAGAGCCATCTCTTGTAATTGTTTGCCATGAGTTAATCATTTGGCAGTCATCCATTTAAGGCTCTGCGATGGTCTGAGATGCAGCATTTCATGTCAAGCTAAGTCGGTAAGTAGCTCGTGTCAAGCCAACATATAGTGTCCTTATATAACCGACATTTGATTACTTGAGGTGCTTTGCTTTCTTGAGGTTGACATGAATTACTTACAGACAGGAGCCGATTGACTAAGTTGAGGATGGTGATCGCCGCTGTTAAAGTGATTTAACTTGAGCATCCCCTGTGACGTTGCATTTTTTCCACTCTGTGTGCTGAAACGCTGTTCTCCCTATATTTCGAGCCCAAGCCTAATTTATAGAAGACACTTGAAGATTTGCTTATGCGACTTGTTATTTTTGTAAACTCTATTTTTCATCTAAATTCACTGAATATTACAGTATCAGTTTGTTACGTGTCCGGGTCAAAGGTGAATAGAAAGGAAAAGAGCCGTCCGTCTTTGTTTGTTTGTTTTGTGTCCCAAATGCTCCGAGACTGATATATTTAGCAAAGTGGTTCCGTCGTGTCAGTGTCATGTCTGGAGTCTGAAACGGGTCTAGCTAGGAAGTCTGTGAGGATCTCCATGATCACGGCAATCACAACAGCCCCTCCCATAAAGGGATTGGGTCATTATTGGGTCATTATTTTATTCTGCGGAACTCAAGATTGTTTTTTTTTTTTGTAATTATGAGGGATGAATAGTCAACATAAGGATTTAATTCAAAAGATATCTTTGTATGTGGCACATATATCCCACCTCAAAATTCCATTTACTTTTATCCTGAACTATTTGAAGAACTTGAAAACGATATTGAGAAATTCTCGGCTTTTGGATCAATTCTTCTCATGGGTGATTTCAACTCTAGAACAGGCAAATACTCAGACAATGTCTGTCAAGAGGGCAACACCATTATAACAAACGATCAATCTGAATTCTCCTTATGCGCCCTTCAGCGACACAGCTTTAATAACGAATTAAATAACCACGGTAAACGGCTTTTAGAAATATGTAGGAGTGCAGATCTAACGATTATGAATGGTAGATCCCGTGGCGATTCGCTGGGAAGGCCAACATTTCATGGTAAATTAGGAGTTAGTGTTGTTGACTATGCAATATGTGACCAAGACTTATTCCACTCTATCGCGAATTTTGTTGTCAAAGAGCCGTCGAGTTTATCAGATCGCAGTCCAATAATGACATGGCTTAACATTACTAAGGTAAATACCCACTTAGCTACAGAAAATACCAATGATACATTAATTCGTTTACTCAAAGAGTTTATATGGGAAAATGATTCATCACAAAAATTTAAAACAGCAATGCAAACAAGAGACATACAGAGAATGATACATGATTTTCTTGTTGACAGTAGGCCAGACAAACACATTAACTCCTCTCTCGATGCAGTAGAAAGGATTCTTTTTGCAACCGCAAAACATTGTTTGAAAATTAAGAACGTTAAAAGACGATATTTAACAATTATTCATTGAAATCGAGGTGAATAGTGGCAAAATATTTACCGAGCCGCGAAAGCGGCGAGGTAAATATTCCCAAAGCCACTATTCACCGAGATTGAGAAGAATAATTGATCTCAACAAAATCAGAAAGGAAACCATTCAAAAGTAGGATTTGATTGACAGATCAAATCACGCGTAAGTTTAAAAATAGATCTTTGCAGAATTTTCAAACATGGCAATTCACAAGTTTACTCATTTCGCAAACAACAGCGTAATGGCTTCAATGGAATCGCTAAAAGTTTGAACTGTTTCCTTACCTGAGAAAAAAAGTAGAGCTGTGTTGTTTTCTGTTGACTCGCCAAGTTTAAAGCCAAAAGGGCATGTTGTGTCGTTCTTCGCATGAAGTGCTGACAAAAATGGCGGCTCGGTTGCTCGAGGTAAGAGGTCGTCTTCCTGTATCATTCTTTTTCCTGTTTACTTGAAATGTAGAATTTCTGCAAACATTTCCTTTTAAATTTGTTTGTCATAAATAAACTTCGATTTTTGAGCCAAAGTTTTCTTCTTAGAAAACGCTGAGTTCACGAAACGGCTTCTTCTACGCGAATACACGGGAGTTGTAAACAATCCATCGAGCACAAAACTCCTGCTACAGTAAATTGAAAAACGCCGTATTGAATCCTTCCAAGTCTTTTCTTGCCTTAAAAAAGGTCAGCCCTAGGATTTTGTCGACTTTTAAAAGATCGTTCTCTAAAAAAAACGGGAAAAACACCGAGCTCACACATTATCCACTCGCTAGGAGGTGAATATTGTTGAATAGTCCGAGATAGCGAACCAATCAGATTGCTTAAATCACCAAGATCACTGAGTGTGTATATACTAAACTAGATTATCTTCTGTTTCGTCTAACAAAAAATGGTTTGATAAAGAATGTCGTCTTAAGAGACACGAATTGAGGAAACTTGCTAATCTAAAACACAGAGATCCTCTCAATATTACGCTTAGGGAAAACTATCACACTGTCTTAAAACAGTACAAAAACGTTCTGAAACAGAAGAGAAAAGAATACTATGATACTAAGATCTCGGAACTAGAAGACATGATAGATAACTCAAACAGCCGAAATTTTTGGAACTGCTTGAAATCTATGGATGATTCTATGAAGGAAACTAGTACCCCGCCAACCTCAGAAGAAAGTTGGTTGTCTCACTTCCAGTCACTACATTCAAACGGGCCTCTTAATTCACACCAAGAAGCCATTATCGATGAGTTAACAAGATTAGAAGACGCAACAACACAATCGCATGCTTTGGACTATCTAATAACTGAACTCGAAATACGCACAGCGGCTAATAAACTCAAAAACAACAAATCTTCGTATTCAGATAGAATAAAAAATGAAATGATCAAATCCAGCTTAAATGAACTAATGCCTATTTATTTGAAGTTATTTAACGCTGTTCTGACGTCAGGCACTATACCTCAAACATGGTGCGGTGGCCTTATAACACCAATTTTTAAAAGTGGGACTAAAAGTGATCCCTCAAATTATCGAGGAATTTGTATTTCTAGTTGTCTTGGGAAACTATTTTGCTCAATTCTCAATCAAAGACTTCTCAAGCACATTCAGTCGCGTGACATACTTCATAAATCTCAAATAGGTTTCTTAGCAAATAATCGAACCGCTGACCATGTTCTTACACTACGAACATTAATTGACAAATACGTTGACTGTCACAAAACGAAAGTATACGCATGTTTTGTGGACTTTAGAAAAGCATTTGATTCGATGTGGCACGATGGACTCTTATACAAGCTGTTACAAATAAATGTCCGAGGAAACTTCTATAAAGTCATAAAAAGTTTATACTCAAACTCTACCTGTTCTATTAGGATTGGAAATAACCAAACACATCCTTTTCAATACACTAGAGGCGGTGCATCAAGGCTGCATTTTGAGCCCTCTTCTCTTCAACCTATACGTTAATGATCTAGCTTTTTCATTCAACAATATTTTATCTGATCCGTTTGTGCTACCAAATGGCACCAAACTCAATTCTCTTTTTTATGCTGACGACCTTATTATATCATCACGATCGAAACTAGGATTACAAAATTGCCTCAACAAATTGTCTTCATATTGCAACTCCTGGATGCTTAAAATCAACCCCAAGAAAACCAAAATAATGGTTTTCCAAAAAGACACAAAAAAATGTGATTGTGTTTTTCACATAGGCAATGAAATGATAGACATTGTAAAAGACTATACTTACTTAGGGACTCGCATCTCGTCTTCCGGAAATTTTACACTCTCACTTGAACATCTTCGACAAAAAGCCCTTCATGCTCTATTTAGTCTAAGACGCCACACTGATTTTAGTAAACTGAAACCCTCCCTTGCAAATAAAATTTTTGACACAATGATCTCACCCATTTTAACTTACAATAGTGAAGTTTGGGGTGCCTTTGTGAAATCAGATTTTAAGTCATGGGATAACTCCGGAATCGAAAAAACTCATTTACACTTCTGTAAACGATATTTAGAAGTCCATAACAAGTCATCCAATGTTGCATGCAGATCTGAACTTGGCAGATTCCCTCTGATCATTGATATAAATAACAAGATACTTAATTACTTAAACTATCTCCAAGAAAAAGATGAAAAATCTATAGTTAAACAATCTTTAAAAATATCTGTTGACCTTTATCATAGTGGCCAAAATAGTTTTTACTCCAGTCTTAAGAAGATGACTGACGACTATGATTTCCCAGGCTTTAATTGTAATTTACTGAATAAATGTAAAATTAAGCAATATGTAGATCTTATGCAAAAGAAATATATCACTTACTGGAATCATACCCTTCAACATTCACAAAAACTTAACTTTTATTATAAAATCAAAACGAATTATAGCCCTTCTGTCTACCTAGATTTAACAAGAAAGAACCCTTCTAGGAAAACATTAGTGAAACTGAGAATAAGCAGTCACAAACTTAGGATTGAGACAGGTAGATACGACAATCTACCACGTGGCGAAAGGTTATGCAATCTCTGCAATTGTAACAGAATTGAAGACGAAACTCACTTTTTATTAGATTGTCCAAGTTTCTCTTCGATAAGAGATATGTTCTTCTCTAAACTAGAACCTAAAATACCGTTTCTACGACTACAATCACATGAGTCCCTATTATCACATCTGATGAATTCTACTGACTATTTTATTAACATCCAATTAATTTCATTTATATCAACTTGCTTTGAATTGAGAGACAAACTTATCTCCGGAATAATTAATCCTACTGATGGTTAGAAATAAACAATGATTAATAAGTTTCAAATTATTTTAAATATTTAATTTACAAGGAATCAATGAGTAATTTCAAGTAGCTTTTGCAATATTGTATTACTTTGTTATGGTCATGCAAATAAAGCTTATTGTTGTTGTTGTTAAAGAAAGTCTCGTCGCCGAGCCAGCTACGCATTACTGTTTCCAAAATGAAAGCTTGTTCACTAAAATCCAGTAACGTCACAAAATTCAAAGCAACAAACACATTAGCAAAGCATTCGAATTTAAGCAACAACTTCGCTCTCACCATGTTTTGTCGTCAGAGGATATCCAAATCACTTTGACAGCGGCGATCGCCATTTTCAACTTGGCGGAATAAAATAGGGGCTGTGATCTAGCTTGAATTTCAGCCATCTCCTCGAGCCGCGTACCCTGGGTGCCTGAGGCTTTCCATGCGTGGTTTCCGGTTTCTGTCAAGTCTTAAAAAGTGACCCGTGCGAAAAGCCTCTGGACCAGAGCGCCATCCCTTTGATAGCGCCGAGCCAATTACAACCCCGCTTATACTAAAACACCCAGAATCTGGATGTTTTGCTGATTGGTTCCTCGGAGATATCGATTGTTTCAAATGCTCTGATTGGATTACAATCACAATAGGCGCGTGATCGGGACGCGGTGGTTTGAAGGTGATAAAGATCAAATCCAAACATTCCAAGCACACATCACGTACGTTTAGAATTGGAAATATCAATGTACCAGTTCGGGAGTATGCCAGTTTTGGAAGAAGCGATGACGTCATGATTCCATTGTTCTGCTAAAAACACGCAAAAATAGGAAAAAATAATCACAAGAAACAAGGGAGCTTTTTTCAAAGCCTGTTCCAGGTCTCCTCGTTCAATATCCGAGACTTCCGAGCTAGCAGTACCGATGAAGAAGCCTTCTCCTTGCTTTTTGAATGTCAAGGGAAGTTTCCTGCCACATTTCGGTAGTTAAAAGCGACAGTTTTCAAATGGCCTTCGACGCCGCCGCCGCCATCTTGACGGGTATCGAATGTAAGTACGTGACTTTATGTTTAGTTTTCAGTATCTTGCCGAATTTTTTCGAAATCAAGACTAATTTTCCTCAAAACTAAAACGTGTAAAGTGTGTTCAGGCAAAGTTTCATCGATGGCAACAACCTAGCAAAAATGGCAACCACACATTGAAAATTGCCAACGGACAGGAAGGGTTACTGATATCGATGGTTATGCCTTAGTCTGTCTATGTAGTTTTAGTTATAATCGATCAGGTCTGTTTTTGGTCGTGTTCACCGGCAATGTATGCGACATCTCATCTAGAAATCACTTTATTGATCCAGATCATGTGTGTGGAATGAGTTTTAAATCAGTGTGAGTAGGTTCTTATATTGATTTCTTTTATTTTGATCAGGATTTCCGTCAAAAATGAAGACTAACATATGGAGATATTACAAACATGTTGTCGCGTTTGTGCCAAAAAGCTGGGAACAGGAACCAGGAGGACAAAATGCTAAATATCTTCAGAACGACATATTTGTGCTCTGAGGGCAAAATATTGCTTTAGGTTCGCCTTATGTTCCACTGTAATGAAAAATTTAATGTCCAAATTCAACCCTACCTCAATAAAATTAAACATGTTTTTTTTTGTTTCTTTGTAGTGTGGTCACAGGCTTACCTACCACAAAAGCCCCTCCTTTGACCTTTTCAAAAATGGGTAGGAGGGAAACAGGTTGGAGGGGGGGCTTATATACATTGTGAGTGGAAGCTCACACTCAATGACCATTCAACCATAGAAGAGACTGTGGCCCTTATTCAAGGGGCTTTAAAGGAGATAGATGAGGAAGGAGTCATAGAAGTGGAGGCTTGTGAAGATTTTCTCTACATAATGTTCAATCCATGGCGTCAAATATTGTTTTTACTTTACAGATGCCAAATACATAATATGTTCAGTCCCTGTGCTGTGCAAAAGGTCAATCTGAAACATGAAAAATGCCCCACTCTCCCCCATCAATCCCTGTGCATGAGCAATAAGCCCACATTTGATGTAATAATACCAAATATGTGTGTATTTGAATAAATCCTAAATTATTGAGATTCTCTTGATGAAAAAACATCTATGTTAATGCATCTTCTTCAACAAATCATCCTCCCTAATAAATAATACATGAGAGACATCTCACAAGATAACTATTGAAAATCGATGTCAGCTGCTACTGTCTTCATTACATCAATTAAGTTTTGGTTTTTGGTTTCATGTCCAAGAAGGTGTTAAAAAAACAAGATTTTGAGATAAAAGAGTGTGTATAATATGTGAGTCAGCGAGCCATGGCAGCAAGTCATGCAGGTCAGAATCAAAAACAGTAATACGGAAAGAATTAACTGTCAGGACCTAAAATGAAATGTTTATTTACAAAAAACAAAATGTAACAATAAATAACTTTTATTGTATCTTTACTCTGATGTGTGAGCTTTGTTTTCTTGAAAGTGCTGTTCAATAGAAACATGAAGAACCGGCAATGAAAAAGAACTTTGGAAAGGTTTTTTATAGCGGCTTCGCCGCTCGTGTCTTCAGCCTTCGGCCGAACACGTGTCCGCCTGCGGCCGACGAAATGAAGCTCCCCTTCGCACGCGAGAAAAAACCTCTGGTACCCAGGGTACGAGCCGCAAACTTCATTTGCGACTCGGGAGACGGCTAAAAATTCAGGCTAATTGATAACAGTTAGAAACTACCGCTGCGCTACCACTGCCACTGCAACTATTCAAGGCAAATGTGAATCTTATCCACTAAAGTCCAAAGCGACGAGCACCTAAGCTCTTCTTACGGTCGCAAAGCCGTAAATGGATAACCGTTAAACCGCATGGCGAACAATACAATAGGTGGCTGTGTGAGGAAAGCTTGAAATCCCTCCTCCTCGCGACCCATTTTAATATATTTTGAATTTAGAAGCAAGCCTTCACTAATTACTGTCATTTGCATGGACCCACACTCGCCCAACAAATTATTTGCGACAAAATATTGTTTTCTCATACTCGTAGATGATACGAGTTTCTTCGTTTTTATTTATTTATTTTTCTTTTTGTTATTTGCGTTATTATTAATTTTTACAAAAATCATTTTATTATTATTATTATTTTTTTTTCTTAAATTTTTTTTTTATTTTTTCATGTTCCGGGATGTTCCGGGATTTTCCGGAATATTCTGGCATGTTCCCGCATGTTCCGGAATGTTCCGTGTTCCGGATTTTATCGACGCCCGAGACTATTCATTTATACTTTTAAATCCGGTACTGTTTACAGCCAGACCATGCAACCTTTCAGTTGCTGTATAATTGAATAAACAGGTTTTGAAACCTTTAAAAAATGCATCAGTGAACAATTTTGTTTTCTGCTCAATCTTCCCCAGTTCAAAGCATAGTGTTCATTGTCACGCAACACCACTCCTTGCCTTCTCAAATTGTAACAATTAACTGTATGCTGTATAACTGATTCAAATGGTAAGACCATCTTTCAAATCGCCAAAAATGTCTCAAAAACATATTTTTCTCGTGTCATCTTTTGTTCAACCATTCTTAAGAATTTAGATCATAACGCTCATTCAGTTTGAGAGACATTTTAATAACCTGGCCTGTCTCCAATAACTTTCGTTAGAGTTCAAATTACAAAATGCATTAGCCCAGATAGAATTTGGAAGTTGAGCTGAGAAAAAGACAAAAACGTGCTCCATACTATAAAGGTAAGTTAATTCCAGTTGTATGTTGGCAAATTTATTATAATTGTACCTTTAGAAATAGATCAGATTTCTTCTCAGGAAACGCCAATGATCCGTTCCGGCAACAGCAAGGCGTTGGTGAATCATTCAGATGTGTCATATTTCACTCAAAATTTGTTCAAGTTCAGAAGGTTGGTGTGAAGCGCAAATTAAATTACCCGAGCCAGGTCTTACATATGATTTAGCACAAAGGTGTAACACATGCCTAAAATTGAAATTGCGACTGTAGACCTAAATTTAGATTTCTGTCTTTGTTGAAAAAGAATCCAAACTAAGATAAACTTGTTTATCTTCCACATTACCGTTAAGATAAGAATTCACCACCAAAACAGAAGTACATGTAAAACCCTTCATAAATTGATTAATAGAGGAATACTTTACCCCGCTCTCTCAGGGTTCCTTTTTGCGCGCGAGCAAAGTTTTGAGAAGACCTCGTTTTACCGCAGATTTTGGTTGTTTTCAAGTCACCGACCATGAAAACTGATTTTGTCGGCTTTCTCCAAATAGGAGCGGCCTTTTGAAAAAAAAAAAACAAATTACACCACGTTTAGTTACTTACTTATAGTTATCTATGGACAAACTATGAGCGAAATTTATTGTTTGACCGTGGCCGCCGGTTGCTCGATGTTTTGCAGACATTCACTCTTTTTTATTTGGGCGTGGCGCAAATAGAGTAATGGAAACGGCTTGTTTTGTCGCAAATGTGCACTAGGCACGCAATACGTGCTAACGTAAACAAGGCAAGTAAACAAGAGAAGCGAGGCGAATGTCTGCCATACGAACGTCTTGTACAAGGTAAGAGGCATGTGGGAAAGAAAGCTCTGCTTGCACACGGCACTTAATCGCACTTTTACGATCTCAAAAGTTAATCTGAATCTTCAGTATTTTTGCCTCATTGAAATTTGGAAGTCTGAAGTCCAGGGATGAAATCTATCAAAAATGTTTGGAATATTAACGTCGGGTTTTGGTCCCAATAAGATCACTTGCAACGAGCCTTGAAACACAGAAACACAAAAAACGGATCGAAATCCACCAATCACAAATCATAAACAAAGACCTTTTGAACCCGTTGAAGAAAACTTTCGTTTCCTAAGAGGTCCGCTAAGATGATTGACGTCTGACATTTTTTGATGAGAGGATCGAAATGCACCAATCATAGAAAGACAGTTTTAATTGCATGTTTCCTAAGAGGTCATCTGAATTTGCTGTTTTCTTTATTTTATGTCCGTTTTTTGTGATTGGTCGATTTTGTTAGGTCGAGTGGACAATCCGATGAGGGACGATTTGGATATCGTTTTATCCGAAATTTTTCGAAGCAGCAGTGAGAAGCAGTTTGGATAACATTTGGCCGCGGCGTTTCGAGGAACGTGTTAATATATTGTTCAATCATGTTATCCCGGGTTAAACTTACAAATGCACACACTGTTCCCGGTAGGCCCACACTAAAAAATAACACTGCGTGTTTTCGGGACTGAGGCTTCTTTTGGAACTACTGTGATAACTGCAACAATTCTTCTTATTATTTCAATTTTGTTTAGCAGGGTGACGGTTAATGTACTTGTTTTTGTATTGCGTGTTGTGTTTTTTCATACGATGTTGTGCGTCGGGATTTTGCATTATCAGCGGTGTATGACATTTCCAGACTGCAGACTGCAGACTGCATGAGGCAGCAAGACTGTAAATTGAATGAAACCAAAAATATCGTAATAAAGGTGGCATCATCATCAACATTACCTTGTTCCGAGAAGTTTATGTTTTTGACGCAAATTACACCGACCTCATTCCTGAAGGAGTTGTTGGCTGTTCTTCTCGTATTGAATTAGAGCAGAATAATGTCTGCCGATCATGAATCCATAGCAACAGGCTAGCAATTTAGCCTGCACCACAGACGAAACTAAACTCTGGTTATATAAGCCTGTCTGTGAAACAGCGCCGGAATCCTTACTCTACGGGGGCCCCACTTGTGTACTAGGATTTGAGTATGAGCAATGATTGGCCTGTTAAAAAAGCCGTTGTCGATTTGCCTATTTAGAAATTCAAAATGCACTTCCGGTAATTCGTCGAGTCCAGGTAGGATCTGTTCGGTTTTGATTATTTGGCACATCCTTAAATACTGTAAGATGAAATACGTCATTTGAAAGGTGCTAAGAGGCGGTCCGTGTAAGAACCGACGACTCGAATTTCTGCGGGAAACAGAATTCCTTCATTTTTTTTCTGCGACAAAATAAGCCCATTCCATTAACAAAAATCGAATTTGTTTGGCTGATAATGCTTTTTTAAAAAAAATTGGGCGGCGATTTGACCGGACGGTCATGTCATGATCGTCTTTTTGAAGGTCAAATTTAAGCGTTTTGTTCAAGGCTCGCAAAAATTTCGCTTTTATCCAAATAGCATAAAACAAAAGTATGATTTTAATTCATGCTTCCTTTATTCAAAAAAGGGAAAAAAAAATTTCAATTCTGACTTTAAAAAAAGGAGTTATGATGTTTTGAAAATACCACGTAAAGCGTCCTTGAGAAAAATGCGCGGTTATCCTAGTTTTGAAATGAGCTTTTTTCAAAAGTCTGACGTTATCTGGAGTCTTGGTCACCATCCCTGTTCAGTACTAGGGTTAGTGTAGTAAAATCAAGAAAAACATTTTTGGGCACTGTTGATTCCGAGGCACAAGAGTTCGATAAAGTTGGCTAATATTCTACTGTAATTGTGCGTATGACGTAATTTACGCATTTTCCTGATTCCGAACTTTCCTGCTACAAAACTAAAAATCATCATTGTCAGGGAGCAACTCTTTTCAAAACTAGCTTAATGCTGGGGATAAACAGTGAATATCTTAAAATCCACTACATATTGTCCTTAAATTGGGATGTTACAAAAAAAGTAGCAGCTCCCGTGAATGTTGCTTGTCAAGTTGTGGCTAAACAGTTAAGAAATTTCGTTGAAATAAAGGGTCTAGAACGGTAAAAAAGTTAAAATACATTATGAATAGATTTACCGTGTAATTACCACCTCCAAAGTTATGAAACGATTCAGCATAGAAATAGTTTACCAAAATGTACCAAATTTTCTAGCCACAAGTTTTTTTGTGCAGACGACATAGTTTATGTTATGTCTGAGGATGTCAATTTCAGATTTCAGTTTGCAGTGCAAAACATGTTGGATGTTATTTTATCGAAACTGAGACTACTTGTCAGGCTTAACGAGGTAGAATAAACAAAGTCCAAAAAACTGGCTACTTTTAAGAATAAAACTGTTTTGCTGGTTTACTATTTCTTCAAGTTTTTAATTTAATTGAAGTTAATTTTTCTGGCGTCGTTCACTTAATTCAATTTCGTATGCAAATTTGCAACACAAATCGAAGAGTGTATTTACATTTTGCCGGGATAACCTCCGCAGATACAATGGCTGCATTTTGTTATTTTTCCGCAATAACAGGTGGAAAATGTGGAAGTAATCGAGGATGTGTAGATTTTGTGTGCTTGAAAAGTTGCAACGCTGACATCAGTTCACACCTAATGAATCACCACCTGTCAAGAAAAAATGTTGGTGAAATGGATCTGATACTGGCAAGGGCAGGTCTGTTAGAACTGACTGATGATCAGATCAAGAATATGACGGTTTGTCCAGTCCATCGCTACACTTTGGGAAAATACTGGCAAGCTCCAAAGACCTGCCAGTATCCAAAACATCACGGGAAGAAAATGTCAATAGCCGGAACACATGATATTAATTTCAAGACTACAAGGGAAATAAAAAATGTCCTTGGAGAAGCCGTTCCCGTTGGTTCGCGTAAGTACTATCAGACTAGCAACTATAACTGTTTTATTCTTTCATTTTACAATTAACATATCAGAATTAAAAGGTTTTGTCTTCCTTCGCATTTCAACTAAATACTTTCGTTCGTAATCTAATTACTTAAAAGCGAGTTATAGACTGAGGGGAAGTCCCCATTCTATATACAGTTTCTGAACGATAACGATCGATTCCGTATTTGATAGTATTTTGCAGCCAGAAAATCATTTCCAAACAAATAACATATCAAATGATCATAATTTGGTTTTTGTAGTTCATTAGCGATAGTTCTTTGCTGTGCGTCGTCCATAAATCTAGTCGGTGATTTATAGCCTATATAATGTAATTTCCAAGATAGAATATAAACATATAGCTTCTTTTATCAACTAAGTAGTAAATCTAGTATTTTTTAACAAGTCTTTCCAGGTTGCAAAACTATTTTTTGTTTCTTTTTGTTACTAGCTATTTGCACAACGTGCAGAAAGAAACACAGTGAAGAATTAGATCGGAAATCAGACTGGCTATACCCAGAGGAAACTGAGGGAGATGTGCTCCTTCAAAGGTATTGTCGGGAGGGTAGTCGTTTGGTTGTTGTTTTATAAAAAATATACACACGGTTTTCCTGTCAGGTTATCCTATCGCAAGATAGGCAACTAAGTATCAGCCTTTCCATTTCTATTCTCCGCAGACCTGCTAAAGAGGCTGCTGTGGGAGCCATCGGTCGCATGGTCACTTCGACTCCATTTCTTGAAGACCAATCAACTCCAGCTTCCTGGAATCCCACAACACCATGCTGGACTCCAGGGTCAGAGAACGCCTCTTTTACTGCACCCGTGGTAACCGATGCAGTCGGCAGGTATAACGAGGCGATGGATACAATTGCGAGTCTTATTACACAAGAACAATTAGAACGCGAGCCCCTTAAATATCAGCTAAAAACTCCACTCCAAAACTTAAGCGATGGGGAACAGTTGAAAGTTGTAAAAAAGACTAAAGAGGACTGCTTGCACGTATGTAATGTAATTGCCCCAGGTAACGGGGAGGAGCTCTTCGAGTCAATGATGTGTGTACAAAGAGAATTATTAGATGGCTCAGCTCCCGATGATCTTGTAGTACTCATGACTGCTTATAAGAACGCAAATACCAGGAATTTTAAAGAAACAGATTCTGAGCCTTTACGCTCATAGATACCCTATGACCAAACTTAGGAAAATTCACCAACCTCACGGAAGTCTCTCTACATGGGAAATAAAGCAAGCACGTTCTCATGCTAAAATGCACCGCCCTGGGGCCATCCCTGAAATTAAGACGAAGCATCGTGTACGCCTTGATATGGGGAAGGTCGACCACTTTGTAGACTTCATTAATAGACCGTATTTTTATCAGGATGTTTCATGTGGTAACAAGGTACTCACCCCAGATAATGGTGACAGAATTGAGATGCCTGACGTTGTAAGGATCCTAGGTCTACAATGATTGAGCAATACTTGGAGTATTGCAAAGAGCAATGTCACGAGCTACTTAGTAGGTCTACTCTGTTTAAAATATTGAAGTTTCGCGAAGCGTCTCAGCGTAAATTGCTCCAGGGCTTAGACAATACTGCTGCAGATGGTGCCGCAGGCTTTCATTACTATTGAGACGCTGGGTGAAACTCTTGAGAAAGGAGGAATGGAAAAACAGAGGTGTCTACGTATTTGCCAAAACCTACGGGATGCTAAACGCTATCTCAAAACTGACTACCGCGTGCACTGTCAACAGTACTACTCTACTTGCGCTGACCACTGTAGCAAGTTTGCGCTTAGTGATCCTGTTGATCCCTAGCTACAGCATCCTTGTCCGCATCAGCATCAATCGATTTGCGAGCAATGCCAAGAACTGAAGGATGTTCTGTTAGAGTGTGCTAATTACATGGAATCCATCCTCTTGTCCAAGGAACAGCTTGTAATTGTAGGGGACATGAATATTCATGTAGATGATTCAAGTGATGCGGATGTGCGTAATCTCTTGGATTTATTGGAATCATGAGGGTTACAGCAGCATGTCAGAGGACCAACACATATTCATGGACATACTTTGGATCTTGTTGTTACACGCCTAGCTGAGAATATTATATTAGACACGCCTAAGGCTGACCGCTATCTGTCTGATCATGCTGCTATTCTATGCAAGCTAACGTCATCTAAGCCACTTAATACTGTCAAGGAGGTGAAGTACCGAAGGACCAAGTCTGTTGATGTCTCCGCCCTTTCGTGTGATTTGGGGGAGTCATCGTTATGTATCATCCAGACATCCTCAGCGCTTGCGACCTGGATTCTCTTGCCTGTAATTATAACACCACTCTGTCTAGCGTTATCGAATCACACGCGCCACTTAAAACGAAGACCATTGTATCAAGGCCTACTGTACCCTGGTACAATGACGACATACACAAGGCAAAGCTTTTACGCAGAAAGGCAGAAAGAAAATGGAAGAAAACAAAACGGGAAACTGATTTTCAGCTATTCAAGAAGCGGGGGAATCACGTGACGCATCTCCGTAATGAGGCTAAGCGCAAGTTTTTCACGGACTTTGTTGAGGATAATCGTAGTGACCAGGGGAGGTTATTTCGTGCCACCAGGACGCTGCTTGGAAAGAATGATAGCACACCGTCGTTTCCTGACTTTGATAATGTCTTTACTTGTGAATGATATAGCACGATTCTTTGCGCGGAAGATAATGCGGATACGTGATCAAATAGACTCCATCGTTATTGCTGATATGGATACTGTACCAGATGATCCTATAGTCAGTGATGCAAAGATACTGTCGGAGTTCAAGCCCCTCTCTGAAACTGACATTTTGGCACTTATTCAGAAGTCATCAAAGAAAACGTGTAATCTAGACCCCATGCCGACTAAACTTATGGTAGAATCACTTGATCATCTGTTACCTGTTATTACTAAGATGATCAATTCATCGCTAATTGGGGAACACTTTCCGAAGGTATGGAAGCAAGCCCTTATTGATCCTCGCTACAAAAAAGCTGGAATTAATGACTTCACTAATCTTCGTCCAGTTAGTAACCTGCAGTATGTGTCTAAATTGGTAGAGCGTGCAGTATTTGACCAGGTACATGCACACCTTTCTGAACATGACCTCTAACCCTTGTTGCAATCTGCGTATAGACGAGGTCACAACACATAAACAGCCTTACGCAAGATATGTAATGATATATTAATGGCAATGAATCGTCAGCAAGTTGTTCTGCTTGTGTTGTTGGATCTGAGTGCTGCCTTCGATAGGGTGGAACATTCTGTGTTACTATCTCGTCTGAGCACAAGTTTTGGGATCCGAGGTACAGCACTGGAGTGGTTTGCGTCATACCTGTCCGGACGTTCTCAACGTGTCTCAATAAGTGGCAAGTGTTCAGAATCTCTACAGTTAAATCAAGGAGTTCCTCAAGGGTCGTGTTTAGGGCCGTTACTGTTTACTCTGTATGCCAGTAAACTGTTTGAAGTTGTCAAGAGACACCTGCCTAGTGTTCACGCTTATGCAGACGATATGCAGTTATATTTAGCGTTTAAACCTGGCTGTGCCTCAAGTACTGATGATGCCATTGCTGCTATGGAACGGTGTGTAAATGAGATAAGAGCCTGGATGCTATGTGACAAACTGAAGATAAATGATGGCAAAACAGAGTTTTTAATAATAGGCACCCGTCAGCAACTATCCAAGGTTCATGTTGACTCGCTTGCAGTAGGGGATGCTCAAGTGTCGCCTGTTCAGTCGGTTAAGAACTTAGGAACATGTATAGATAGTAACATGGGTCTTCAAGTTAATATCAATAACACGTGTAAAGATGCCTATTACTACATTACGAATGTAACACGAATAAGAAAATATTTAAGTAACCAAGCAACCCAGACACTTGTTCATGCTCTAATAATTTGGCGCATTGACTATTGTAATAGTATTCTGTATGGGTTACAAGCTAAACAAATAGCAAAGTTACAACGGCTCCAGAATTCCGCAGCAAGACTTATTTTTAAGATTCCTAGGTTTCATCACATCTCACCAATTCTGTGTACGCTTCATTGGCTTCCAGTAGAATTTAGGAGACATTTTAAGATTATTATAATTACTTTTAAAGCGATCCATGGACAAGCTCCGGTATATCTACAAGAACTCATTAACAAAAGGGAGGAAAAGAGTTACAATTTAAGATCGTGTGCAATGGGAATCATGCTTCAAACGCCTAGAACTTTAACTAAAAAGACATTGGGTGACCATGCTTTTTTAGCTGTGGCACCTAAACTGTGGAATGGTTTACCATCACAAATACGAAATGAGCCCAATTTTCATAGGTTTAAAGGTTTACTTAAGACCCATTTTTTTAGATTAGCTTTTTATTGGGATTTTTTAGGATTATATATATATTGTATTTTTTATAGATCCATTGTTTTTTATACAATATTTTTAGTTATTTTGGATAACTTATTAATGTCGATAATTTACTTTCATGTAATGCGCATTTGATCATATTCACATGTATTTTGCGCAATATAAATATTAAATTATTATTATTATTATTATTATTATTAGAGGAAGTGACACTAGCGATTGAAGGGTCATCATGGAAGCCTTACGGTTCCGAACAACGAGAAGATGTCCTTTACGACTTTGACCGTGCACAGTCAGACATCTTGTTGTGGAAAGCGCGCATTGGTCGCTCAATAAATCAGGAAGAGGCGAAACAAGATGCACTAAGTGTGCCATTCTGATGATGGACTGGGCTATGAAGTTCCTCCAAATAAAATTTCGTGAGAAACAGTCTGAATGGTTCGGCAAACGGGGGCTGAGCTGGCATATTTCCACCCTTATAACTAAGAACGTTAATTATTGACTCTGGAAAAATTGAGCTGAAATCGTATGCTCATGTCTTCGACTCTTGCCAACAAGACTGGTACGCAGTATGCTCGATCATCGAAAACACGCTAGAGGTTGTAAAGAAAGAACATCCCCAGACTACCCAAGTGAACCTAAGGAGTGATGAAGCAGGCTGTTACCACAATAACGTTTTATTAGCCGCCGTTAGGGATGCCGGAAGACGAGTAGGCATTGAAGTAGCACGGTATGACTTTTCCGAGCCGCAGTATGGAAAAGATATCTGTGATAGAATCCTTTGTCCAATGAAATCATCCAACCGACGATATTGCAATGAGGGACACGATGTCGTTTCTGCCAAAGACATGCGTGTAGCGCTCTCAGAACGCCCTGTTCAAGGTACAACTGCCTCCGTGTGCGCAATAAATGAGACTCAAAAGACACTCAGACATAAGATAGAAGGTTTCAGCAAGCATCAAAATTTCAAGTTTGAAGTGGAAGGAATTAGAGCATGGAGAGCTTATGGTGTTGGACTGGGCAGGTTTATTCCTTACCGAGAAGTCATAACTGAACCTCAAGGTTCTACTGACCTCATAATTTTTTTTTGTGGATGAGAACTTCTTTCCTCTCAAAGAAGCTCGAGTATATAAGAGAGAGACAACCAGTGAAAATGAACAAAGCAACGGTCTTTTCTCTTGTTCTGAGCCCTGGTGCAACATGGTTTTCAAGAAATTGAGTGAACTCGAAAATCACCTTGATGTTGGTGAGCACAGCCAAGTTCGCCGAAACTCTGATACGGTGTATGACAAGCTCAGAAGAGACTGGGCGGAGAAATTTCGTACTGTTGATAAGGACGAAGAAAACAGAAGTGTGCTTGTAGCAGTTGGAGAGGAGCTTCACGAAAAGAATGAAACTGGCAGATCCCCCCAGTGCAGTGACTTGCAGACTGGATAGGCTCTACACAAGCCCCGAAACGAAGCTGTGCGTTTTTCTACCAAGGTTAAACAGTACCTAACAACGAAATTTGACCTTGGAGAAAGAACTGGCATCAAGTCAGATCCCGCAAAAGTGGCAGCAGATATGCGAACTGCAAGAAACCCAGAGAGTTCTCGGATGTTTGAAAGGAAATATTGGCTCACAAAGGGTCAAGTACAGAGATTTTTTTCGAGGCTAGCGGCTTCGCGAAGGAGCAAAGCACATCAAGAAGCGCTCAATGAAGACGTACAGGCAGAAGAGGAAAAGCAGGAGAGACGAACCGTCCTGGAAGACGAAGCCACCCACCTTGGTCCTAAGCATCCTATCTGCTATGATTCATACTGTTTATGTGCAGACCTTTCACACGAGAAGAAACTTGAAACATTTAGCGTTGCTATGCTCAAGGACATGTTGAAATACTTTGAAATTCCTTTTAGTTCTCGCGATCGAAAAAAAAATCTTGTAGCGAATCTATCCGAATTTCTTGAAGGCTGTGTCTGTAACCAGCCGCATTAACGCACAAACCGCTATTATGGTAAGCAACAGGGTTTTTCAACCTCGAATTAAAAAAAAATCGTGGAAACAGTTATTTTTCAAAAACTTGAAAAGACGTTTTATGACATTTATACTTTTTGAAAAGTCGAATTAGAAAAGAACATGTCTTTTGTCAACCGTATTAAAAAAGTACGTACGCGTGACAAGCTAAAAACCTGGCTGCAATTCATGCGTAGCCAGCGTGACAGGAAATTAACACTCTTCAGATGATTTGAATTTCGGCTGCATTCTACCGAGTGTTTTAAATAAAATGTGTTATTCTTTTAAACGGAACTCACTTTCGTCAAATACTTATATGCTCAGCCCCGGAATGAAAAGCTTTTTCTTTATTTGTCGATCATGAAAACCTACGACCAATTCAACTGAACGAAATTTTGTAAATAGCTTTTTAGAAGTAAACTTAGACGACAACTTACGCGGGAATCGATAACTTGGGCTATTAAACTTCACAATTTCTGTTTTCGTGTACCATTTGGCAAGCTGTTAGTTATTCACAGTTTATCTCGAACAATAAAAGCTACTTTTTAATACATTTGCTCTCTGGGTTTGATTTTCAGTGGGAAAGTTCGGAATCACCAAAATGCTTATAAATTACGTCATACGCACAATTACAGTAAAATATTACCCAACTTTGTCGAACTCTTGTGCTTCGGAATCAACAGTGCCCAAAAATGTTTTTCTTGATTTTAATACACTAGCCCTTGTTCTGAACAGGGATGGTGACCAAGACTCCAGATAACGTCAGACTTTTGAAAAAAGCTCATTTCAAAACTAGGATAACCGCGCATTTTTCATTTTTTTTAAAATTTTTTTTCCCTTTTTGGAATAAAGGAAGCATGAATTAAAATCATACTTTTGTTCTATGCTATTTGGATAAAAGCGAAATTTTTGCGAGCCTTGAACAAAACGCTTAAATTTGACCTTCAAAAAGACGATCATGACAGCTTTGGACGAGGGTCTCAATGGGGTGGTATCTTTCACGGTTATCGGCTAAAATTTTGGCTCTTTTACGGCTATCGGTTATTTTTTTTCTGTTACGGTTAACGGAAGTTAAAAATTAACTTCTTTTGTTTCAAAAAGTTAAATATTAATTAACCCGTACTTTTTTTGTATCTAAATCCAAATAAAGGTCTTCGAATCATCTCGGGATGAAATAAGCTATTCTTTTGAAAATTTTTAACATTTGATAGATCACACTTTCTATAAAGTATTGCACTTCTAATATTATTTTACATATAGAAATGTCAATAGTCAATTTGAAAATAATCTTTGTGAAAAAGCAAAAGCAGACACGCAAACGCCCAACTCAAGGCCGGGGCGCGAAATTCATTATAACAGAAGTGGCCGTTTTCACACTAGAGAAGGATTATTCGTGTGAGACGGGTTATCCGTTTCATGATTCGCGTCAGATAGGCAATACGTCTTAATTTGAAAATGGAATAGTTTTAATTTTGAATAAAATAATCCGCCTGATTTTTGAAGACGGATTATCCGTTCCAGATAGCCTGTGTACAGCGGCCCCCTCCCCCCAGAAAAAATCGGAGAAGGGGTGTCTGTGGGGAGGGCGCGACTGTACACAGGCTAGTCTCAGAAGGATGATCCATTTCTAGCTCTAGTGTGAAAACGGCCAATAACAAACATTCCCGTGTCCAGTGTTTTTAATGATAGCGAAGGACTGTACGGAACGACTGTCTGCCGTTGCCTTGTCCGTAGGCCGCATTATTTCGCGCGGCTAATGCGTTTCGGGTCACGCGGTCCGAGCGAGTTCTCTACCGAAAGGCCTTGACCGAGATTGCGTGGGAAGACACAGTACAGGGACTAGGCATGGCAATGTCTACCGTAGCGTCAGAGAAAAACAAGGAAATTTTGTTTATCGGCAACGTGTTTTACAAACAGTGACATCTCTGCGTGTTGTTTCACTAGTGTTTCGAGGGCACGACCTCCAGAAAATTGCAAATATTAATCCCCAGCAAGAAGCCACACTTTCGCTATAGAAAAAATTAGTTCCCCGAGAGAGCGCCGGAAAAGGAGCCTAAGTCTTGGTTAACATCTAAAAGGCGCTTCACCCAAAAAGAAAAAAGCAACCATAAGTGAGTTTAGTACCTTCCTTAAAAGTAGCAAATCTAGGTGACAATTTCTTTTACGGTTAACTCTTTTTTACCCTATTTACGTCTAACGGTTAAAATTTTTCAATTTTTACGGCTATCGACTAAATTTTTGGTCGTTTTACGCCTATCGGTTAACCCCATTGAGACCCTCTTGGACCGTCCGCGGGCAAATCGCCGCCCCAATTTTTTTTTAAAAAGCACTATCAGCCAAACAAATTCGATTTTTGTTAATGGAATGGACTAATTATGTCGCAGGAAAAAAAAATGAAGGAATTCTGTTTTCCGCAGAAATTCGAGTGGTCGGTTCTTACACGGACCGCCTCTTAAATGTCCGTGACCTATCCTAGTTGTTTTTGTCGACGTAACTGTATTGAACACGAAGTGCTCGCAATCTAAACACTTTTTTTACAGAAGGCTACTATATTTAGACAGGCATTAGTGGCCATTGCCCGACTTGTCATTATCAATTCACAATAATCAAAGAAGAATAAAGAATCAACGCAATTAGTGATATGCCAGGTGAGTCAATAAAGAGTTGCATCGGTGAAGAATAGCCAACAGCATCTCGGAAATGAAGCCAATGTAACTTTGCGCAAAAATATCAACCTTGTTCCCAGGCTACTTTCTCACTTGCACACGATGTTATATTTTTGATGGTGCCACCTTTATTAGGAAGATTTTTGGTGTCTTTTAATTTACAATCTGCAGTCTGCAGTCTGCAGTCTGCGGTCTGCAGTCTGCAAATGTCATACACCGCATTATCAGCAAGTTTTGTGTTAGTGTTTTGATGGCAGCGAGGTGACGACAAGAGAAGGTAATGAGCTAGTTGTACAGAAGGAAAATTGTGTTGTGGAGGAAATAAAAGAAGTTCAATTGAGATCTCGTCGTGGGAAATTTATTTATAACAGAACTTACAATTTCATTGGTTTAAACCAGGTTAGTCCATTATATTTTCGGCAAGACAAATTACCATAAAATCGAGATTGTAATTCGAAACTCGCGTTGTTTTCAAAATTTGCATAAATCGGCCGCTGCAAAGAAATATTTAGGTTACAAGCGCTTCGAAATACTCAGGGGCACCCAACGGCAATTTTCGGAAAAATATCTGTTCGGAAGACGATTGGAGAGCTAGAATTTTCGGAACATTTGTTATAAAATTTCTTGCTTGCCTGCTTCTCCTAGGATTTTCGAACATCTAAAATATGGTATAATTGCCTATTTTTAAATGATTTTTACTCTAAAAAGGTCACCTAGAATTTTCGGGAGCCTTTTTTCTGGCTGAAATTTTCGAAAAGGTAAGTTTTGATCCCTATAATTTTCGGATCACTAGACTTTCAGCTAGGAAATCCGAACAGATGAAACATTTTTAGGGGATAAAAATATGCCTATATCTACTGTTAACGTTTAAATACCAAAATACCTTTAACAATGCTATGTTTTAGTGGTTTTGAACTATATTCTCGTTGGGTGCCCCTGAATACTGTACCTTCAGAGCGGCATAGCTTTTACTTGTTGTGCTATATCTTTCAAAACTATCGATCGATTCTAGCTCAAAACTCTCAAAGCAGCGGTTTAAATGTTAAAACCCGTGGCTGGTTGAAATCGTCTCTTGTTTGTTTTCAAACGATTTAGGATGGATCGAATCGACTTTGGATCGATTATTATTTTATCAGTTTGTGGTATGAACGAAACCTTTTTCTTCTCGATAAAGTTCACTCGACAAATTTAGAAAGATTTACTTGACTTTTCATATGTGGAACGAACTGATTTTTTTGTGGAACGAACTGACTATTTTATGGAACGATCTGACTATTGATTAGAACGATCTGACTTGGAACGATGTCAACGATCTGACCATGGAACGAAATGACCGGTTACCGTCATGCCCCTAGCAGACTACCAATGAACAAATTAAAATTTTTGTTACAGAAAACACGGAAAGTGACACTTTTTGTATGGAAGAGTATTCGGAAAAATACACCACTGTCGTCTGAAATTCATTGTTACGTTAAAAGTAGAAAAGGTTTACACTTAAACAGGTACAGAAGTAACAGCAACAGTGTGAGGTTTTTAAGGGGCAACTCCAAAACTAGTTCGTAAACGAGGGAAAGTGTATCTGTCGTCCAAGCATCAGAGCGATTTAGGTGGAATGAGATATCCAAATAGGCCTCTAAGTAAGAATTTGCCCCTCTGCACATGTAATTATCCATTTTATAGTGCTTAAAACAGTGTGAATCACCGGGTTAATTCTGGCCAATTTAAGCTTTGTACTGATATGGAGAAGAATCCAGGGCCTTCAGTTTATGTAGAAGCTAAAAAAACAATTAATGCTCCATACTTGCAAGGAAATGTTACAGGATTTGGGGAAATTGGTGGACAACGATGTGTCGCAATGAGTCTGTGCGCTTTAATTTACAGTAAGATAACAAAGATTACTTCAGTTGATGATATGACTCAAATAATGATTGTTGGTAGTCAATTATATTCTTGTCTGTCACTGCTTGCAAGACAATCTATGTCAATGTTAACAGAATTTCCAGGAATAGTTACAGTGTTTGAGCAATTTTTCCACCTTGAATACAGTGACAGTTATACTTGTAACATCCATCACTACTGTATATGCCACTCACAGGTTACAGCATTTCAAACACTCTTAACACTGAACTACAACTCATTCATTTTAACGGGTGGCAATTATTGGTGTTGGTGTCTACAATGAAATTTTACAACACCCGACCATTGCTAATTAAGATTCTTTTTTTTTCGATTACTGAGTAGTGTTCACTTGTTCCAAAGTAATCAATGCTTTCAAGCGATAGAATTCGTTGACCGACACGTTTCGGAAAAGCTCTAAATTTAATCTTTCCTAAACATGCGTGGCTTCGATCACGCAACGATTCTTAGTCCTTGTTTCCACGGTCTCCGGAAGAAACGCCTGGCACAATGACGCCCCATTTGTGTATTAAATGCGACGAAAAATCCCGGGGGTACTTCCAGAGAAATTGGGAGGGGGTGTGCAGCACGCTTCCTGAAACCCTTACCCTATTTCAGGGCAAAATCTGTGATTTTCTCTACCCTATTTCAGACCTGAAGCCCTGGAGCCCGGCGCGTGACTGCAGCGCGTGACAAGAGTGACATACATGGTCTTATCGCCATATAATGAAGAAGTAGCTTCTTCTAAAAAACCATACCCAGTTCAAGACTAGAGTGCACAAACCCTACCCTATTTCAGACCAAAATGGTCGAAATTGATAACCTGTTTCAGACGAAAACTGCTAAAAAACCAATACCCTTTGGCGCCGCACATACCTATATAGCCTATATAGGGAGTACCCCCGCGGGGCGAAAAACGCGTTGCAGATTATGAGTCTCGCTGCTTACGCAAGCGAGACTAAAAACTAAGAAAGATTAATAAAAATAAATGTGTAAATTTTGAAAATGGAGATTAGATTATCTCGGTAGATTTATTTGAGGTCGCATTTGCCTGTTGTAATTTAATTTTTTTATTACTGTTTTTAACCTCAAAAACAATAAAAAATATTTAAGCGAGCAAATGTGACGGCTATTGACGCGTGCTGCAAATAAATCCACCCTTGATGTCATTGTCTTTATTCGTTTTTCCAAAAGGTGCGCACTCGAAGAAGCTGTATGATTAATTCTCCGAGTTTTATAAGAATAATTATCCCTGTTACGGTTTGATAAACAACTTATTTAACCTACCTTAATGTCAGTTGTTGGAGCCTGAAAAAAAAAAAACCGTAGGGAAAGTAATTAGAGCTACTACACAGTTGAAGCCCACAGTTACGACCAACCACCTCGAAAAAAAAATTCGTTATCCCCCCCCTCCCCCTTTTTTTACACGGACCAACAGGGCTTAAAAACGGCTGATTGGCCGACAGCTAAAAGAAAAATGTCAAAACAAAACAAACGTGCAGTTGTGTTTCTTCGGAATTCCTAGGCATTCTTGTTATGGGTTCCTGACAACGACAGATATTTTACGTAAAGGTGGGGGAGGGGGGGAGGGTGGAGGAGAGAATATTCAATTAATTAACAATAAGTAGTTGCCACCGTTGGTCAAGGCCTTTTTCATTTTGGGTGGTTTTTGGAAAAGCCGTTTTGTGGTGGAAAGAAGTTTCATTAATGAAGGCATGGATTGATTGTCCGGCGTCGCTTTAAGCTGCACATTTTATGTGGCTTTTGTGGCGACTGTGCGTACTATAAGATATGACGTTATGCGTATAACTTTCGCTTCAGTCTGGGTGTCTCGACGCACTACATGACGTACCTTTGAGAGGATAAAAAAAAACCAAATCGATATATGGTCGAGAACTTTCGAAATAAGTGAGAATTATGACATTCGAATTTCTGGCAGGGCCAGGGTATTCTCAGTCCTAGGCCAAACGTCGAAATTTTCATAAGACGAACCAAACTCTAATTTTGGTCGACCTAAATTAAGTGAAGATGGCCTTTTGGGGTCAGACGTCCAACTAAGGACGTGTCTAATCAATCAACTGAACCGGATCAGTGACAAAATTTCTCCCGAACGAGGCTAAATATACATTATCATACAAATTTTTAATTTATTAGTTTAGATCGACCTTTGTCCCGGAGATGATCTTCAGACGTTCCATCCGTCTGAAGCGGACGGATAGAACACGCATCTTGGACGATCCAAACTCATTCAGACAAACTTAATTGAGTCAGACGTCGAACTTTTCATGAATTCACTAAGTTTGGTTCGTCTCTTGAAAAAATCGACGTTTGGCCTAGGCCTCAGGGTGCGTTCGCTTGGTAGTATTCCGGAATAAGAATACGCAGAAGTGATAAATCTCTTCGATCGAAAGTTTTTGGATTATTGGAATGCTACATTCATCGTTATTGATATCCACCAGATTTCTAGATTTTACTGTGCGATGAAAGTCAAAACAGGTGATTTTTGAGTTTATTCCACGTATTCTTAACCCGGCCCGAGCGGCTGCGAAGAAGACTAGGGTATTCTTATTTTTTTCAGTAAATGATTCAATGCTTTTTATGTTTTACGATTATTAATAGAACTGTGTTAGGAATTTTACCAAAATTCTTACAGTAGGAAGTGCGAGCTAAAACATCAAAAAGCAGACATTGATAACACCGCAAATACAAAAGAAGGCACAGATGGAGAAACTTGAAGAAGATTAAAACGAATTGAAATTATTATCGGTTTCTGAAAACTTGTCAGGGGCGTAGCTACCTGTAAGTACGGCACGCACGTGCGTACATGTTAATAAAATACTAAAATGGTGATAAATAGTAATAAAATAAAATAGTAAAATAAAACACAATAGTAAAAAAGGAACGAAAACAATTATAAAGATAATTATTTTAAAAAGCGCAATTTGACTCAATTCATTTAACTCGAGCTGCTTATTTCTCTGAAACATTTTGTTTCCTAAAACATCAGACTGTTTTTTCCACAGCCGAATGCTGATTTTCAGAAAAACGACGTGATTCATTGGTGAACCGAATTTTGATTGTTATATTTAGAGAAAAGGCGGGAAAATAGCGCGCAAATAGCAAACTGGACGGTATAAGGTGTGAACGCGTTGTTTCCATGCCCCTCGGCCTGTCTCATAGTTGGCTAAGCGTTTAGTTTTGTTACACATTCACACAAAATTAATTTACTTCATGGCCTGCCAAAAGCACGTTTACGGGTACCTTACGACGGAGGTTATTCACTCTGTGTCGCTGTCTTCCCAGTCTTCCTCCACATCATACTCTGACTCTTCCTCTGAGTCACTTGGTAGATATTGCACCGCTGCAGTGTGCCGGTTTTTACAACTTTCGTCCGCTATGCAAGAGCACGCCCCTGTACAGGCCAAATCTAAATTGGAGCAAGAACAATTGCCTTGACACAGTGAATTCCTGTAGTTACATGAATACGTTCACGTACGTTCACTGATTCAGATGTACGATCATCGATCTGTACGAAATGTGACCGGTCACTCAAGTAGCTATTCAACCAGCGCAGAAACGGCTTCGAGAAACCAAGCGTTGATAACGTAGTTATAAGAACCTTGCAGTTGACTGTGTCGAACGCTTTAGAGAAATCGGCCAGTACCATGAGAGTAACCTCACCTTTTTTCATCGCTCTCAGCAAATCGTCGCGCATACCCATTAGCACTGTATTGGTCGAGTGTCCCTTACGAAAGCTAGAAGTTGTATCGCGGAGTACTGATTCAGATTCACAAAAGGTGGTCATCTGCAGCGCGACAAGTTTCTCAAAGACTTTTGATAGTGTGGGGAGAATTGAAGTGGGACGAAAGTGTTCCTCAGACTTCGGTTGATCTACTTTAGGAATTGGACTGATCCTCGCATTTTTCCATGCCTTAGTAAAACAGTAATTTCTGATAAAGTTGTTGATAGTAGCTGTCAGGGAGCCAGCAATGGAATCAGTCACCATTTTAACGAATTTGACAGGGATACCGTCGGGGCCAGTAGACGTGTCAGATCGTAACAATTTCAGCACGCACAGGACCTCACCGTGGGACACTTCTCGGAGCTTGAAATTAGCAGGGCTATCATCAGGTAGAGATTCAATTAGTTCTTCAAAACAGAAAGGTAAGTCACTACTAACAGGTAAAGTTCTCTCGGTAGTACAAGCAAAGAATGAATTTAAGTTATCGGGATCATGCCGCCAGGGTTGCTGGTTAGGTTTCAATTTGCGGTGGATAATACACCACTCCTCCTGCGGTCTATTAGAGGATAACGCCTGCCTTTTGAAGGTCTCGCAAGCCCGACGAATAGCTGCCTTCAACTTGTTTCTGACGTCCCGAAAAAATTCCCAGGAGTCCTGAGAGCGAGTCTGGTGGGCTTCCTTCCGGAACTTATTCCGCAGCTGTTGTAGTGACCGTATTTGGCTGTCGTCCATCGAGGGTGCTGGCGGTCTCGTAACTCGGACCCTCCGAAGAGGGGCATGTCTCTCGAGACATTCCTTGAACATAGATCCTTGTCAAGAGGTGATTACGAAATTAAATTTTCAAGCCTGGATAAACAAGGCAAATCGTTTTCAAGATTGCGGCCAAAATACGGAATTTCATGCCTCCGAGTATCAGAAAACCCCCAAAGCATAGCTTTAAAAAGAAAATACATGATTGCTTACTTCAAATCCTTTCGCAGAGAGACGACTATACTGAGCTACTTACCTTATTAGGACAAATGCAACATATTCAAAATTGTCCGTAACACACCCACTCATTATCTTTGCAATCGTCTTAATAGTGTACTTGTAAGTTTCTGATTTATATTCTGTATTCCAGTTAACCTCAGCATTGGTTTTTACTTAACGTTTCTTCTGTTCGCAGCCATTTGTACAATTTATATAAATTACTTTTGTTGACTTGTCAATTGAGTACAATTTGGAGTGCGTACTTTGTTTTATATAGACACTGCCCACCTATTTGTGGGCAGTGAGAAAATTGTTCATGTAAATTAACCAAAATAATGAAATGAAAAACCATGAATGAATTCTGAAAAGGTGAAACATTCTGTTTGAAGGCCTTGTGCTTCATAAAAATGAAAACACAGCTTCGATGTCTGCCATCGTAGTCAAAACTTCAGCACCAGTCTTTGTTCAGTTCCTGATTCAAGCTGAAGTTGAAGGTCTTGGATGTGCAAGATGTTGCCAGCGGCCGTTACAATAGAATTTAAGGTGGGAAGAAGGCCTTAGTTTAAGTGAGCATGTCCAGCCGCTTTTAAGCCCTGTCACGCGGATCACGTTTTCCTGACTCAAATAAAAGTTCAGTAATTTTGTAATTCTACAATCTCGTTATACGCATGATCACAACGTTATGAGGGCCAATGCATGACCACCTTGTGAAGTTCTGAAGTCCCCACTACTTATCTACCTACTCAGTTTTTTTTCTCCCGCATAACCTGCCAGCAAGCTTTTTGGTGCTCTGGCGGTGGGCGAAAAAAAGGGATAGCTTGCAGTCACGTTTCCGGCATTCGAATTCCTCCTCCAGTGCCTCCTATGGCTCCCCGTTGACTGAGCAGTCAGATTTTAGCCAGTCAGCATGGAGAGGAAATGAGCGTCGAAAAAATTCTCAAGAGAAGAACATTGAAAAAGTGGCAAACCGCCGCTAACGCCTGCTTGAGCGAGATATTTGGGTCAAGATAGTTTGGAAACATTGTGGCCAAACTTGAGCCCAAAATATTGAAACGAGCAGGTCCTAAAAAATCTAATAATATAATATTCATACAAATTCTCGCTTCAAAAGGGTTTTTGTGATAGAGTACGCTTGAGCTTCAAAGCTTTTGTGTGACGCGGCATTTACATGACGACCAAGAGAGCTGTCATGCAGTTTAAAACATTGACTTGTTTCGGCGATTTTTCCTATCTGAATAGTTCATGTATTAGAAAAAGTATTACTTTAATTCTTATGAGTTCCTCGAGAGATAAAGTTACGCTTTTGTAGCAAAATTCGGCGACAGATGTTTCTGTTGGTTTCCGGCCGCCATGTTGGTGCCCTTCCGGATGGGCACCAGTATGGCGTCTCCATACAAATCTCTACAAATTTGTGTAAAACATTTCTCCGGATATCTCGTATAGGAACTATTGCCCTGACCTGAATCTTGGCGAGGCTCTTTGCATATTTACCTCCTTTCATGGCCCAGATTCTGGACTTTATCTCTCGAATCTACTGAACGGTTTTGATTTTTCTTTTGATCTATTTTGAATTGCGTGACACTGAAAACCAGAAATAGCAACTAGCAATGTCACCCCTTGCAGTTTCTCACAGTAATGACGTCATTACCAAATTTCATCTCCGCCAATCAGCATTTTGCATCGACTTGTTCGATGCAGATATTCAAATTCCTGAGACATGAATGCAAGCTTTGCTTCCTTTTTCGTCCGCCAGAGCGCCCCGGAGAGCCTGCTGGCAGGCTATATCCTGCAAGATCGGTGCTACTAAATGCTCAAATAGGCCATACTACCTACCTTGCCGTCGGTTTCGGTTTCTTCCTGAAAGTTAGAAAAGTAAAAGGTTTATTACTCACAAAAGCAAAATCCTGTGCAGAAGGAAGTAACTCGGGGGAGTGCAAGCAGTTATAGCTAATACAGAAATGGAGGTCATAAAAGAAATTATTTTCTACTCTCTTCCAAAAATAAATAAATAAATAAAATAAAAAAAAAAGTCATTTCTTGATAGATTGTCGCATTCATTTCCGTGTTTCGTCTCACTTTTTTCCTAGCCGAATACGACGGCGACCGTTGGGCCACTAAAGGCGACTGACGCAAAGCATTTAATTTAAAATTTGCGAGCCATGTGTTGTTCCATAATAAATTAATTAATATCATAGGTGACGAATTACTCCTTAATTTTGGCGCGAAATTTCAGCGTTAATTTGTGATTTCACATGTGAAATTACAAAATTGCCATGGCAACCCTTCCGTGCGTCTCACTGTCAAGATGGCGACGAAGTTTTAAAATGCCGTGAATGAAGATATCAGGGCACAAAAAGACGCTTTAGAAAACCTGAACACACAAGAGAACATCAAGAAGGATTCTAACAGGTATTTTGCCGAAAAAGTCTGAAAAATTCTGAACTTTAGAAGCCAAATTTAAGGTCTAAACATTTGAGAGAGTGGAGTTCTCGATCGATACGATCCAGGATAAACATGTCAAAAATCCAAGATTGCTAACGTAATTCGTCACCCATAATATTAATAGGTAATCAAATGGCATACTCGTGAAATTAGGGAATGATTTCACTTGCGTTTTGTCCAAATCCTAATAATTTCCCGACACTTTAGGCGACGGAAATTATTAGGATTTGGACAAAACGCGCGTGAAATTATTCCCTAATTTCACTCATCACCATTTGATTACAAATACAAATTCCGCCTTTTTGCAGTCTTCCTCAATAGAAGAACTGTTCAACGCGGCTCCATTATCTGTTTAAGGCGAGTCATCGCAACAAAAAGTATAATTCGTTTTCTTATTTCTTGAAAACTTCGTCTTATATTTTACCAAAAATTTAAATACAATAGAGCGTTTGAGGAAAGGCGGGCTTTTATTCTAAAACATAATTATTTATATAGAAGTCTGAAAGGTTTGAGCCCAGGAGTCATTTTAAAAGTAGGTTGAGTTTGATCGTCCGGTTGAACGTAGTCCTGAATAGGACTGTTGTTGTTGACACCGACTGACGTTTCTACAGCCTGTGCGGTAGTCAACTGCAGCGTCAAAGTGAGTTGTATCACGTCAGTTACTGGTATTAGGGAGCTTAAGGAGCGACGTTTTTGAGCGACGCACGTCAACCGGAAATGGACTTTTTGCACACTTGAGCCGTGATTTTGAACAAATTTTTGGGCAGATCGTCTCTTTAAGAATTAAGACACTTGGCAATATAAATACGGTAGCGTCAAGGCTTACTAGAAGAGAAAACGGCTCACTTCCGGTTGACGTGCGTCGCTCAAAAACGTCGCTACTTAAGCTCCCTATTATACTCTGATCAATAACCTGAGTATAATACCATCAACTGACGTGATACAACTCACTTTGACTCTGAAGATGACTACCGCACAGGTTGTCAAAATGTCAGAATTCAGTCACGGTCAACAACAACAGTCCTATTCAGGACTACGTTCACCTGGATGATCAAACTCAACCTACTTTTGATAATTAGTTAGATTGGTGACTGCCAATTAGCGTTGGAGCGGCGACTGTGTTTATCGTAAAAACGCTTACCTGTCTTAACGTCATCACTAGCAGTTGCCTAGTGCTGACCTGGTACTAAAAACAGACCAAAGTCCTGATGTCGGATATAACTGATTCCTTGTTTTAGTAAACACCGAAGTAGCACCAATTGAAAGTTATTTCAGATATTAGTATTTTTCACCGTTGGATCATATCAGTTTCAGATAAGAGAGGGTCTGTCTTATAACAAGGGAGGGGAATATTACATTTACACCAAAACTTTACGTTTTAACATGAACATCAGTTTTGCTTAAAGATAACTTGTGACGCACCTTTTTTTTCAACAATTCCCTCCAGTGCGCTGCAAATTTTCCTTCGTAGTCTTCTTTACTTAAGGCCTTCTCATACACCTCTAGGCATTGTGTAACCTTTTCTTGTTCCAGGCTTGATATAGCAGAACGAAATGTACGCAGGATCTTGCTAACTTTAGAACGGAATTCTTTCATTTCGCCGTCTAGCACTCCCCCATTTGTTATGTAAACTGACACAAGTCTCTGTGCTTCATTAAGATCGTCAAAGCGGCACTCTATCTCATCTATGTCGCATTCGTGTACAGGAACACTTGACACTTTACCTAGGTTGGGGTAAACGTTTTCTATCGGTTGAAGTTCAATCTGAAAAGAAAACACGTGTACATTAAAATGAGCCAAATGTAACATGATCTTCAATTTATTCATATCATGTTAAGGAAATCTAGCACGAAACATTTTCAGTAACAACCGTTTCTTAAATAACCTGTGATTCTTTTGGTGGACCAACTTAATTGAAAAAGTCGGCCTGACGTTTCCAAGTTCTGTTGGAGATTTTGGAAGGCTCTTTTTGTCTGTTTAAATCTCAGCCATCGTTTGGTAGTAGGCGCAGTTTTGTATTAAGAATCGTTCTATAGTGATTACAAAAAACTTTTTTGCGGTTAATCATTTTTGAAATTGTTTGCCCTTGAAAATTTTACGTGGATTTACATTGTGTCCTCTCATCAGCGGCCGTAGTACTGGCAGCGGCCGAAAGCCGAGAATGAACGACTACTTTCTTCCACAGTGAGTGATGGAATCTTTCCTCATAGTTCACAGTACCATTTGTTGAGTTATTTTAGAGGTTGCTGGCTCTTGGAAAATTTTTTTTGTGCTCAAAGTATGTGACATAATATGTAAGTGGCTGTCGAGTTGGCGGCGGCTGTTTTTAATAAACGATTACAACAGCATGGCCGTGAGTTTCGAGAAACTCAACTTTTGGCGAAAGAAACGTTTGTAGAATTTGGTTAGATTACTTCTTGTATTTAGCTTGATTCTCCGCGAGGATTATGCTCTTCCAGCTTGTTCTTGACGGACTTAGAGGGGCACTAGTTTGATCTTGAGATGTCATGTCACTGAACCCACGGTTTGTGTTCGACCATGTTTGCTCGGATTTTTGGAAAACAGCAGAGTTTACTTTCCATCGTTATTCACGGATTGCTAAATACTAGAATGGAGTAGTATACCAATGATTCTTTGTTCTGTTTTTCTCGTCGTCCGCAGGGTGATTCGGCACGATCGAACAATTTTGCGCGATCTATGTGTGTGTTTCCCGAAGATCAAAACAAAGACATCAAAAACAGCGTGGCTTTTAACACATTCCAATGCCTGTACTCTAAGACGAGGAATTATGGCACAAATTCGATAATTAAGAGCTGGAATTGCCAGAAGAACATAAAATACCTGGTTAAAATAAGGCTATTAATACCTAATTTTACCAAATTATAAGTGTGACTGTCAACGAAATAGCATAATACAGGTTATTTTTCCATTTTTTTGTTAAATGAGACATGTCACAAGAAGCAGGGTTTTATTAAAGAATGACCAAGTTTCTTGCTTTCAGGGACTACTACTGTTATAATGTATACTAAACAGAAAATTCAACACGGCCTACAACAAGTCTCTAACGAGGATTTCTACGAACCTCTTACTCAACCTATTGTATCCGAGACAGCCACTAAAGTCATAACAATTATCAACGCTCTTTTTACGAACGGGAATATTGACCAAATGACCGCCGCCTGGTTGGCTCAGTTGTGAGAGCACTTATCTGGTTCATGTGGGACGTAAAAGAACCCACACCACTGTTCGAAAGGAGTAGGGGACGTAGGTCTTTGTGAACAAGCAGAAGCGAGTTGCATTGAAACTTTCTTGTTTGTGTTTTCCAGCTTTTGCGAAGCAAAAAGGTTTACAGGTCAAAAAGATGCTAAATCACAACCTGTTCCGCCCTTTTTTTATCTTTAAACACTGTGACAGTAGTGATTTGCTTCCAAACATTAGTAACTGTTGGATCTATTTTTCTTTGTATGAATGGAGTGGTCAGACAAACGTATGATTTGGTGCTATGCCGAGAAGTGTTAGTTATGGCACCCTAGCAACATCCGTATAGAAGCAAGGAAAGGGGAGATGTATCAGTGGAACCAGATAGCTTTAACCTGAGTGGCCTTGATCATCCGAAATTTAGAGTCAATAAAAGGCCCGCGAGAGACAGACTGACCTTGCTGATAAACAATAGTAAAAGCGAAAATGCGTCAAGAGAAAAATGCCTCTGGAATCACTTGCGAGGAGACCAAACTAGACCAAGCTCTCGCAGAGATCATTGACAAGGAGAAGTTGGCCGACGAAAACAGCTCCGAGGCAAAGATGATTGAACACTTCATACGTATTTCCTTTGTTTACATGGGAAATAATAATAATAAGAACTCAGATTGATTGATTGATTTAAAGTGATGTTGTTCCTGAAAACTCGTCGTCCACAGTAAGCGTGCGCTTCAATAACTTTCGAATTTTCTCGCCGTGAACGACGTTCTCGACCCAGTCCTTTCATGGTGCAGATCGTTGTCGTAGTCTCTTTCGTCGTCGATACTTAAGGTCCCTACTCTCTATCGATGGACGTGGGCGATGATGGGCACCCAAAATCAGCAGTTTGTTCGTGTATTTGTTCAACTTCAACTTGTTCTGCACCATCCACAACTTTAGGAATAGGTATATGTTTTCAATCCCACGTATAAAAACAAAGAGGTTTAGAAATTCTTTTATAATGCACTGTGTAGATAAGTAATAATTGTAAATAGAACTTTTATACTAGATTTGATGTAATTTTATCATTATATAATCAAACGTTTTTTTTCTTATGATATAGTTAGGAATTTTGCTTGGTCACTCGCGACAACAACAAACTAAAAACGACTATTCACAGAAAAACCGACACATACCGACCGATTACTAGACCAGTCTTCGTACAACCCGACCTCTCACAAGGCTGCTACTATCCGGACTCTGACGAGACGAGCGCAACTAGTTTGCGACTCACCTGACAGCCTACAAGATAAGACTGATTATCTTAACAACATTTTTAGCAAGAACAATTTCAACACGGACTTTGTTAGACGGAACACCCACAGTAACACTGATTCCAACACTCGGACCGACTCTGGCCCTGTTACGACAGCGACTATACCGTACATTAGAAGCACCTCTGAAACTATTGTACGTACATTTCAAACTTACAATATACATGTTGCACACAAACCGATAATTAACCACTTTACGACGACTGCTTACTTATGTCAAGGACAAAGACAAACCGGAGGACAGACAGGGAGCAGTAATATACAAGATCAAATGCTGCGACTGCCAGGCTTCTTACATTGGTGAAACCGACAGAAACGTTAGCACGCGACTGACCGAACAAAAACGAGCAACGAGGAAGGGTGACGTCAACAATCACATTGCTGAGCACCATTTACAGACGAAACACTTTAGAAAGCTGGTTTACTAACTTAGAACAAACGCCACTGAATCGTAGCCAACAGTTACCAGCGCCCTACAAACGACTTATTGACGAGATCAAGCAAAACTAACTATAAGCTACGAGAGAACGACTGGAGAACTGACAATTCGACTAAAATAGACAACTGTTTAACTTTGACAATAGACGGATCGAAACGCACCAATTACTGATGACGAGTCTTCATAGCCAATAACATCACGGCTTAACTGACAGACGACCAATAACATCGCGACGTAATTGACCAATCAGATCAATAACCAGAGTATAATACCATCAACTGACGTGATACAACTGACTTTGACTCTGAAGATGACTACCGCACAGGTTGTGGAAACGTCAGTCACTGTCAACAACAACAGTCCTATTCAGGACTACGTTCACCCGGACGATCAAACTCAACCTGCTTTTGAATCTAGACTATGTTTTTGCTGACGACACTAACTTACTATATGCCGACAATCTCGAATCAAAAGTTTGCGAATGGCTGATTGCGAATAAACTCTCCCTTAATATTTAAAAAAAAAACTAACTTCGTTATCTTTCACCCCTATCGAAAACTTCTAAATCATGATTTAACCTTAAAGGTTTATGATAACCATACACGTTGACAATTTGCTTTGGAACGCAAATATTAATATATAAAATATTTAGGGGTTCTAATTGACAGTCACGCGTCTCACCTGGAAGTATCATATTAGCCTCATTGCTTCAAAGATAAGCAGAAATATTGGAATCTTTGCGAGACTGAGGCATTTTACGCCATTTTCAACACTTGAACATGTTTACCGGTCACTTATTTATCCATATCTGTCGTATGGTCTTGTCGCCTGGGACCTAGCTGCTTGATCCCACCTATAAAAAATTTTAGTGCTCCTGACGAACTTTGCCAAATTCCAAACTCATGCTATTCCATACTTCGTTTCATATAATATAATGCCAGTATCCATGCTATACTTCAAGCTCTCATCTGCCCTAATGCGTGATGTCTCTTATGATTCTGCACTGCCTAGCGTCAATGGCATGTTCACTCTCTCAAGTCAAGTTCACAATTACAACACCCGATCCTCTTCAGCCGGTAACTTTTATAGGAAATACTATAGACTGAATCATCACAAACTCTTTTGCTCGCGTTGGCGCTAAAAGTTGGAAAAGTATTCCTGAGAATTTGAGAAAACTTCCAAAGCATGCCTTTAGGAAACAAATACACAATCCATTACTACTTGATCTTCAAAGACAGGATTGTTATGCTGATATAGACACCCTTATTAATGAAATGAAAAAAGGATCATCTTAATCCAATGTATTGTAACCTTTATTTATCTACTTATTTAGAAATACATATTTATTCATTCGTGTCGTTATTCTTTTTAACCTTTTTTTCCTTGATGTTCCAGATCTCTTTTATTTTCCTCGTAAAATGTCTTAAATTGTATCAGTTCACGTATGTAGAGTACCCATACTACCTGCCTCGAATAGCTTTAGCTAAATGTGGGTAGTAGGTATGTTTAATGTATTTCATTGCTTTTGATAAAGTTGTTTTTGTTGTTGTTAAAAAAAAGCAGAGCGTCATTTTGAACTTTTATCAGGGCTGTCTCGGTACTGTGGAAACGTTTGTAGATTTGTAAGCTGACTGAATAGGTACGTCTAAGTTGTTGTCAGTTAGGCAATCCTTCAATTGGCAGGCAACAGCTTTCTCATTTATCTTGCACGCAAACTTCAAATTCGAGATAAAATTCGAGTACTGTTCGGGATCTAGGAAGTCTTTCTTCACCTTTGGTTTAAACGGCTTGGAAACTAAAATTTGATAGCATTTTGTTTTGAATAAGGGTATGGGCATGATTTTCAGTTGAACATGCCTAGCGGGCGTAAAAATCGCATCCAGTCTGAGGATTAATGAGAGAGGGAAAATTTTATATATTTAGGCATGACAAAATTCAAGGGAACATTGGTACTTAGAAATAACATCTCATAGGCATGGAAAAAATGGGTTCATGCCCTCGCAGCCCCAAAATTGACCCAGCTAAACTTAGGTCCCAGATCTCTCGCCGGGTTGATAGAATAGAATAGAATAGAATAGAAACTTTATTAAAGTGTCAAAAACCGTCTAGCCAGGGAACAAATCCCTTACTAATTTGGGGACACCAATTCATTCCCAGTTTTTGCTCCTCTGGTTTGGCATGCCAGGCATGCCGATGGTGAAGCCAGTTGGTTTGGCATGCCCGGCATGCCAGGCAAGAAATTGGCATGCCCAGCGAGACTGATTTTGATGTTTGCTTCAGCATCATATCCTGAGAATCTCATATAATCGCCAAATGTATCTTAGGGAGCTTGAAGTAACAGGTTTCATGCCTGGCAATAAATGCAGATTATAACAAAAAAAGTCATGTTTGTCACAATGTGTGTCACGGGATCGACTGGCAAAACTGAAGACAGAAGCCTGGATTTATAAATAAAAAGCACAACAAAACAACATTATTCATGCATAAAATAGAATACTTAACTTGCAATCAAAGATTAATCCTTTTATTTCAAACCGATACTGACATTTCTGGGTCCAGATTTAAATTTGATCGCGGAAAAGCGTCTTAAACAATAACATAACAAATCTTCTCAGTATAAACTTATCCATGCTTAAGTTTTATCGCGTCGGAATGTTTCCCGGTCAACAACATTAAAAGAAAAATAAGTGAAAAATAAGCTTACCAGGTCGTTCAAGTCAGTACGAGAGTACGACGTTAATACTGCAAAGACGTTCTGATTTGGTGAATTTGGACTGCCTTCTCAGAGAGATTTTGCTTAGGTTTTCACTGCTCTTCTTGTCGGCTATGCGAATCTCGCAAACTGTTTTACTCTTTGCTGACGATAGTCCTTTCAGAAACGTCATCTGCTTCATCCGAAGATACCCCGAGCACGCACGAAATCGGCCGAATTTCCGCAGAAGTGTTTTCGGATGACGATGAATCTAGTTTGTTGTAGCGTGGCAGTTGTAGCGTCACGATGTCGTCATGTCTCTTCGCACTTGTTTGTCTTTTTTTTTCTGCGGGGCATGGTTGAGATGTTGGTGAACGCTGGACAAGAAATGGATTTTGCGAGAGACCGTAGGTACAAATTTAGTATTAATTTGGTAAAGAAAAAGCTTTAATATCGAATAAATCCCGTGAATTTGCCTTTAGGCATTCAGTTTATCTTGCTGTTGAGCATGCCTAAGAACTCCGGCATAAGTGGTTGTCAACTCGTTCACCTCGGATTTCTTTCTGTTTGTATGTCTTGTAATCTTCTTCTGCTGCTAAGAAGACTAGAGAAAACTTCAAAAATATAGAAACCAAAGCTAAAAAAAGTCAGATCTAATTCTGTAGCTCGAGTATAATTATTTTTGGCACCTACGGTCATATTTTTTCACTGTACTGGTAAAGTTACTTATTTTTGCTGCATAGTTTGACTGTTGTTTGAAAGACAATCAAAGGGATATTACAATCACTTTTGGAGACAAAATAAAATACCCGTAAATCAAATGCCAAAATCAGATTTGGATTTCGCTTTAAAAAAATGAACATGCTGCAGGCGTCAATGCAAAGTTGTAAACAACTCAATATAAGCAGTCTGTGAATTTGCGTTTAGGTCCACAAAACTAATTTTTCTTTTGGAAATCTCATCCAAGAAAAGACTTAAGGCTTACATTGCTTGTCTACGAGTGTACTACAAAATGCTTTGCTACAGTAAGCCTCTGAGAGGCGATTCTGGTAAATTTATAGGACGCTAAAATGCAAATAATTCTAAGCTTAAGGTGGCTGAACACAGTTTTGCGGGCGGTCAGCGGTAACTAGCGTGACGGCGTGTGTTTTAAATTAGACAAACAAACATGGCGGCGAAAAAGCAATGGCACACAGAAGACGATTTCTCAAAATCTACTCAGTAAAATTTTGTGATATTTGGCAGCGTTTTTACTTTTATAGTATGTTAAATAATGAAAACTTTAAAATGGAAGTTGAACAGACGAATTTTGTGACATATTTAATAATTACAGCACCATTATATTATTGATTATCTAAAATCCCGTCTGTTAAAATTTGGTCAAATAAGTTTCAAATGGTAATGACTAATTATAGTAAGGTGTGTGCAAGTTTATAGGAAAATCTAATGAGCGAATTTTATGTAAACTAAGCAAAAGTGAAATTTTAAAGTTGTATTCAATCATTCATGTTGCCATGGAAACTACGAAAACGTAAAATTTTAGCTGTCAATCAAAATTTTTCATCAGTGTATTTTTCACTTGCCAAGTTTCACCTTGTGACGTCCAACCTTTCTCTTGCCATGATTTGGCAAATGACACATACTCATAAACTGCTAAAACTGTGTTCAGACACCTTAAACAACCTGGCTGGGTCCGACTTTTGAATTACAAAATGTTCACGTTTGCCGGCTCTACTTTAAATGAACATGGTTTTTGAAATGATTTTGTACTATTTTAACCCGAAAATTATGATTGGGTTATAAAGCTTTTAAAACGGACGAAAACTAAGCTAATAAACATGTTCAATGTAAAAAAACTAAGATTTAGTCGCTTTTTCAACTTTGCTTTGTGGGCCGAAAATTTTTATATCTTTACGCAAAAACAAAAGCAAACATTGTGGCTTTTATTCGACATATTTTTTGAGAATTTTATCTGATCAATTTAATGTCACTAGCATTGTTTTCGTATAGGAATTTTCCTAATTATATGAGCTTTTAATTTAATAATTTTGATACTCTATAAATTTCTCATTTGATAGCTTCACTTTTTTATACACCGATTGAGAAACAAATTCGCTCTCGTTAAATCCTATTCTATGACCTATTTATTGGAACTCTAGGTAACATACGAAATGATGTAACGGACAGGCTTTAACCTTTGGTCCTAATTTATTTTTTCTTCGCAACCCCTAATCAGTTGACGGGCCGTGAGAGAATATCGCCACAAAAAGATGCGAAAAAGTTTTCGCTGCGTTTCCTTTACATATTCCGGCTTTATATGGGTCTACACCTTACCTGCTTAAAAATGAAACTGTTGTTCAATTAAGAGTCAGTGAAACTCGGTATAATCTTGACTTGTAAATCCAAATGCAAAGGTTTATTTCGCAGTGGAAGAGCGTGTGAACATCATCGAAAAACGCAATGTAAATTGGCTCATGTGAAACCACGTTTCTTTCACTTTATTTACCATGCATTTATCTCAATTGCACACTCTTGTGAAGTTGAACAATGTCTGGTTGTGGATAACACTCTTGTGAAGATAAGCACTGTGATCTGTTTATTTTATTTTTTTAGCCAGGCTTAAAATATCTGTAGATTCAAGGAATTATAACATGTGCGTTGAGAGCATCCCAGAGAACGATTTTGGCATGCCCGGCATGACCCAGATTATGGCACGCCCGGCATGCCAGAGAATTTGGCACGCCGGAGATTTTGCTGGGTATGAATTACTTATTACTAGAACCTAGGCTTCTCGCGGCCTGGGTGAGAAGGTCACAGAACCTCAAATTATGCTTACAGGGCATGCGAAATTCTGTTGCAAGCCAATTTCAATGCAAAACCACTCTGGGGCCACCCCCTCTATTACCAGTGAGCAAATCATTGACGATAGGCATGGGAAAAATCCTTGCATGCTAACCAACATTGAAAACGTAGCAGAAATGTCCTCAATTGCTGAGTCATGCCCTAGGGGAGGTTTTAAAATACAGAATTTCCTGACATGGAACAGGGAATTTTCCGTAAACAGCATGTCATCATTCCGGCTAGGACGTATTACCTCCGTATTGCCCCTTTTTACAGCTAGCTAGGCTCATTTTTAGGTTTCATGGCCTGAAATAACGAAAAATTCATGCCCTAAATGTAAAGAGTCCAAAAACGTCCTCGAAATTTTAGTTTCCAAGCCGTTTTTAACCATAGCTTCCTTGAGTTGAGCAGGCATGTACGCTGATTGGAGCGGCATATTGATGAACCTGGTTTGGATCGGTAGAAGGGTCCTCTCGCACCCTTTTAGTATTTATGATGAGACTAGATCAAGCTCACACGATTGTTTACTGGCAATATCGAAATCGTGATCTACTACCTTTTCTGTCACCCTTCGGAATTCTTTAGGTTGAGCTCGTGTTATCCTCTCCTCATTTGAGTGGGACTGGGTACCAGAGGTAGGTTCTTCAGACAACTCATTTCTAATTGTGACTATTTTATTTTGGATAAAATTGGAAAAAATGAGTTCGCTATCTCAGTTGTAGAGGACCATGTTGGACGAAGGACGAGGTTGGACAACGTCTCTCAGCTGGTTTGCGATTCAATGATTTGTCGACTGCTGAAAAGGACCTTTTGATTTGATGCATTTTCTGAGATAATAGAGGAATAGTAAGAAGCCTTAGCCTTCTTCAGCATGTTATCCACAACCAGACATTGTCCAACGCACGTTTGTCTGTTTACACTTAGCCTGGACGCTCGCCAGCGGCGCTCAAGCTTCCTACGTTTCCGTTCAGCCTTGCCAATATCCTCGTCGTACCACGGTGACGGCGAACGAAGAGTGATCGTGCGCCGTTTTAATGATGTATCCTGTAGATTCCTTAGTGTCCTTTCATATTCCTCTAAAAGACCACATGCCTCGTTGTAACTGCGCATCAGAAGGTTTGATCTTTTTTAAGTTCTTCATTAAATCTCTCCATATTGACAGAGCGAAGTTTGCGGTACCGTATTTAAGCTCGTTCCAGAGGAGGTTTATTCACGCGTATTTGACCGTGTACAGTTAAGTGATCAGCGAGCATTGGATTTCGCATTTCAATACCATATACCAGTCCAGTTCATCCCCTGCTCTCGTTATTATCAAGTCCATATGGTAATTAAAATCACCGACTATTAGCAGGTTGCCTGGAGAAACAACTAGCCGTTCAGCAAGAGAGCAAAATTCCTCGAATAAAATTATGATTTGCTTTTGATGGCGGTGGTCTGTAGATGGTAACAATTCTCATGCAGATAGTAGAGCATTTGGCTAAAATATCAATGTTTTTGAAAGACTTACACTTGTTTCGAGTATGTTTCTTCACTTGGATGCGTTTATTTAACGGAAGACCTACCCCACCACCACGAGAATTCTTTCGTGAAACATGGTACGAGAAGTGATGTCCACTGGGGCAAATCTCAGCGGCAGAAAAATTGTCATGATCGTTTAGCCAAGATCATTCTCGGTCGCGTAATCTTTGAGAGCTAATTCTTTATTATGGATTGATCTAGTGTTCAGTAAACAGAACTCGATAGGCACGGAGCCACTTTGTAGTCTAATGTTGGAGTGAGAGGAAGTAGCGCATTTGAGGGGGAGTAAGGTTTTAGAGATCACTAGTCTTCGTCGCACATAAAAATGTCCGTCGCAGAAAGTTGCCGTTATAACGCAAATGTACATGTAGGTTTTTCTTTTTTGGTAAGAGTTTCAGTTCGCGTTTATTACTATAAAATTCACAAAACCGTGGACACCAGAAATATTTATAGAATGTTATTGTGTTGCAAGGAAACACCCATGCCGAATAAGGTGTGAGAAAACTAAATCAGCAGCGGTAATTAGGGCCTGTTTACATGGAGGTGGGGGACCCCAGGTAGGTGAGGTAACCCGCTTAGGTGGGGTAACCCGCCTGTCCATACAATCTCTCATTTTAATTTGATCACGTTTACATGATAGGTGGGGTGACCCGCCAAGGCGGGTAGCCCTGTCTACCAGACCGGGTTACCTTATCAGCCGGGGTCACATTTTGCCATGTAAACGTTTCAAGGTGGGGTAACCCGCCTGGCCGGGGTCGGATTCGTGATACATCAAATTCTCGCAAAATTCACTTTGGCGGTGGCTTTGCATTATAATTAAAGTTAACAATAGAAAGCCACTGCACTGACGGGTTGCAGCAACAGCAACAAGTGAGTGAAGAAGTGCATTAATCGCCAAAACTCGTGGTTTGCCAGCATTTTTCTTGTTTGCGTGCTTAGCGACCATTCAATAATCTTGACAAAGTGCACCCCGGGATGGCGGGTTGTAAGATTGCATGTAAAGGAGGGTTATTTTTTTACCTCACCTAAGCGGGTTACCTCACCTACCCGGGGTCCCCCACCTCCATGTAAACAGGCCCTTAGTTTGTAGTTTTGAGGTTTGCCCTCGTGTTCTGAACTTTGTTGTGATTGGTCACCACACAATCAACATTCCTGAAATTTATCAGTGTTTCACGGTTTTCTGAGTTTGGCAGTAATTCTGTGTTATCCTTTGTTAAAAATTGCTTTTAGTGAATCGTACAGTAATAAAGACGAATTCAAATTGTACCTGGAGTTTTATTTACATTATTTTTACACAAGCTCGGATTCCTTTGTTCTTTTCGGGGGGAATATATTACATAACCCCCGAATCAACTGTCTGAAAAGCTGGGTGCGGCTTTGATTATATATTGTTTGAAGGGAAGAGCGGGGCCAATAAACAGCTAATTAAAATGCGAGGGGATTATGTATTAATATGCAAGGGGGATAAGTGACTTATTCCCCTTGCATATTAATACATAATCCCCTCGCATTTCAGTTAGCTTTTCATAAAGAAAAAATTCACAAAAGTTTATTGGAAATATTAAACACGACGCTATAATTGCTAAAATTAAACTGAGCTGCGTTTCTTTTGCGCCATATTCACGGATTTTCTTAGTTGCTGGTTCATCGATTTCCACAGCCAAAACGACAGTTCGAAATTGAACAGCGTCTTTAAAATTCTACATTTCCACGAAAGTGTCGCTGTCATGTTAAGGAGTTCTGTTCTTTAACCAGTCATCCCAAACTCGTATACTGTCTCCATGAAGACATGTAGTTGGCCTCTTTGGGTTTTGTGGTATTCATGCTTCATTCCTCGACTGAATTTCCTACTCAGGTACAGTAGTGATCCCTCGCCCGGAATCTTCTGTCTGTAAACATGCAGGTCGGTCGAAAGATCCTCGGTGCGAAAATTGAAATTGTCAACTGCTTGCTCGTTTTCTGCACCCGCAAATTACGATTCAAATTGTTTTCCGAAAGCTCTTGCTGTACCGCCACTGAAGCTGCCTAAGTTGGAGTTATAAACGGCTCTACTTATGGCTCTGAATCGCTCGACACCCCTAGGCTCTTTAGGCTGTTTCTAACATTCACCGCGAACAACTTATTTGAAATACGACTTTGAAAAACTAACATAATTAAAAAGCCGAGAAACCTGTGAATGCCACCAGTGCCAGCATGGAGTGTTAAAAAAACAAAAGAAAGATGAACAATAGAGGCATTTTTCGTCAATGTATTTTTGCATCCCTTGAGGAATCCTCGCTTATGTAAAGATAGGCCGTTTATCCGCCTTCAGCTCGTGGTTATGTGATTTATTCCCCTCGGGCAACGCACGGGGGTATAAATCACGTAAAACGTTGACTAACCACTCTTTTAAGAAGCAATAAAAGACAGTTACCTTAATGGGAACTCCCAGACCATCATTGATTGTTCTCAATCTGGATGGGAACTCTTGAATAAGTTTCACAAGGTCTTCCAAGTTCGTTGGATTTTTATCTGGTAGATCTGTGGCATAATACTCAATGGACAAATCGTTTGCTTTATTGCAATCGGATGTCAGCTTATTTAACTCGGCCTCTAATCCGGCAGTCACAATTCCCGCAATATCCAGACCTCCATCCAATTTACCTGTGACGTTTACGCTATAAATAATGACAATAATAATAAAAAACTGAAATAGAAAATGATTCAGTTCAAAGGTTAGTTTTTTTTGCACTGATGCAGATGACCAATTTGTTTTTACAATAACTGAATTATTTATCGCGGGCTGATTAGCTATTTATTTTTGACCAATAAGAGGACAGACACATAAAATCTAATTTATGCAAGACGGCTCATTTGCCGAACGAATACCAAACTTCGATTTTTTTCTTTAATTTAGTTTCGTTGAAGATTTACTTTCTCACTACTAAGAAAAATAGCCAAATAGCTGTGATGTAAGACCTGCATCCTATTCGGATTCTCTACAAAATGGCTCAAACACAGGAAACTGAACAAAAACACTTAGTTTCCAAAAGCGGAGACGGCTTTTAAAAGTCTTAAAAGAAATTGTACAGCTTTAAAACTGCGATTTAGATAAGCTTTTAATGTTCACACATAGTTTTAAAGTTAGAAAAAGTAAGAAAACATCCTGAAAGTCTAGTTTATTCAAAATAAAGACATTAATAGTAACAGTAAGTTTTCTTTTGACAAGTACCGAGTGTTTTTTCTGATCCGTCTTTCCGAAAGCATAACAAACTTTTTGTACAAACTTGCGAAACTAATTGTGAGTACCTGGTTAGGTGATTTGAAGACTACACGCGTATAAAACCCACCTATCGGTTTGATTGTACACATACAGCTCATATAGCTGAATGGCGTTCAGGACGACAAACATTTTGAACTGAAGTAAACAACACGTACACGATTTCTGTTCGAACTGTTCGGTTAGCAACTTTTCAAGACTGCCTGGCTAGTTGCTCTACAGACAGTTCAACCGTATATCGCTTCCACTTCTTCGGTCAACGGCTCCAAAACCTTTCCTTGTAATAATTTTTAACCTTGGGCTCGTTTACGACTTTATACTACACCAAAATGCCTCTATTTTTAAGAAACTCCGTTACTTGTTTTTAGTAGCAAATCCCAAGCGACAAAAGTTATTGACAATAGACCGATTGCAAATATGGCGACGATATCACCAAGACGAGGCTTTTCGGTAGCAACTGTTGCTAAGGGCTGGTCGCTTGTTTATATGCTAATGCGAGTCCGTTATCTTGTTGTTTTTGCACTCTGGAAACAATAAAAAAAAAAACTTTCAAGAAGAAGTCATCGTCGGTTCGTTGTGTTAAAATAGAGGCCAGTGCTTTTTACTTTGCCTATATTATACAAATCGGAACGTAGATGATAGAAAAAAATCACGATTGCGATGTACTTATGTGGTCTTATGTGTGAACTCATATTACATTTCCGACGTTGAACTTGAACTTCTTGAGAATGTTTTAGACTCAGTTTCACTGTATGTTCTTTTTACCCAACAGTATTAAGTTCATGATGGATAGGCCTGTGGAAAACATTCATGTGAGGGAATTAAAAGAAATTATTTTTAGGAAGAAAGTGAGCCTGAAAGGTTTAACAGTGAAGGACCAACTTGTTGCAAAGTAGGCAGCGTTTTTAACCCTCTGTTTTATATGATTAAATACACTTGGAAACCTTTGTCTCTTGTCTCATTATTTTTTTGTCTAAGTGATTGCAAATTTAAAATTAGCGTCCCTTGTTGATTTTGTTTTGTGCAGGGAGAAGGAAGTACTTCAAATGTGTACAGATGATCGCGGGCAAAATGATCAAAATAATCAAGCGACCGCCCCTGCACTTCGTGCTCGAAACAAAAAGACTGACTCAGATCTTGTTAGGGAGAATGACGAAAAGTTTAGATTTTGTCCCTCTGAGAAGAATATGGATAAACTACTGGACGATCTTCCACCATTCACGTATACTAAAAAATACCATTGTGAAATATGTCCGAAACTCCGGTAAAAACATTCAGCATTCCCCGGACTACATGGTAATGAAGCCGTTTGAACGTGGTGTCAATTTTTTATTGAAGGATACCTTCATAACGTCGGGGCCAAGAATCATAAAGAGAGCAAAACCTTTTATTTCAGAGCCCTTTGCTACCAAAGTCTACGGAAAAGTGAACCCCCACATAGAATAAGATTAGCAATCTCAACCGACAAACCTTACGATGTACTTGCTTCACGGCCTGCACCTGTGTCTCTGGATCCTTGGGGTTTTGTAATCATGCCATAGGCCTAATGTATCTAGTTTCCCACTATTCCATGACAAAAGCTAAAATGGTCCACGATGACTTACATGTGAACCTTAAATACAATGAATGAAAAATATCGGGCAGTCAAAGTATCGCGATCGCTACAAATGACTCTTTAGCATTGAAAAACAGTATCCAAAGCGTGTATACCAGATTGAAACTTATTTTAGCGAAGAAAATTGACTTATTTTTGTCGAATTTAAAGGAAAAGACGCCTGAGAAGCTGCAGTCTTTCCAGCAACGGCACAGGTAAACACAGGCAACCAGCCCCTAGCAACGGTTGCTACCGAAAAGCCTCGCTTTGGTAAAATCGTTGCCATATTTGCAATCGGTCTAGAGCATTACACTAGTTTTAGTTGATAAATTTTGTTGTCTTTTCTTCATTTTTATCGGCAATATGACTTTTTTGTGCTTCTGGTATTGCAAAAAACAAATTGCCGCCAGATTTTTTATGTCTCTTCTCGTATTGATGGTTGAAAATGATGTCATAACATTGTCAAGGTGTTGTGGATCCAACACTTTGACGATGTTGTGACCTCATTTTATCATCAATAATAGGACACAAAAAAAAATTAAGTAGCGTTAGTTTCTTAATTCAGCATCAGTGCTAAAATTAAGCTTGGCAGATCTTGTTAATATCCTTTATTATTCATTCAAAATATTTCCCCAATTCTGATTGGCTAAAAGCACACGCGTAATTCACCATAACCAGTTAATGATGACCAAATTTGGAAGAATTTTGTGTTTAACGAGGAAATGGCGTCAAAAATGCAGCTCGCTACAGGTTAAGAAATACCATGGATAGGTGTGCAAGATGAAAAAAATCGAAATCCCCCAACGTTTGTCACAACAAAGCCCTTTGGAAACTATTTTAGGAAATAAAAGACTCAGTTCGTTTGACTTTATATTTTCCAAAATTATCAATTTGTTTAAGTTTTCACCTTCGAGAGGCCTTCAAACCACCGAAAAATGGGCGTCATATCCTTGCTTCGTGAATGGAAAAGGAAACTAATACCATGACTTTTCTTATATTAAACAATTTCGTGATCCTTCTTTTCTATCTAAACGTTGTTACAACTTCAAAAGATTTCAATCTGATTTTTTAATATATTTTTTTCAAAATTACCCTCTAAATCAGTATTATCGCGACTTTCAATTTTGCCATTTTTCAACGGCGAAAATCCCTTCCTGGTACATGGCTTTCATTAGAAAAATGGTATTACAGAGAAAGAGCAATGCTTCCCTATCAATCTATGAAATAAAATTTTGGGGCAATTGAAACTGCGAGTTTTTACAACTGAAAACATTTTACGGTACTCGCGTGATTTACGACCTTTGAACTTGCGGTTGTATTGATGAATACAAGCGAGAACTTAGACAGCATTTGAAACTCTGGCGCAAATTCGTCTCTTTTCCGCCAGTTTAAACACCAAAAATGATTCTAGATTTCACAGTGGCAACTTTTCAAAAGGAAAAGTAATTTTACTGTGCGACTTCTTGACTATAAGACTTCCCTTACTTGCGTACTTGTTTACTTTTGTCGTATTTGTACAGTTATTATTATGTACAAAACGCCTTTAGTGTTGGTAACTATTCTTTAAAATGCTCTCATTTCTCATGAAACAAATCGTTATAGGTTTAAAAAAGGGAAACATTTTGACCTGCCTCACATTTTTTGACAACAGACCCGAATCCTTTACTCCCTTTAGCGAATCGAGATTGCGTGACAAAGAACTTTGAGACTCGGGTCATGATCATACCGCGAAAAAAGATACCATTCTGAAAAAGAAACTCACGCACCACCTTCTGTAACTATAAAAGAGAAACATGTAAATAATCAAGATCCTTAGTTTCATTGACTTATCAGCTAAAGCGACCATGAAAACATAACACTACAAAAATATTTTCCACAAGAGACTATGATGTGGTCAGTCCAGGCCACAACCAGATCTGGATATATGATGGCTGGTAATACCTTCAATCAATTATCCAAAGATATCCGAGCATCTCGCTTATCAACACCACCTTCTTGTGCTTTATATTTGTAGGGGAGCCAACATTAGCACTGCCAAATATTAATTTTTTTGTGCCTGGGTATCTCACGTTAAGCGTTTCCGCAAGTGTGTCTTACATCCTACGCTTATGTAAGGGTTATTTACCTGGAACGAGGGGTATGTAATATATTCACCTGGTACCGCCCCGAGGGCTACGTATAAACAACTGTCCCTTTTCAGATTTTCAAAAGCAATGTAACAAAAAATGGCCTTCAGTTAGTGCGAACGGCTTTTCCTTCTGTTTTTCTTTCTATTCCTTTATCCTTTTTTTTTCTCATAAAAGCGGTTTCTTTTTCAAGGTGCCAGGGCCGGGGCGCGATAATTGGTTTCACTGCTCGAGCGTTCCTGACGGACATAAATATACGAGCTTGCAATCTTCTTTAAATGAGTTGCTCGAAACTATGGGCGAAGGCAGACGTACAGCTAAAACGCAGGCGGTATGCTTAGAGCTAAGCCCCCTTTGCTCCATTTTAGGGTTTCAAATCCCCCCCCTCCTCTCCACCCAGCCTCCCCCGCCCGAGTCATTAGGGGTGCTTATACGGGCGCGGTTCAGGCGTACTTGACATTTTCTATCTGCAATATACTTTGCCCAAACATATACTCAGCCTATACTTTGCCCAAACGTTGCTCAGAAATGCAAAACTTGTTCGAGGTTACCAGAACCACAGAAATGTTGCTTTAAACACCAGCGGTGCTCTAAAGTTACGCAGGTTTTCTAGCCCCGACCTACAATCAGGGACAAAAGTAGTTGACACACTTGTTTAAAACGGGAGCTTTTGTCAAACATTTAATTCATTTATTATTTCATTCCTTTCAAACGCCGTAAATCCCCTCACCCCCCGAATCAATGTTGTCTGAAGTAAAAGAAAGAATTGAGGGTCCAAAATACAACATTGATTTTGGGGGGAAGGGGTTGGGGTAGACAGGGGAAGGGGATAGGTATGTCCACTATGCAAAAAGGGGTCATTTTACGAAGTGTCTCAACACTTTTGTCCCTCATTGTAGCTAGTCTGAAATGCTATGCGTTTGTTCGCCCCACCCCGTAACGGGCTGCGGCCCCTTAGGGGGTTGGGGAAAGGGACGGATAACATTTCAGACTACGACTTAGCACTTTTTCCCCTTAATATCATTTTTTTAAGAATACACGTAAGGAATTCATAATCGTATTTCAAAACGAACGTGATGGAAAACAAGAGACTACAGTGGAACCTCGATTTAAGGAAGGGCCAAGGAATTGACAAAATTTTAGAGCTACCTAACGACGGTTTCCTTTTAAATTCATTGAAAACACTTTTTAGTGTACGTACCCAGAGTACTTTTAGATTTCTAGAAATGCATTCTAAGAGGCGCTATAAAATTCGTATCAGTTCGGTCATCCTAGGGGAACTTTAAAAGTCTTTTCGAATTTACAAAGGCTTCAGTATTGTTTTCCTGGAAACAACGTAAATGGCATATCAAGTGAGAATTTTTTTGATTCCAGTTTAGGTTCCCTTTTTGCTACGAATTGGGGTAAAGAACTGTACAAGGGCCTACCCTTTTATAGTCTTTTGAGGAAAATATATTTTTTAGTGTTACGTTTGCAGGGTCGCTCTAGCGGATAAGTCAATAAAACTAAGGATTTTAATTAATTGACATGTTTCGCTTTAAATTATGGTTACAGAAGCTTAAGGTGCCGCCTGAGTTTCTTTGTCAGAATGGTATCGGTCTTCGCGGTATAACCTGGGTCTCAAAGTTCTTTGTAACACAATCTCGTTTCGCTAAAGGTTCGGGTCTGTTGTCAAAAGATGTGAGGCAGATTAAAATGTTTTCCTTTCATAGCTATAACGATTTGTTTCATGAGAAAGAAGAGCATTTAAAAGAATCGCTACCAAGACTAAAGCCGTTTTGTACATAAATGATAGCTGTTACAAATACTTTAAAAGTAAACAAATACGCACGCAAGGGAAGCGTTGTAGTCAAGAAGTTCATAGCTCACTTTCGCACAATAAAATGCTCTTCCTTTTGAAAAATTACCACTGTGAAATCTAGACTCGTTTTTGGTGTTTAAACTGGCGGAAAAGAGGCGAATTTGCGCCAGAGTTTCAAATTCTGTCTAAGTTATCGCTTGTATTCATCAGTACAACTGCAAGTTCAAAGGTCGTAGATCACGGGAGTACCGTAAATGTTTTTAGTTGTAAAAACTCGCAGTTTCAATTGCCCCAAAATTTTATTTCACAGATTGATAGGGGAAGCATCCCCTGGGTGCCAGAGACTTTTCTAGCGCGGTTTCCGGTTTCTGTCAAGTCTTTATAGTGACCCGCGCGAAAAGCCTCTGGAGCAGAGCGCTATTGCTTTGATGGCGCCGATCCAATCGTTAACACGGTTAAATCAGTTGGTCCAGATTTTGGACAAGACGGCTGATTGGCTAGTAACGACCACCTGAGGGATTTTGAATCTAACAGACGCTACAATTGGCTGACAAGAATAGACCAGCACGTGAAAGAATATTTTCAACTTTGCTGTTGTTGTACTCGCGAGAAGTGTTGTGATGGCAACTTTGGAAAGTTTTGAAAGAGCAGGATAAGCAGTGTACTAGAAGGGTTTGACGGTGTAGACAAGTTAAGAGCTATGAGCAAACAAGTGGAGTATTTAATTTTATTCAACGCAATTAAGCTATTCTCACCAATTCAGCTTTTGCAGCAATACGGTTTAAGCTTTACTAATTTCCTATTTCAAACGATTACAACATGTTGCCCTCTGATGCAAGAGCATTTTCTTTGACCTCTTTTGAAATGTTAAGCTCTTCAATGCGGCTAAATGAGGGTTTTAGGTTGTTTAATTTCACCAAAGTGCCTCCTGGATCTGAATAATTATAAGCGATTTTCTTTTTGCCCGTGAAAGTGACGGTTTCCTGCAATGTTTTGTCACGCTGGGTCCAGCTCGTTAGCGTTTTTAGCAGGATGTTAAATTCTCACGGATAGTGATTTTCAGATCCAAATCTCGAAGAATAGATTGCAGCTAAAACTGAAGCTACATCAATTATGGAGAACTTCGATTTGACCCAGTCATGATTGCTCTTAAAGCCATGAATTTTAAACTCGAACTTGTCTTTCTAAGGATAATGTGGGTCTTTGGACATTTCTTCACGTGCCGGCCCACATGATCACAGTCGGAGACTTTTAATCTGATTGGCGTAAATGGAATCCGATAAAAAAGCTCAAAGGTCAACGGGAACGGTAAAAAGCACCGCTCCGTGCCAGAGGTTTTTCTCGCGGCTTCGGCCTACGGCCAAAGACGTGTCGGCCTTCGGCCAACACCGAAAATTCCCGCCTCACGCGAGAAAAACCTCTGGTACCCAGGGTAGGGGAAGCATTACTCTTTCTCTGGAATACCACTTTTCTAATGAAAGCCATGTACCAGGAAGGGATTTTCGCCGTTGAAAAATGGCAAAATTGATGGTCGCGATAACACATATTTAGATGGTAATTTTGAAAAAACATTAAAAAATCAGATTGAAATCTTTTGACATTGTAACAACGTTTAGATACAAAGGAAGGATCACGAAATTGTTTAATATAAAAAAAGTCATGCTATTATTTTCCGTTTCCATTCACGAAGCGAGGATATGGCGCCCATTTTTCGGTTGTTTGAAGGCCTCTCGCAGGTGCAAATTAAAAAAAAATTGATTAGTTTGGAAAATATAAAGTCAAACGAACTGAGTCTTGTAATTTCTAAAATAGTTTCCAAAGGGCTTTGTTGTGACAAAGTTTGGGGGATTTCGATTTTTTCATCTTGCACACCTATCCGTGGTATTTACAGAAAGTCGCTCTTAAGGCACTGTTATCGAGAAGACCTGGGGACGAGGTTGAGTTGTTTTAGTTGAGAAAAAAAAAATGGCGGACATTTCACTCGTTTCAAGAGTAAGAACTACAGCTGGAATTAGGCAAAATAATAGCTAAAAATATGGCAAAAACAGCAAGAAGACAACTCGGAGGGCGACATCTGCTATTTGGAGATTATTTGCGGAGCTGGACAAACCTAAACGTACACTATCAAAGATGAACTTAACATCGATGCAGGTAAGCATGTTTTAGCCATGTTTTTAAACTAGGAATTACTTTGAATGAATAATAAAGCAATTAATGAATTCGGCTTTCGTAGGATATGATGAATTAAGCAGATATCGGAGGGTGTTATCCACCTCGGCCTTCGGCCTTGGTGGATAACACCCTCCTCGATCTCCTTAATTCTTCATATTCCACTCAGCCTCATTCACTAATTGCTAATTTTTCATCTCAACCGACGTTACGTTATAACAATCACGTAGGGTAGCAGCTGGTCAACCCCTTTCTGAGATTATCGTAACCTTGACAAAGCACACTTCCCCAAACTAAGCGGATTCCTAGATACATTTCTCACCTTTTTGAAGATGACGAGGACTTGAATTTCAGACTTGCTACCATCTCAGCGCCATACGTCACGCTCCGAACATAATGGGTACCCAAACTTTGGCAGTTTATCAGTTCATCATTGGCCTTAGCTGTTCCATCCATTGTTTTATTTACCTAGAAAAAACAACAAATAAATCAATTTATCATCCGAATTTCCTTTCAGAATGGATGTCGCTAAGGCTTAAAACAAAACCTTCTTTCCTTCTCATCTTATCTTAGTCGTGGTGTTCAATGTCACAAGCATAAGTCACAAGATAAATAACTATCATGGAGTTAGGCTAAGTATGATATAACTAAATACACTTTAATGGTAATCTATTTGCATGGCTATTCTGCCCTAATTACGATAATGATACACACATATAACTATATTAAAATTAGGTTTCACAAAGTATCGATAAAATAGTGGAAAGTTACTGCACAATGCAAAAACCTATCATGAAAAATATAGATGTTTATGTAAAAAAATAAAGGGAAAATATCAAATGTATTTACATATTTCGGGAGTCTAACCCTAACCCTAAACCTGGCGTAATGAGGCGGGCGGACACCTGGCGCCTGAATGCCTTTGGATCCTTGATAGATTTATGTCTTTAGGAAGGGAGTTAAAACCCTTTGAGTCTCTGAAAGCAAAAGAGCGCTGACCTGTAACCAATCTACATTTTGTTAGGTCAAGGTCAGAGTCATTTCTACTGGATCTTTTGCTGACGCTAAATCTTGATTTAAATAAAGCGGATAGATAAGGTGGTCATAAGTTATATAAAACATTTACGAAACATGGCTACGCCATTAAGAGAGAGTTTGACGCAGACGTTGAACCACCCTAGTGACTTGAGCCCCCCTGAAATATGATCAAACTTCTTAAGCCCTAAAATAATCCTACAGGCAAAGTTTTGAATGACCTTCAGTTTACGAGAGTTTTTCTTAGAGGTGTTACTCCACACGGTTGACATTTGAGAAATATGCTCATCCTAAGTTAAGTTGAAGTCAATCCATACCCCTAGGTCCTTGGCAACCAATGAGGCATAAATTTGTTTCCCTAACAAGACAGGGCTCTTGTCAGGTTCGGGACGCCCGCTACCAATAGCTTGGTTTTATCAGGATTTATAAGAAGCGAGTTCGCACAACACCATTTTGAAACTTCTATAAGGTCACTGTTAAGGGCATCCACAGCCTCACTCACATTGCAAAGGGGAAAAGATCAAAGGATGTTGGTATCGTCCACGTATCCCATAGTTTGACAGTTCTTAGGGACGGAGAAAGGCTCATTCACATATAACGTGAACAATACTGGGCCAAGGATAGACCCCTGGGCCACTCGCACCGTTAAATGGAGGGGATCAGACAAAGCAGAACCTGGCTTGACATCTTGACTGCGCGAGGAAAGATAAGATTCAAACCAGGCATGAGCAGAGTCGGACATTAAATATTGTCGGACAATAAAAGTAAACACTTGTTAATTTTTGTTCTCATTTGTGACAACCAGCCTCGATTAGCTATGCTAACTGCGGGTTGTCAATGTTTGAAATATTGTTCTTTTAAAAACGAACAAAAAAAATTGATTAATTGTTGATTGACACACCCCGCTGGCGGAGTTTTAATAGTAACAAATCATGCCGAACGCTATCAAAGGCCTTAGACATGTCTAGCAAAACCACGGTCTATGTTCTTCAATAGTTGTTCATTGTATTGTAACAACGCGGTTTCTGTTGAGTACATTTTCCTATTCCCGCTCTATACACAAGTTATTTTATCGTTACTCTCCAAAACAGTCTAGAAATTGAGAGTGAGCGGCCCTCTCACAGACCTAATCCATCATTAAGAGCAGGGATGTGAGGCTTGTATATTTTTTTTCTTGCCACCCCCTTCTGAGGTTCTTCTGAGTTTTTTCCTCGATGATAAAACATCAGCACGTGACGTTTTCAGTAGCTATTTGTTTATCGCTCGCGCGCATTTTGAGACAAGTTTAGTGATGGTCAGTTACTATGGTTACAAGATATAACGTCACAAGTAGCTGTTGGTCAAGCCATTTTTGAGTGAAAATGCATGTTTTTTCAACTTCTTTCAACGATAAAAGTAAAGCTTGTGGATAAACTGATGCAAAATACTATTTATGTGTTATTTCACAAGTCAAGCACAAAAAATTACCAATAGACCTTTTTACCAATACGGCGGCCATATTGAATTTATTAGATTTAAGGAGTATTATGGGATGCCCAGGGGGCACTCGATAAGTATTTACGCTCACTTTTCGGGCAAAAAGAGAACTTCAATGTTTTTTTTTATTTCTCGGGAAAAAGGCGATCGTTATTATATCCAAAGACGGCACAACGATCTTTTTTTCTCATTACAATCTTTTTCTAGGAAAACTTAAAGAAAAATTGGCCCGAAAAGCGCGCGTAAATACTGATGCGACTATATGAGATCGTGCTCATGCCCCCTGGGCATCCCATAATACTCCTTAAATCCAATTAATTCAATATGGCCGCCGTATCGGTAAAAAGGTCTATTCTCGCCGTTTTTACCTGATTTCTAATTCTTAGTAAAATCCAATATGGCGGCCAAGATGGCGACTATGTTTGGTGACGTCGCAGGCCTCCAGTAGCGCTGAAGGCAAAATCGTTTCGAAATACATAAACATATCAAAAACTCCCCCTTGTACCACGGTGGGGGTATGACTTTGCCTGTACGTCCGAGGGTTAATGAGGTCAGTGATGATAGGCAGACTTATGGGAAAACTGTCCTTAAGGTCTCTTGCAGTGATCTTGTGATAGCCAGAGGCTTTGTTTGTTTGATGGCAGATTTGTCATAATTTCAGGATGTCCTTTTCAGTTACGTGGTGGAACTCGAACGTCTGGTGGTCAACCACACCAAGGTCGTGGGAGGGTTGCAATATTAATTCGTAAGGATAATCTCTGTCTGCTATGACCATGGCATTTTAACTTCTTTTAATACAAACAAAATTACAACATGGTGATTATTTCTTGCATCAACTCTGTTCTCACAAGTTCTTAGGATTGTCACGTGTTCTCGGGATTCCCGTGAATAATGTATCGTGGAGTGGTTACTCTGCGACACTCCCCAGCCAAGTGTTATTTGCTACAACCTCAGAAAAAATGATAAATTTTTTGATCTGAAGTCTGTTAACTTTGACTAAAACGAAGGGGGGCTACTGGAAATTATGCAAAAAATACATAATAGGGAACATGCAATCAAGACGAAGTGTTCAACAGTTTGTTTAGTGTTTGTCTTGCTTGGATAGCTTCTCCGCAAATTGGTCGCCTATTTACAGTTTCCTGATTGGTCTGCTGTTTTTTTGGATTACCTTGTTCAGTGTCTACACTAGTGTCTTTTGGCTGACTGGGTTTTCTCTTTTTTCAGAGAATTCTAACGGGAACAGAAGGTTCAATGTTCGATTTAGCAGCCTTCCTGATGCTGTTCGAACTGTGGCCGCTCGGACTTCATCATCTTTATTTGCAATGAACTCTTCTATCATTCCTAACTTCCAGGTGCCACGTGGTGAACTTTCTTTCAGAAGTAAAACATCTCCTTTTGAAGGTTGAATCGCACACTGGGTACGCCAGTGTTTGGGTTCAGGTTGAGGAAGTCACCAGGAGTAAGTGCAAATACAGAGTTCAAATCGGCTCCCACATGGACCAATGGTCGGGAATTAACAGCCATCTCGACTGCTGTCAGAATGGTTTCCAACTGGACAATGTTTAAGGAAATCTTGCCAATACTCTTTCGAAGAGACGGTTTCACTAGTCCTACAAGACGTTCGTAGAAACCTCCCATCCAGGGAGCTAGTTCAATGATCAAGCTCCATTTTATTCCTTCATTAGCTAGATAACTTTATGTGTCAGGGCTTGTGGTAGAGAGCTGCCATGCTTCATCGACGGTGGATTTAACTAGTTTGGCTTGCCACGTCTGGCGACAAATCTTCTTAGGCACCAAAGGAACTGTTCTGCAGACATGTCGTGAACGACTTCTAAGTGGACAGCTCTGATAGCTTAACAGGTAGGTAAACAGGCAGAACCAAACTTTGTGTGTTACAAATTCTCCATTTGCTTTTACATACAAGGGTCCAAGATAGTCAAGGCCTGTATAAATAAAGAGTGGTGAATCTTCTATTCTTGATCGTGGATATGGTGGAGTCACGGGCATTCTGTATCGTCCTGCATGATATCACCTACATCTTCGACAGCTGAGAAGAACTTTTCTTACAGAAGACCTTCCTTGTGTTTTGAGAGCGTCGGTAGATGAAGCATAGTTGGGCAAATCAAGGATAACTTTGGCAGCCTTATTTTGCATGACCTGTAAATCATGCATTAATCTAATATTGTCTCTGTCTCCCCAGATAGTATCAGAAAAGTCGAAGAGAGGTCTTATCAAAGCATTGTATAATGCGACTCGCGCATCCAAAGGCAGTAGTTGCTTGATACGATTTAACAAGCCAATCCTTTGATTCACTTTCGCAATCAATGATTCGATATGCTCATTCCAAGTCAGATTTTTATGAATGACAACCCCGGGATACTTGATTGAGGTCAAGGTTTTCGTGATGAATAACAAGGTTGATACCTTGGCAGGTTTGCAACCTCCTATCCCCACCAAACAATACGGACTTCGATTTCAATGTATTTAAGGTCAGATAGTTGTTGTTAAACCATTCGGAAAGATTGGCAAGGTCGGCATTCAGGTGGTATTCAATATTTTGACAGCAATTTGCACTGAAGTAAATCACTGTGTCGTCTGCATAGTTACATGACTACCTGGCAGTGCTCAAAATAGTTGGGAAGGTCGTTAACGTACATTAGAAAAAGAAGAGGCCCAATGATGCTTCCTTGGGGTACTCCAGCAGGAACCATTTGTTGAGTCGACTGACAGTTATCAACAGATGTAACTTGATACCGACTTTCAAGGTATGAGGCAAACCACTTCACACCTTGAGAGCTAGCTCCAATGGTCTTCAGTTTTTCGACAAGAAGCACATGATCCACTGTGTCGAAAGCCTTCAAAAGATCTAAGAAAACTGCTCCAGTGAAGCCGCCTTTATCAAGACTCTGTAGTATGTTGTCAGTAAAATGAGCAAGGGCAGTTACGGTTGAAGGTTTAGGGAGGAGACCAAATTGATTTGGAGTAACTAGTTTATTCTCTGATAACGACTCGTACAACTGTCGATTCACAGCCCGATCTAGGATCTTGCTAATGGTTGGTAATATTGTGATTGGCCTCTAGTTGTTACAATCAGTACAATCGCCTCCTTTGAATAAAGCAGACACCTTACCACATTTCCAAATCGATGGAAAAGTGCTTGCCTCAAGTGACCGGTTAAAAAGTCTGGTCAGTATAGGTGCCATGCATTGAGCTGAGTCCTTCAATACTCGTTTACTAATACGATCCAGACCCATAGCTTTATGTTAGTTTTTAAGGTTTTCAGTTCCTGGAGAACCAAGGAAAGGAAAACGATTTATTATTGCTCTTACATCGCAAAAGTCAGGTGGGAAAAACTTTCTGCAATTGCTGGCTATAAGCCGGAGTTTTTCCTTAATTCTGGCGGCTAGCTTGGTTTCGATATGAGAGAAGTGCGTATTTAGAGCCTGAGCTATTTCGTTGGTTTCCGTGTATAAAACACCGTCCGCCTCAATTGAGGTTATAGTCGCATTGGACTTCTTTGACGTGATCTCATTTAAGGTCTTCCACAACTCCTTGGGATTTCCTTTATTCTTGTTGATTAAATCTGAATAGTATTCGGCCTTACGTTTTTTCACTTCTTTATTGACGAGACAGAAGTACAGAATTATGACATGTGTGCGCATTTTTGGTACCCGATTGTACACTTTCAGTAACACCAATGTAACATCTATTTCTCTGTAAATATACCCCAAAGGCGTGGTTCCATCAATAGAAATACACATCGCAATGTAGCTAATCACAGTGACATTTTGAATCTTTTGATTCCATCCTAAAAATGCTCTTTATCTCAAATTTTTAACTAATCGATTTCATAGCTGTATAACTGTAAGTAATTGAAAAGGGGCGTGGCGTGCTATCTAGAATTATTCATAACATTAACACTTATCCATATAAAAGAGTTAAAGTATATACTTGTTTACACAGTGCACAGTTTGGGTCCCATCGATCTTATCCGCGGAAACTTTTGTGTGGCGTTCCCCAGGGCTCAATTCTTGGACCTCTTTTGTTTGTTATTTACATTAATGATCTTCCTAATTTCTCTAGTCTCACTCAATCTTTACTGTTTGCTGATGACGCAAGTATCTTTTGTTCCCACAAAGATGCCAACCACTTCGTTTCTATTGTTAACAATGAACTTGCAAAAATAATTATTTGGCTTAAAGTGAATAAGTTATCTCGAAATTTGACTAAAAAAAAATTTATGATTTTTCATCCAAGGCAAAAGAAAGTCAATGCTAATGTCCCTCTTACTCTGGAAAACATTGCGATCAAGCAAGTCACGGAGACACGGACGGTGTTCTCATTAATCAGCATCTTTCTTGGAAACCACATATTGATTTCGTCTCACAAAAAAATCTCGAAAAGTGTGGGAATTATTGCGATGGCCCGCTTTTAACTATCATCCCAAACCTTGATGACCTTATATTGCTCCCTTGTATATCCTTTCTTAACATACTGTAATGTCGCCTGGTCCTCCACCTACTGTTCCAACCTAAACTGTATTTACCTTTTGCAAAAGCGTCTAGTGCGGCTCATAACAAAAGCTCACTATCTAGCAAATACCGCCCCTTCATTTAAGTCCTTGACATATTTAGTATTAATTCATTTTCTGTCGCTACTTTTATGTATTCTTATCACCATAATCTTTTGCCTAATAGCTTTCGTGACTTGTTCTTAAGTAGTAATCAAGTCCATCAATACAAAACTCGACTAGCCTCTCAGTATAGACCTCATTTTTGTAGAACAAATATAAAGCAATTCAGTATCCTTTACCGAGGACCTAAAATCTGGAATTCGTTGCCTATTTCACTAATTAGCTCTCCTTCTATATTTGTTTTTTAAAAAAATTTAAAGAATTATCTCACTGATAGCCGATCTGTTGCTTAATTTTCTGATCTTGCTTACCCTGCACTCAGCCATGAATTTAGTTCATTAGGTAGTTGAAGGAAGCCTACTAATATATATAAGCTTCAAGCTTCGTTATGCTTCCTTGTCACATTAATTTTATAATTTAATTAACAACTTTTGTTCATGTTGTATTGGGTTTTGTGAGTGAATACATAAATAAATAAATAATTTAAATATTTTTATTTTAATGTACTCCTCATTTATACCCCTAGAAGTATCCCTTAGAGGGCGTGGTTCTGTGAGTACTACTTTGCACTGTACTGTACTTTATCGCTCTTGTAAGTTTCGGTCCCGTGCTTTAACTTTAAGATTGTATTTTTGCTGTTTTAAAGAGAGCTAATTCCATGGCTATAAAACTGGAATTATCCAGCTTGGAGCGTGACGTCCTATCCAGATTTACTCAGGGTATTGACCGCTATACCTCTGCCAAATTTCGTGCTTTTAACACTAATTTGGACAATTCCCCTTGTTTTCTATACCATTTTCCTGTACTATATGGTTAGCCACGGGTTAGCTTCAAAGACCGAGACACATTTTGAATCGATTGGTTTCAAAGCTTTGAATTTTATTTCGCCTTAACGGACATATATGACTCATGGTCAAATTATCACCTGAATAATCTACCCCAACGGGCAAAGATTTTGACTCAACGATCAAATCTAACGCGTCGACGGGCGAAGAATACTAATTGCATGTGGTACTGAAGTCGTCGCTTTAGACGCAAAGATGGTTTGCTTCGCACCTTTCCGCCCTTCCCTCTCTATCCTCCCAAGATAAGAAAGCTAGAGTAGGGAGTTTACCACTAACAGAAGAAAGTTTTCCACTTCTGTTGGATGCACAGAGAAATGAACAGAGAAAATTGGATGCACAGGGAAAAACTATCTCCATGAACGAGGATTTGATCGATATCTTTGCACCCCCATCGCGAATCGGCAAATAGAGCAGCCAGACACACATAAATCTCTCGTCTTCCTCGAGATTCATGACTAAAACGGCGCTCTGGATCGAGACCATGATGTAAACTTCCACAAGCAAATAAAGACATCTAGAAAATCAAAACAGCAAGTACTAAACGCTCACCTCGTTTATAATCTGCTTGCACTCTGGAAATTTACTCCAAGTCTCTCGATCTTGTCCACGTGCGTTGTACGTGATGTCATCGCGCAGGAGTGAATACTCCGGATAACAAGAAACAAATCGATTGCGCATGCCTCTGATCTTAAATTTTGGCTTTTTTTCGCTTTTGTAGGGGAGCTCCACGCGCGCGCGTGGGCGGAGCCCCATAGCTAAGGTAATCTCCCCTTCCCAGAAAATTTGGTAACCACGTGACCGAGCGACGGAGCGACCGACCGTCCGTCCGCACCACAGGCATACCAATGTTTACTCTCACACTTTCTTGCTACTTTGAGAGCCCAGGAGGAAGCTGATTGCACATCAATGTTGTCATCAATTGACAGCTGTCAAAACAGGGTATCCGCTGACCAGTATCACCTGACCGTATCGCGGGCTCAGGTGTCGACCCATCAAGGTCGAGTATTTTTTGAAGTTATCCGCTGACAATTTATTCGTTTTCAAATGATTGCAGGCTCACGTTTACTTTTTTTTAAAAATTCATATCAACTATGTTGTGTTTATGTCAGTATCGCCCTGCACTATCAAACTGACCTCAGACGAAAAACATTCAGCCAGTTTTTTTTAAAATACAGGCCGGGAAGACCTTTTCTTACCATGGTCACGTGTTGGTCACGCTCCACGTGCAATTTTTATGCTCTGATTGGTTAAAATTTGACTGGTGAGTTCATGCGTAAAATTTATGCAGCATCTTGAAAGTTGTTTACTTTGACAGCTGAATCTGACAGAGGTTTGAGTCAACTTATGATGTTCTTAACTGTCTTTTTCCACTGGATGTACAAAATGAAATACAGCTGCTATCAAGAGTGTTCTCTTATTCATGGCTGGTTTGTTTATTGGGTTTTTGGTCGAGAAATGCGTCGCTTGTCAAAGCCGATAATCCGATTTCGGATGGCATCGTTTTTGTTTTTCACCTTGCTGGATGCGTGCGAGAATTATAAAGGCTCAAGCGATCCTTGCCTTACTTGATAGCTTTCAGGAGCTGCATCTCGAAATATGGTAAGCCTGACTAATTATTGTATTTATATCTAATTTCATGAAGTCGAGCAGCGCAGTTTATGAAGCTAGTTTATGCACGTTTGTTTTAAGATTTGACTGAGACACTGACCTGACCTACAGTAGTATGAGGTTTGATATAAGCTCAAGCTTACAGAACTTTAAAAGGCCTTTAGTCGATATTAACTCACCGTAAATAGAAAGAAGAGACTTTCCGAAGAATATTTAGTTATAATTTTGGCTGTAGAAAGAAAGCTTTGAGCGATTTTCTTGTCCTGAGTTCATCTTTGAAAACAGCAAACAGGTCCGGGAAACCGGCGGCTTAAAACATAAACTTAATCTTAAAGCTTACTAGTAAAGACTTGAGGATTCTTAGAGACACTTAAATACTCATTTGTTTTCGTGAATGAAAATTGTTGTCTCTGTAAATGTTCTACCGAATTATATTTCTTTATTGATTGTTGGTAGTCTCAAAAGTGTAATTTTAATCGCTTTGCCATTTGTTTTCAGGCGTTCATAAACATCACTTGCAGGAGTACTCAAAATGCCGAGCGTATCAAACGCTTTTTAAGATTACACATCGTTATAAGACCATGAATAAAAAATAGACTCAATAAATTCTTTATCACGTTGAAGCGTAACTCTTTTAAAATTTCTTCGCAAATTTAGCGCTTGTCAAAAGTTAGAACCGGCTGGCCGTATAGGTGATTTTGGAAATTTTTTGAACGGTTTCGCTAATTAAAAGTCCACGCGTGCTTCGATGGTCCTGAATATTGAGTGAATGCAATTTGTTTTGAAAAACTGTGAAATACTGCATTTTTTACGAGGTCTTTATGATAAAAACAGCGCCACATAGTACTCTTTCTCCTCAGATGTGGTGTATTAAAAAAAAATAAAACATTGGCTTGCACGCACCCAGATTTATTGGCAAGAATTTGTAAACTTGTCGATCGCAAAAAATTCGGCCTGATTTGTTTTCCACGCCTTATCTACTGTGATCAAGAGCCATTATTGCTCTTAAATTTGACCGTGCACCTTTTTGGGTGTACATATAAGGCTATATCAACTCGATACAAGATTTGTTTCACTCCAAAATCACTTAACTTTTCAATGGAAGCTTCGCTTTTAGCCATGGCTAAATCTATATATTAGAGAGTAGTGTGCTGCCTCGCATAATGCTCGCCAGCAAAAATTGCCAGGGGAATTACAGAATACTCGGCAACTTAGAAGCGGTGCGGTAGTTGTTGAATTAACATATTAAAAAACAAGCAGTTTTATAATGGACTGGTTTGCCACCGCAATCCGCAGAATAATAAACTACCTGAGTTGGGATTTGTGGATTAAAGAACGAGGTATATTACATATGTGTATATATAGAGTTATCAGTAATTGTTTCGTTTCATTACTTAACCCTATTCAGACTGGGGGGGGGGGCTTTTCGAAACCCCCCTCCGGAAAAATCGTGATAACTCCTACACCGAAAGAGCTATGACGTTCAAATTTTCTGACTTTTCCTAAAATTTATCTAGGAACATTTTGGTATAATTACCATGTCCATGTGATTAATCATGTTGCCATGGCAACCAGTTTCTGACACATAGGTTTTGGAAAATTTAAAAAATGGTGATTTTTTTGTTTTAAGATCAAGTTTTTACACTTATAGTGCTTTTTGTTGTTAAAATGGTCTTTGCTTGGGACTAGTTTTTGAATTACATCAAAATGTTTCAACATCGAATATTTTGGGGGAAGGGGTGGGGTAAAATTTGTCACTTTTTTGCTTTGACAAATATGCTGCTCTATTTTCCAAATAACACTTCCAAAGTCATTTGTTTGGGTAATAAACATTAGTTTGATACTTCTTTTATACATTCTGAGTTTTTTCCCCTTTGAAAGTTGCTTTAAATTATAATTTTAACAAAAAAACGGAAATCCAAGATGGCGGATCCAAGATGGAGGACAACCATTTCAAATTTTAAATTTTATTGCTTCCTATTGCGTTTTCTCGCTGTACAAGTGTTTCCTTGTTACTAGTTCATAAGAAAGGATAACAAAGAGATCACTTTACCAATATTATTGATATTTTACGTATGTAAGTGGAAAAATAATAAGAAACATTGAAAATCGGAATATGACGTCACTGTGACGTCATCATTGGGCGTGGCAAGTCAAAACTGGGTGTGGGGCTTCTTTGTACGGAGATGATCATTGTGTGTAAATTTCATGACCCTAGCATTATTGGTTCCAGAGATACAGAGGGGGGGTCCGAGGAGCCCCCCCCCCCCAGTCACAGATTGACCAAAAAAGCCCAGTCTGAATAGGGTTAAAGAACGAGGTTGCACGTTTATTAAAATATGCAGTTAAATTTTAGACTATTGCGGAACTTAACGGTGGCAGCTTTTTGAGGTTAAATGTAGGTGGAGAGGCATTCTGCAATCTTGCAAAATTACCAAACTGCCTAAATACTTTATATGAGGTCATCTCATGCATCGGTTTAAAGTTGATCACGAAAAAATTTTACGTGGCATCTCCTTCGCCTCTCGACACATGATCTGATAGCCAAAAAAAAAAAATCTCTCCGAAACTCTCGGCTATAGCCAAACCCGTCAACTCCAATTATTTTTGAGAGATTTATCTTTTCATTTCTGAAAAAATCTTCCGTTTTCTAGGTTTCTAGGTAAAAAATACCATAAGCTTCCTCCATATTGAAAATTTTCCCTTGATCACTTCCTCAAACTTCGTCTCATTGTTTGCCGCAGTGTCACACCCTCTGACAAAGTTATGCCCGCTTTAATTTCCTGACTTAATTTACGATCTAAACCCTTTATATAAAGAAGTACTTTTCGCATCAGTACCGTTAAGAAACCACATGCCTGATCGAGCGTCCCGCTCTGACCTGCGAACCCAGATTTCCAGTTTATAGGCAGCGGGAAGCGACAATGTGTTCCTAGGCTAGGCCTGGCTTTGCATGCCCAATCTAGCCCACAGGCTTGTTGCCAATTAGAAGCCAATCTGGCAATACAGAAAACTTTATCGGGGCACTGCCCAAATAAAAATGTCTATTTTATAGCCTTATCAAAAAAACTTTACCCCCCTTGTAAATGACAATGAACAGAGTCTTGAAGGGGAGCGTCCGTATAAACTGATAACATTTTCATTACGAAGACGGATAATATTCTGGTACGATGTAAGCAGATATTTAACTGCTTGTCTGCTCTTTGAAATGATTAAGTAACAAACTTTCAGTTTTTCAAGGTAAATAATGTCCCGTGTCTCTGATTCTCAGAGCGGGTTTGTGTTACAAGTCCAACAAATGCCACCGTGTGTAGTTTCATCTCAAAACCTAACTACACGGGGAAAGGTGTCTCCAGGGAAATCGGTGGGTCAGTCCGCCTGCGAGTACGACGTCACGTATCGCGCCAGTGACTTTCAAAATGGCGAGCAAAGTGTTCATCGATTTGGACACTATTTTCCTGTATTTTAATCCTATTTGACAAAAAAATTTAAATTTTCGCCCCTGTTTGAAATATATCTTGAGTGTAGTTAAATTATATTTCATTTAAAGGAAAAGGTCTCTCATCAATTTACAACGTATTTTGTTTAATAAATATGAATAAAATAGGGTATTTAAAATGTATTTTGGGCATAGAATAAGTCTGTTTCAAACAGAGTTCAAATAGACTATTTGAAATATGTTTTAAGGGCTTTTATGCTGACTGTAATTTAAATACTTTTAAATAGGGTACTTTAACTCTGTTTTAAGTTGTATCTAAAATGTATTTTAAAACGCATCCACTCACAAAGTTACAAACATAGTTCAAATAGACTATTTGAAATATGTTTTAAGAGCCTAAATGCTGACCGTATTTTAAATCCTCTTAAATAAGGTACTTTAACACTGTTTTGAGTTGTATCTAAAATGTATTTTGAGACGCATCCACTCACAAAGTTACAAACATAGTTCAAATAGACTATTTGAAATATGTTTTAAAACCTTAAGTACTGACTGCATTTTAAATACTTTTAAATAGGGTACTTAAACACTGTTTTGAGGTCTATTTGAATTGTATTTTGGGCACACAACACTCTGACTATAAAAACAGATTATACATAAACTATTTGAAGTCTGCTTAAAGACATCAAATGCTGACCTTATTTTAAATACTTTAAAGTAGGGTACTTATAACTTATTATTACTGGGGTGCAATATTGTAATGTGTTTTGGGATACTTATACTTAGACTATTCTCGGCTTGCACTGTCACGCAATGAAAAATAAAAATGCAAACCATTCAATACAGAAGGACTAGAATCTGGGAAATGAAAAAAGATAAAGTTACAAAAATCCTTGCCAAGAATCAGGTCTGTGAAATATTTCAAATGCGACATATTGGGAAAAACTGTTTACCTAAATTTATAAAGCTTTGTATGGAAACGCCATGTTGGTGTCCCATTCAGGAACACCAATATGGCCGCCGGATACCAACAGAAACATCTGTTTTCGAGTTTTCCTACTACTGGGTGAATTCGTCGCTTGAGGAACTCATAAAGATTACAGTAATATTTATTCTGAGACAAGGAATGTTTAGATTGCAAAATCTCCCAAAATCGGTAATGTTTTTAACCCACATAAGAGCTTTCCCGGCCGCCAGCTAAATGCCGCGTCACGCAAAGCCTGGAAATTAAAGCGTCCTCTCTCGCAAAACGAAGAACGCTTTCGAACCAAAAATTTGTTTCTGTAAAGGTATTTAGGTACTGTAATACCTCGTGAAAAGTAGAAACTCAGAAGAATCGATAATTTCTTAGTTTGATTTTTGGTGACGTCACGTACAACCCAAGAATAAAAGTAACAATTGAACAAAGTTAATTCTTAAGCCTCATAAATGACTCAAAACAAGCTATATTGTGGACCGGATTTTCCTCTCAACAAAGTTCGAGGCTGAGCGAAAAATTAAATCGAAATTAAATTTTAAAAAGAGAGGAAAATTAGGTATAGAGTTTAGCTTTGACTGACAACACGTAACTGTGACAGTGTGCCGATAAAAGATCAATCCGTTCCTCAGTGTTCATTACCTGCAAGCTCTCTGCGAAAATCTTCGCGTAGATTTTAGCCGTGATTCAATTAATGCAGTTACGGGACATTCCATAAGTTTTTTAAAAGAAACTTCTTAAAATCGCATTTTAATTTCATATAGAAATTTTTCACAAACAGCGGAAGCCGCGGCCGAGTACCGGATGCACGCGGTCAACAGAGGTTTATCTAAAATAAGCCCTTGAAATTACATAATAAGTAAATTATCCAAGCTAAGATCTCACCTTGTATATATTGCATCAAGAAACAAAGCTCAGATCTGAATAAACTCCGACATATGGTTATCTTTCTCTCATAGATTATTCCGCACATACATGGCATTTTATTTCTAAGATGTCACGCGCGACTGAAATCACGACTTCGCGCCGCAGTGATGTGACAAATGCACGTGATAAACAACCGTCCTTTATCCTTTGCTCATTTCAAATTATTGAACCGGCGGTTGCTGTGATTACGGGTGCGCTTGATTTTATTGTTTGTTACGATCTTACAAAAGTACATTTCAACTCTGCGGATTGTCTGAACACGTAGATGTTGCATTTATCACGAATCAAAAATGGGTATGATTCCTCAGCGACTGCTATGTACTTTGAAAGGTTCTGGTTCAGGTTCTCTTCGAAGCACTCGGTCTTGTGCTGTCTTGTGTAGTAGTTAATCCAAGAGTCTTCTCTTCTGTGAGTATATTACATACAATTTGTTCCCTTTAAATGCATAACATGTTACTAACACGCTTAGGTATACGCCGTATGAGAAACAAATGAAGAGTAGTAAACATTTAATTTATATACTCCCGCCTGTACGGCAATTTCAGTTCTTACAGGGTTCCATGTTCAGCCTCGCTGTTCTCAGTCACTTGATGTCACGACCTCTTTCACCGACCTCTTTCATGCCCGCGTAAATTGGATGGTGTTATTCTTATGTTGTTCTTTATCAGCCAATAATTAATGTTCAGGCGTAGCCTGCAAGCTTCTGATAATATTTGAGTAAAGCCGTGAATATAATAAACAATGTAAGTTACATGTATGTAGATTATTATTTACCGGTAACGTCAGTAACGCGATACCCTTTTGAAGCGTAAGATTAAATAGCCTGTGTACAGACCCCCCCTCCCCTCCGATTTTTATTTGAGGGGAGGGGATCTGTACACAGGCTAAAGATTGATTCCAGCATTTCTGAAAAATTCCATACGAATTTCCCGAGAATTCGTAGGGAAATCAACGTAAAGTAATCGGCTAAGAGATAATTCTCGTGAAATCCTAGCGTAGGACCGTGTGGAGAAATTTCGCAGAGGTAAATCTTGCTTTTTCAGGGTAATTTTCGACGGTTTTGTATTCATTTTCTTTCATGAATTTAATTTTTGTACTGTTTTTATGCTCTTTCGACCGATTTTTGTACTGTTTTCAGACAACTCTAAGGCTATTTTCCTACAATTTTATACTGTTTTTGCATTTTTGCATCCTATTTTTGATGTATTTTGACAATATATGCGTGCTATTGCTTTTCTTCTTCTGTGGCATTTTAATACTATTTTCAAAGTATTTTTATTGCATTTGCAAATACGAGTATTTTACTAAATTTCGAAACCGATTAAACACCTATTAAAATATATTTTGAAGCATAACATTTTAATAGCGTTTTAAACAGGGTAAACCACCTTTAAAACCTATTTTAAACCTGTTTTTTTTCAAAATACGTTTAAAATTGCTATTAAAAATAGTTTTAAAATAGTATAGCAAATTAAAATATGTTTCTGAAACTGTTTTTATCCTGTTTTTATTCCGATTTATAAGGTATTTAAAAACTGTTTTAGACCTGTTTTGAGCCTTGCAAAAGCCCTGGAATTTTTTATATATTTTAAACGAATTTAAAAATACTTTAAAAATTCTTTTTTAATAGCGTTTTAAACAGGTTAAAACACCTCTAAAAGCAGTCGAAAAATACATTAAAAATACACTTTTCACCCTATTTAAAACCTATTTCACAAAACAGGTTACAAACAGTTTTCAAAAATAGCTTAAAAATACATTCAAAACAGTGTTGGATTTTGTAACACTATTGAGGGCCAATCCACAGCAAGATTGAGGAATTTAGACACAGCAATGGGAGGTTCATCAAAGGATGTGTTATACTTTACATTGTGCGTATTTTCAGCTCTTTAGAGCTAGTGGAACCTCATATGAATCCTTTCAAATTTTTTTAGCTGTAGCGTTGAAAGAGGAAGCTAAATGACAGGTATTTGTGAGAGACTGTGAACACTGAATCTTGTTGCTTTACCGCTTTTGAATACTGTACTGGGAATACACCTGTAATTCTCTGTAATAAACTCCCGAAAGCCAATAAAAGGTTTCGTTTAATTATTTTGTTTTTGGGTAAACCCAGTGGAGATTTTAGGGTAATAATATTGATGGTTAAGACCAATATTAAAGGCAAGTTTCAATTTCGCCAATGGGTCACTGGTGGGTGTTGGGTGTAAATTAGTACAGATTGTGGTGTACTGTGTGTTGTTTGTCATCATGTCAACTATCATTGAAAAAAATTCAGCTCTTTCAGAGGAGGGACATGTCTTGACAGCTTATTTTTTTTTCTGCCCTTAAGCTTAGCCAGTATGCAGATCAAGAGCTCTTGAATTCCCTTTTCCAAAAGAAAAATCCGGACTTAAGCTTAAAATATATATTGATCCAAGTGCATGATCAGCAGGGTCAGCAGTAAGAATAAAGGAAAAGAGGCCAAAAGGAAAAATAGTGTTTAAAAACAAGGATTAAACAGAAAAAAAAAAGAAAAAAAACGGTACTAAGAAACAGAAAACAGCGTTGCCGGGAGTCGAATCCGGTATATCTGCACGTGCAATTAAGCAACTTCTTGACCACTGCGCCACAGTGACACACATGATTTGAAACATCAATTTTGTTGTATCAAAACCATTTTTCTCTGCCATATTAGCTGTTTGAAGCTGGTGGAGCTGTATTTATCGTGAATTCAAATACAGTCGACTCTCTCTTAACGGACACCTCTATAAGACGGACACGTCTGTAAAACGGACACCTTTAGTTGGTCCCTGCGTTTGTTTATTCCCTTTATTTGACTCTTTATAAGACGGACGTCTCTCTAAGACGGACACTTAGTGCCGGTCCCAAAGGTAAGCGCGTATTTCCAAGCTATTTCGCATTATTTCCTGTTCAACGGGCCGATCGATGTAGACAGTCGATCGAACTAGCTTTACTGAATTTGGTGGAGAATTAGGAGATCAGCAGAGGCCCATGCTCGAATGAAATTAGGCCGGTGTTATTAGCGAAAGAATAGATAAAAGACTAAAACTTGCCTATTTTAGAGAAAAATCGGATTTAAGTTTTGGTGACCTTGCCGCTCCCGTGAGAAACACGATGGCGATCCCGCAACACGGCCCGCAAAACAAGTTAACAAAATTATACAATTACGGACACAAAATATCAAAACGGTTTACACCAGCAAACGGTTTACACCAACGCTCACACACCTTCTATCAAATTAGCAATATATAGCGATATTTGCTAGCTTCTTAGCTTTTCGTCGACCTCGCTCGACCTAATAACTGTGGTATCCCTTGCTAATTTGCATAAGTGACCCGAGGCTCTTACTCGTTACTATGTGACGTCACACTGGCAGACGGAGTGGTCAAGAAAGGTAGGAGGAAAACAATAGAGTCACCTTCCCGCCCCCTGCTTAACTACAACCAAAGTATGAAGGAAGCTTTCTTTGACCATTTCCAATAATGGAAATGATATTCGTTTGAGGTTCTTCAAACCCTCAGGGTCTTAATTAAAGGCAATGGGTTACCGCAGTTTATCGATTTTACTTAGTTTTGCCAAACGCGTGCGAAGAAATTAATTCTCAAGGATCAACGCGCAGCTTCATGACATAAAATGTATTTCCCGAGCGTTAAGAACTCGAAGTTCAGGGCAACCAACACAGACAACTAAGTTTCAAAACTAACAGGCTTGCTTTCAAAACCCGATTAGAATGCCTCTGCCTTCTTTAGTTTTGTCGATCTATCTGTGCTTATTTTGGTATTTGTTGTGTTAATTAATCTCTTCTTCATTGTTTTGCGCGGTTATCTAATATTTATCTCAACTTGACAAAAATGCGTGACACAGCTCAGTCCGTTCAGGTATCTTACCGTAGTACATTTCACGACAGCGAGGATTTCAGAAACGCCTTCATCCTTGTTGTTGTTGTTAATGTATTTTCCTGCTCCTTCCACTTTGAAGATATTGGCCTTGATTTTTAGAGAAATAGCCCCCGAAATGTTCAACAAATCCCTCACATCCTCCTTTGATTCAATGAATTTGTATTGGAAGGAAAATCGATTAACATTTTCAGTTCTGGTTTTTATTTCTTGCGGGAAAATATCGATGCCTGCTCTATTGTTTTTTGAGTCGTATGTGCGACCAATAAGGCACAGATTGGAGAAGGCCCAAGCTGGAACATCCATGATTCTAAAATGTAAAGAAAAAGCATAGTTTACCACTTTCACTGAGTTAAGGACGTTCATTTATTATTATTATTATTATTATTATTACAGAGGTGTGAGATTTGTAAATCTCTCCATGAGCTCCCTTGCCGTTTTCTCCGATGAATGCTCCACGTTCTTAGACATGATGAATGACATTGGCATTGAAAAAAAGCAGCAACTTTATATAATCAAGAAAATGATAAATATAGCCATTAGAGCAACATATTACATCTTTTGTTGTAGAAATAAGAATTCGGATAACCCAGACTTAACACAATTTTGATTTCTTTTCTTTTCTTTTCATTTCTTTTCTTTTTTCTTTCTTTCTTTCTTTTTAATAATCCAATCCCAAGCAGAATTTGTAAATTGCCTATACGTAGCGAGATTTCCAATTGTACATTCCAAAACACAAATAAAGTTTCCCTTATTATTATTCTGTGTTTTGGAATTGAGAAATTTATTTCCATTCAAATTCAGTACAACACCATACAAACTTTATTGAGGCTTCCTGAAAAGGGCTTTTCCGTCACAATATAAAACTATTAGCGAAAACGAAAAAAAAATTTAACCCTATTCAGCCGCGCCTTTTTTTGCCTCCTGCGACCGGGGTTGGCCTCGGAGCCCCCCCTCCATAACTTCAAAACCGCTCATCCTACGGCCACTAAATTACACACAATAATGTACTCATCATTTCCAACTTCTGGCGTAACGTGATTGACACAATGACGTAATAATTATGACGTCATGTTGTTGAATTTATTCGCAGAATCCAAATTTTCCTCAAAGTAGACATAAAGGGAAAAATACTTAAATAGTAAGGTCTCTGATAAAATCAACGAGCTTGGCGAACACATAAATGATCTTTAACTATAGCAGTGATGTCACGATAACATCATTAATTACCATAAAAGAAACTGGAAGCATCCGCCATCTTGGATCCGCCATTTTGAATTATTTAAATGTATTCTGTTTTACTTAAGACTCTTATAAATCGAGGCATTTTTAATAGAAAACTTAATCTGAGTATAAAAGAATGGTTTGGAAGAGAAAAAAATCAGCAAAATATGAAATTCCCAGAGAAATGAACACTGTTACAAATTTAACTCGGCATCTGCCATTTGGTCATATTAAACTCATGTTTTTTCTCTAGCTGGTCACTAAAACAGTCCAGAGCTTTTCCACTTTTAGAAATGTTTTGATCCGCGAACCACAACCACTAATTACCCAATCACGGAGCAAATTTGGAGTCGCATGACCCCAGGCTTGTTTTCATGACAGTCAATACAAGAGTCAAGAGTATAGTCAAGCATAGTCGCGATGAAAAAAATTCAGATATGAAAGGAAGTTATGAACCCTTTCATTACTCGCTGGGATGAGCCGTTTGCAGGAAAAGAGAAACGTGTCGTTAATATCTGTCTGCATGGGCTAAATAGCGATAGAGCGGGCCGATCTCCGGAGCTTCTATCCGTACTGTCCACGCGGAGTTGTTTCACCCTGGCCTCGGTAGCCAGGGAAGGATATCATGGTTCAGTTTGGGAAAGTGATCTTTGTGAACACAAAAATCTAATCATATAAAAACATATTTTTTACCGGTAGGGATGAACTGTTTGCGGAAAGAGGAGTATAATTTTGATATCCTTTAGCGAGGATTTCGGTCGTGGCGAAGGCATGTGAAGATTCACTGTGCCGGTGGGCCCAGCGTGACATTTAGATTTTATCACATACACGGACAAAAAGATCATGTAGTTATTCCGATCCAGACATTTCGAAGAAATCTAAAGAAACTAAAACCTTTATATAAATGTTATTAAGCCGCAAAAAAAGCCATAACGCTTTAAAAGAGGTCAAAGAAAATGCTAAAACTCTGCATCAGAGGTCAAAGAAATACCACAGGAAATCAATATGCGTGAAACCCAGCTTCATGACCTCTCAATGTGAGAAGACTGGAAAAAAAAAAAAGTAAGTACTTGCTCAGTCAAATTTAAGAATGCCCCACAGCATAATTTACCAGCTTGAAAGAAAATAATTGAACAAAGGGCGTTTTAACAAGAGGGATTAAAATGTCGTGCAAGGGGTCTACCGCACTAGGCAACGCCTTCAGGCTTGTTTTTTTTTCAGTGGGTAAAATAACCCCAGGAATAACATATAAAAGGTCTATAACGACAATAACCAAAAACTCAGATCGATCACCCATTTCTGTTGGTAGTCGTAGTATAGTGCTTATTCGGTGGACTGCAACGCCGGGAAAAATGCTTGATATCATCGAAAATATAAGGCATGTAGTCTTCATCCTCGAGTTGCTCAGCCTTCCAGAAGAGGTCCATTTTGCCACGGACGATTGTCTGACAAAAAAAATCTCGCGGCCCGTCTATCAGCGGTGTGACCTATCTTCAATCTTGTTGGCAGTTGTATTTCTGTCAATGGCGGCAGTGGAAAAACATGAAGAGTTCAAAATGCAAATGACAAAAGGCTTCAGTTTTTGACAAACAAATTTCTAGCTTCTGCGTTTTTATCCACCAATATTCACCTGTCAAAATTTTGACCAATCTTGATCGAAGTTGAACCAGAACCTTGTTAATTTTACGTCTCTATTCTCTTCGAAATTTTCGCAAAAATGTAACTAATTTGCGTTTTCTACGGAAAGTGATGTTCCACTTCTCTTAAAACAAAGCGAAGACTTAGTGTCCAAAGCGTTCGATTAGACAGGAATAACTGCGCCATCATCAACAGTGAACAGTCAGAGTCAATGCGTTTGAGCATTCCTTACTTATGGCGCGCCATTTGTTTCAAAATTACTTTTTTTATTGGTTACAAATTCTTAATCAGTTTTGCGGATCGGATTTACCGACCAGTTATTGATCAATTAAAATATTATTATATTGTGCTAATTTTCTACCAGACACGTAAAATCGATCAGCCAGCATATCATCAATCGGTAATCTGTCGTGTGAATTCGATCATATGTCTGTACGATCGATCAGTTGTCCGTAATCAACCATGAGAAGCTGTCTCAAATTTTGATCGGTTTTGCTGATAATCGATCAGTTCATTGTAGATCAGAGTAAACTCGGCTTGTATAATCTACCATTGTGCGTATTTTCATTCAGTTAAGCCTAAAATGGATCAGTTGAATGATCGATCAGTTCTGCATATTTTCATTCAGTTGTGACTAAAATCGATCAGTTGTTATATGATAGATCAGTGGTGCGTATTTTCATTCAGTTGTGACTACAATCGATCAGTTGTTATATGAGCGATGAGTAGTGTGTATTGTCATTCAGTTGTGACTAAAATCGATCAGTTGTTATATGATCGATCAGTAGTGAGTATTTTCATTCAGTTGTGACTAAAATCGATCAGTTGTTACATGATCGATCAGTAGTGCGTACTTTCATTCATTTGTGACTATAATCGATCAGTTGTTATATGATCCATCAGTAGTGCGTATTTTCATTCACAACTGAATGAAAATACGCACTACTGATGGATCATATAACAACTGATCGACTGAAGTCACAACTGAATGGAAATACCTACAAATGATCGATCATTCGACTGATCCATTTTAAGCACAACCGGATGAAAATACGAACAACTGGTAGATTGCACAAGCCGAGTTTACGCTGATCAATCTATCAATAGTATAGTACCTGACAACTGATTGATAATAAACTCATCGTTTATCAGCAAAACTGATCGAAATTTGAGACAGCTTATCATGGCTGATTACGGATATATGATCGATTTTACACGACAGATTACCGATTGATGATATGTTGGCTGATCGATTTTACGTGTATTTGGTAGAAAATTACCACAATATAGTAATATTTCAATTGATCGATAACTGGTTGGTAAATCCGATCCGCACAACTGATTGACTGGAGTTCATAGTAAACTACTAAGAAAGTGTTCCTAATAATGACGACGAAAAAGCAATAATGGAAGGATCAAGGAGTCCTTTCTGATTTTAAGCGCTTATATACATGATTCAGAACAGAAAAAGATTAAAAATTTATAGCCAATGAAAAAATCTATTTTGAAACAAATGGCCGCCATACTTACTGGCGATGGCTAATTCGATCCGGGAAATACTTAAGGGTGCAGTGGAATCCGGTCCCAAGCAAATACCTTGGTTTTATTCTTAGAATCCCCTGATATCGCCAACCAGTATTCTTTGCAAAACCAGAACTGCACGGTAAGTCTGAAAAGATATAAAATGTATTTACCTTACCTGAGTTACCGCACTCTAGATTTAACATGTTAAAGAATGCTTCGTTCAACTAACTCTAGCAATTTAATGTTTACAAGCTGTCTTCATGATTTTCTGTATTAGACTTAGAACATGAAGGATGAGGCCTGGGAACCCGGGGTTATAAAAGCATTCTAAAATTCTCTTTGTTTGAAATATAAAAACGGGTCTATTTGGTACCCATTACTCTGTGCGTTTCGGTGTAAGAGTTGACGGCTTTTAAAATGGAGAAGCAATTGATCTTTCAAAGGCCATGTTGATCAATGCCTTAACAAAATCTGGTGGTTCAGCCATACGAAGAACAGCAATGCATGCACAGAGTAGCACGCTGCGGATGGTATAATGAAATCGAAGGGAGGGAATCAAAGACCAACGTAGATGCATTTTCCTACCTTACAATCCAGATGGAAAGTTGCAAAACGCAATCACCGAAGGCATTTCGACGAAGTTTGTATGTTTAACATTCCTCATTGTCACACCTAGCGACGCGAACAAATAATTACTCACTTGTCAAAAAATAACCAACAAGAAGACCGTTTTATTTGATGCAATTGTGACGTCATTACTTTTTCCCTTGAAGAAGCCCCTCCCGTAAGTGTTCCAAGATTCATTACACGGGCAAAAGGAGTTCGAAGAAAGCTAAATTCTAGTCAAGAAGGTGACGATTTGCTGTTAGCTCAGTAACCTTGACTTATTTCTTCAAGATACGAGTAAGGTAACGTAGTACTTAAGCCATGACATTTTTATTGGTCAACCTAAGAGCTCCTCGATTCGCGTATCAGAGGTTCCCAGATCCGTCGATTCCTTTACGTTCCTTTGTACCTAACGAAATTCCTGATCATGATCAGTAACATAATTAAAAAGCACTTTTCTCCGAACTTGATATGAAAAGTTTCATACTGTACTGACGGGAACAAAAATGAATTACAACTTTGTCCTTCTATGAAACAAACACGAATCTGATACATTTGCTGTTGGAAACCCAAATTAAAAACATGACTGGAGTTCAGGAAGCTTCTAAAAGTGTCTCAGAAGAATTAAGGACCTTTTAAAATAAGACAACAACATCATTATCATTTTAAAAATGGTGGACTGACTTATAATAATGGTTGCAGAACCAAACATTCAAGTTGTGTGTTCTATTATGGCGCGCCGTTTGTTTCAGAATAGATTTTTTCATTGGTTATAAATTTTAATCTTTTTCTGTTCTGAATCATGGATATAAGCGCTTAAAATCAGAAAGAGGGACTCCTTGATCTTTCCATCATTGCTTTTTCGTCGTCATTATTAGGAACACTTTCTTAGTAGTTTACTATGAACTCCAATCAATCATGATCAGTGCGGATCCGTGCGGATCGGATTTACCGACCAGTTATCGACCATTTGAAATATTATTATATTGTGCTAATTTTCTACCAGATATACGTAAAATCGATCAGCCAACATATCATCAATCGGTAATCTGTCGTGTAAAATCGATCATATATCCGTAATCAGCCATGATAAGCTGTCTCAAATTTCGATCAGTTTTGCTGATAAACGATGAGTTTATTATCAATCAGTTGTCAGGTACTATACTATTGATAGATTGATCAGCGTAAACTCGACTTGTGCAATCTACCAGTTGTTCGTATTTTCATCCAGTTGTGCTTAAAAAGGATCAGTCGAATGATCGATCATTTGTAGGTATTTTCATTCCGTTGTAACTAAAATCGATCAGTTGTTATATGATCGATCAGTAGTGCGTATTTTCATTCAGTTGTGACTAAAATCGATCAGTTGTTTTATGATCGATCAGTAGTGCGTATTTTCATTCAGTTGTGACTAATATATGATCGATCAGTAGTGCGTATTTACATTCAGTTGCGAATGAAAATACGCACTACCGATAGATCAAATAACAACTGATCCGTTTTAGTGACAACTGAATGAAAATACGCACAACCGATCGATCATGTAACAACTGATCGATTTTAGACACAACTGAATGAAAATACGCACTACTGATCGATCATAAAACAACTGATCGATTTTAGTCACAACTGAATGAAAATACGCACTACTGATCGATCATATAACAACTGATCGATTTTAGTCACAACTGAATGAAAATACGCACTACTGATCGATCATACAACAACTGATCGATTTTAGTCACAACTGAATGAAAATACCTACAACTGATCGATCATTCGACTGATCCTTTTTAAGCACAACTGGATGAACATACGAACAACTGGTAGATTGCACAAGCCGAGTTTACGCTGATCAATCTACGCACAATGGTAGATTATACAAGCCGAGTTTACTCTGATCTACAATGAACTGATCGATTATCAGCAAAACTGATCAAAATTTGAGCCAGCTTCTCATGGTTGATTACGGACAACTGATCGATCGTACAGACATATGATCGAATTCACACGACAGATTACCGATTGATGATATGCTGGTCGGTAAATCCGATCCGCAAAACTGATTAAAAATTTATACGCAATGAACAAATTAATTTTGAAACAAACGGCGCATGACCATAGTTCTATACTTGCAGAAATATGTTGGCTACAGTTCAATGGCATTGCTCTGTTTCCCAAACGATGTGTTATAGCGTCTCCTGTTTTGATGATTTTCTTTCTCTATTTCCCAGAATGTCAACTTTGACCCCCAAACCGATTATTTTTTGTTTATCTTTCTTTTTTTCCAAGAAGCTAGATTCTGTGTGCTGAAATATTAGCTATCTTTAATAATTTAATTCGGGAATTTCAACTTCCCACAACAAGCATAGAAATACTGAATCAGACCTATTTAGTGTTAGGATTAACTTTGTTATCCGTTTTTAAAATCAACTAAGAAAAGCGAATCCTGGATACGTACACGTTTGGATATTTTGCGGGGTACGAGAAATTAAATGCATAGAGGTTTGTATTGTGAGATCCTTAGTCCACGGTTTAAAAGCATCGATACACACACATGGATATCAGTAGTACCGTAAAATTCCGAAAACAAGCCCCTCCATGTATAAGCCCCTCCAAATATAAGCCCCCCAAACTCGTAACGCAAAAAACCCTCCGTTAAATCGCCACTCCAAATATAAGCCCCCCGGGGGCTTGTACTTGGAAATTGCCCTCAAATACAAAGTAAAACAAAACAAAAACGCTAAATTTCCTTCAACTATAAGGCGAGCCCAATCGATTTTCAAACGCAAATTTCCCTCCATAAATAAGCCCCTCCGAATATAAGCTCCCCCAAAAATAAGCCCCTTAAAAAGGGCCTTTGAAAAATATAAGCCCCGGGGCTTATTATCGGAATTTTACGGTATTTTATCTAGATGCTAATCTCGGGAGGAATCTTTAATATGAGTCGCGGTGGCCCAGCCAGACCGCACTGGAATGGGTGACAGCGTGGTTTCAAATTCGTTTGATAACAAATTCTAATTACAAGACTTGTTGATCAATCTTCTAATTGATTGAATATAACTATATCCAGACTGGTTTACCTTGGAAATGGCGATGAATATTCCTGCATATACTGTTCCTACATCAAGTCGTCTTGGATGCACATTTGATTGCCATACTTCAAGTTCTTGCACTGAGATCTTCCCGGCAGATATTTCATCAAAGACAGAGCATGTCAACAAGTCAATCTTCAAATTCAAAGCGGTTACCTCAAACGCAGAAGTCAAGGAGTTAATGAATCTACCGTTTGATTTGCCACTAAGGATCAAGGCAAACCTGCTGTCTGTAGAAGGACCGGGAAAGTATTTCAGCGACGACCTTAAAGTCGAGGAGGACAAAACTGAAATATTAGCTGTAATGACATGCATTACGGTAATGTACATTTCTTTATCTTGAGTCTGTTTTTTAGTATTTCAATATGTTTAGCTTCTTTTGTTGATTTCCCAGTACGTCTGTATATACTAAGGCCTAGGCCAAACTTCGAACTGTTTATTAGACGAACCAAACTCTAATTTGTGTCGACCTAAATTAAGGGGGTATTTACATGAGACCGGGAGGAACTCAGACCGGCCTGACTTCGTCTCGGCCCTTACAGAAATTATGTATACTTTAAGTGTCCTTCTCAGAAAAAAAGTACATTTGAAGTATACTTCGTTTTTACTTCAAGAAAAAACTTATAAATGAAGTATATTTGGCAAATGTACTTCATCTGACATATACTTCAACTATTTATATGTAAGTGTACTTTAAGCATACTTCTTCAAACTTCAGTGCTTGTGAAAAATATTTTCCCAAAGAAAAGTGTACTTTAAGTATACTTTGAAACGGAACTGACACAGTCATATCATTCTACTGAGGATCTTGATATCACTTCAAAACAAAAGTATACTTTAACTTGAAAATACAATTTCAGTGTTTTTCAATAGAGGACATATTTGAGAACATGTGAGCATTACTTCACAGTGGTGAAGTATATATAAGCAGGTTTTTAGATGCGCAGAGCACACATCAGCTGGTCAGTGTTCGATAGAGTTAGTGAGAAGATCATCCGCCGAATTGTCCGTGTTTACCGTGAGCGAAATAGGCAAAGTCGCACAGTTTCTTTCTGACCCTTTCTTTAAGGTCGTTCATGGAATTTTTGCATTTGACTGTTAAAGATGGATGTAATGAAGGCCCGCATAATGTAACCTCCTTTTTACGAGGATCTATTAAAAGAAATAGAACGCCCTTACCAAATCCAACACTGTTTTGAATGAATTTTTAAGCTATTTTTGAAAACTGTTTTTAAGCTGTTTTATGAAATAGGTTTAAAATAGGGTGAAAAGTGTATTTTTAATGTATTTTTCGACTGCTTTTAAAGGTGTTTTAACCTGTTTTATTAAAAAAGAATTTTGCAAGGCTCAAAACAGGTCTAAAAACGTTTTTAAATACCTTATAAATCGGAATAAAAACAGGATAGAAACAGTTTCAAAAACATATTTAAATTTGCTATACTATTTTAAAACTATTTTTATTGGCAAAATTTTAAACGTATTTTGAAAAAAAAACAGGTTTAAAATAGGTACAAAAATATATTTTTAATATATTTTTTTTAACCTATTAAAATGTTATGCTTCAAAATATATTTTAGTAGCTGTTTAATCGGTTTCGAAATTTAGTAGAATACCCGTATCTGCAAATACAATAAAAATACTTTGAAAATAGTGTTAAAATACCACAGAAGAAGAAAAGCAATAGCACGCATATATTATGAAAATACGTCAAAAATAGGATGCAAAAATGTAAAAACAGTATAAAATTGTAAGAAAATAGCCTTAGATTTGTCTGAAAACAGTACAAAAATCGGTCGAAAGAGCATAAAAACAGTACAAAAACAGGATGGAAATACCATTTAAATTCATGAAATAAAATGAATACAAAAGCGTCGAAAATTATCCTGAAAAAGCAAGATTTACCTCGGCGAAATTTCTCCACACAGTCCTAGGCTAGGATTTCACGAGAATTATCTCTTAGCCGATTACATTACGTTGACTTCCCTAAGAATTCTCGGGAAATTCTCATGGAATGTTTCAGAAATGCTCAAATCAATCTTTAGCCTTTGTACAGACCTCCTCCCCTCGATAAAAATCGGAGGGGAAGTGGGGGTCTGTACACAGGCTATCAATCTTCGGCTTCAAAAGGGTATAGCGTTACTGACGTTACCGGTAAATAACAATCTACATACATGTAACTTACATATAGTCACGGCTTTACTCAAATATCATCAGAAGCTTGCAGGCTACGCCTGAACATTAACTGATTATTGGCTGATAAAGAACAACATAACACCATAACACCATCAAATTTACGCGAGAATGAAAGAGGCCGGTGACGTGACATCAAGTGACTGACAGGTGTTACAAAAACTAAGACCCTCGAAAAGTAAGACCTAAGACCTAAGTCCCGTCTTAGTTTTCTAGATTACGAAAACTAAGACCCCCTAAAATCGAATCCGTCGAAATATAAAGTCAAATTGTAACCGAAATAGGTCTAATCTGTCAAATTATCTTCTGTCCGATCCTTTCCACCGAGTTTTTGCTCAAATTTAACGGTAAATTCAGACCCCTCTTAGTTTTCGTTATCGCGAAAACTAAGACCCCCCAAAAAATCAATCCGTAAAATATGTATGAAGTCGAATTACGACCGTTTAAAGACTATAACCCGCAAAACAACCAAAAACTATCATCACGACCCGCTTCTTCTCAAAGTTGCAGACATATCAGTATTGAGGCTTTAAAAGCAGGATGAAAGCCATAGGGAATTCCAGGGAATATCGTAGAGTTCCATGGAATGCCATGGGGTTCCCTGAACCATGCAATTCCATGGAATGCCATAGCGTGTCCATGGAGTGCGATAGAATACCATGCAGTTTGTATGAGAAAATCCCTAGAAATTCAGTAATCAAGCAACTCATCAACTTGTTAACCACATGTTCAAGTCTGCACTTTTTATTTGATAGAAAAATAGGAAACATTTGGAAGCTTTCTAAAAGCAAAATAGTGCATTTAGTTTAAATTACACAGACAATGCAAAAGTATTGTTCACCAACGCTGAAAGTCCTAGTGTAAGAAATTTTATTGCTAACCATAGAGAGGAAAGTTTTTGTGTGCTTAATAAAAAAAATGATCCTGTTAAAAAAAATAAATATAGAAAATTATTTTTTAGTAGGGCTGTCTGCCATTTATCTTTTAAAATCAGTGTTGCATTTAAAATATGAGAAGATCACTGTTATTAACAACATGCAGTTGCTTCATTACATTGACACAGTGCCGCTATTCGATTGTACAGGACCCGTACACCGACGTGTAATTTGCCATGACACGCGGGATCAAGTCTCTACTTTAAATTTTCTAGGAAATTTCCAAGTCTCTTGAAATTTCTGATCAACAAATTTCCATGAAAGTGTAAGTCTCTTCAACCACTGTTTCATTTTTAAGGAAAAAATTTCAGTGGCAAATTTTGAAAAGAAGAAAAATTCGATGTGGCAAGATTGAGAACCGATCCAGGGGCGTAGAATCCATAGTTCGTAGCCTAACCACTCTACCACGGAGTAGTAACTCGCTGCTAGGTGGGGTTTGATTTTATTCATATAACAACAACCGTAACCCTAATTAGAAGCTAACCGTTTCGAGTCAGTGCTTTAATAGCCCTAATCAGTTTCGTCAGAATCCCGTATGAATAGCAAATACAAGACAATGTACGGGTCCCGTACTTAAATAGCCAGGAGAAAATGATCCGACTGGCACATAACTCTTCTCGGTATCGAAGTGTTTTTGGTTGAGAACTAAGATTTTCCCTGTTACTCGAGTCCAACCTGATTGATGAGATTGCTTTGAATGGAGTATTTCGGCGAACCTGCACAAGCAATATTAGAATTTTTTTGCCGCATCCGTGGATAGGCTAGTCTGCTACACAGACGTTTTTAGTGGGGAGGAGAGTTGCGTGACGACACTAAGAACGGCTGTGTATGAGACTATGAATAGGCCTGCTGCCCTTTTTCAAAGGTTCCCTCACCTGGGAGAACAATGCAATATTTTCGTCTCACTGCTTTACTCTTCGACAGCATTTGAATAGTACAATTAACTCTGAAAGGGACCGCAATTTAAAGCCTTTAAAGACAGACATCTGGTTTGATATTTATTCTTTTATTAGTCTTTTATTATTCAACAAAAATGACACTTGGCATCCTACTTACTTTATTGTACAAACGACCGGTTTCAATAGACCGGCGAAATTTCTCATTTTATTGAAGCACTGAGGTTACAACAACTTCGAGTTAAACTGATTTCACGGGTTGTCAAAGGAGGGTCTCAATGGGGTGGTGACTTTTACGGTTATCGGCTAAAATTTTGGCTCTTTTACGGCTATCGGTTAATTTTTTTCAGTTACGGTTAACAAAAAAGTTAAAAATTAACTTCTTTTGTTTCAAAAAATTAAATATTAATTAACCTGTATTTTTGGTATCTTTAAATCAAAAGAAAGGTCTTCGGATCATCTCGAGATGAAATAAGCTATTCTTTTGAAAGATTTTAATATTTGATAGATCATACTTTTTATAAAGTATTCCACTTCTAATATTATCTTACACATAGAAATGTTAATAGTCGATTTAAAAATAATCTTTGTGAAAAAGCAAACGCAGACACACGAACGCCCAACTCAAGGCCGGAGCGCGACATACATTATAACACAAATGGCCGTTTTCACACTAGAGACGGATTATTCGTGTGAGACGGGTTATCCATTTGATGATTCGCCGTGCTCAGATAGGTAGTACGTCTTAATTTGAAAACGAAATAGTTTTAATTTTGAATGAACAATCCGCCTGACGTTTTAAGAAGGGATTATCCGTTCCAGATAGCCTATGTACAGCCACCCCCTCCCCTCAGAAAAAGTCGGAGAAGGGGTGTCTGTGGGGAGGGCGCGACTGTACAGAGACTAGTCAAACGGATAATCCATTTCTAGCTCTAGTGTGAAAACGGCCAATAACAAAATTACCGAGTTCAGTGTTTTTAATGATAGCAAAGGACCGTACAGAACGACTGTCTGCCGTTGCCTTGTCCGTAGGCCTAATTATTCCGCGCGGCTAATGCTTTTCGGGTCACGTGGTCCGAACGAGTTCGCCACCGAAATGCCTTGACCGAGATTGCGTGGGAAGACGCCGTACAGGGATTAGGCATGGCTATGTCTACCGTAGCGTCAGAGAAAAACAGGGAAATGTTGTTTATCGGCAACGTGTTTTACAAACAGTGACATCTCTGCGTATTGTTTCACTAGTGTTTCGAGGGCACGACCTCCTGAAAATCGCAAATATTAATCCCCAGCAAGAAGCCACACTTTCGCTATGGAAAAAATTAGTTCCCTGAGAGAGCGGCGGAAATGGAGCCTAGGTCTTGGTCAACGCCTAAAAGGCGCTTCGCCTAACGTGCGTGCGGAATCACATTAGCCGGGAAATAAAAAATGCAACCATAAGTGACTTTAGTACCTTCATTAAAAGTAGCAAATCTACGGAACAGTTTCTATTACGGTTAACTCTTTTTTACCCTATTTACGGCTGACGGTTAAAATTTTTCAATTTTTACGGCTATCGACTAAATTTTTGGCCGTTTTACGCCTATCGGTTAACCCCATTGAGACCCTCTCAAAGGGTCCAGCGATTCCCTTTTCCCAGGTGAGCGCCGACTCATTTCGCTTCGTTTTCTGGAGGGGTCCTCGTTTTCGTAATAACGAAAACTAAGAGGGATCTTTGTTTTCGAAATTACGAAAACTAAGACTCCTGAATTTACCGTTGAATTTGACCAAAAACTCGGTGGAAAGGATCAGACAGAAGATAATTTGGCAGATTAGACCTATTTCGCTGACAATTTGACTTTATAGTTCGACCGATTCGATTTTAGGGGGTCTTACTTTTCGTAATCTCGAAAACTAAGACGTGTCTTAGGTCTTAGGTCTTAGTTTTCGAGGGTCTTAGTTTTCGTAACGCCCCTCTGTTGACCGCGTGCATCCGGTTCTAGGCCGGCGGCTTCGGCTGTTTGTGAAAAATTTCTATTTTTAACTAAAATGCGATTTTAAGAAGTTTCCTTTAAAAAAACTTATGGAATGTCTCGTAACTGCATTAATTAAATCACGGCTAAAATCAATGAACATTGAGGAACGGATTAATCTTTTATGGGCACACTGTCACAGTTGCGTGTTGTCAGTCAAAGCTAAAATCTATTCCTAATATTCTTCTCTTTTTTCAGTTTCTTTTTGACTTGCTGGGAGATTTAATTTTTCGTTCAGCTTCGAACTTTGTTAAGAGAAGAATCCGGTCCACAATATGTGACAGCTTGTTTTGAGTCATTTATGAGTTCGTGACACGATGAAGGCTTAAAAATTAACTTTGTGCAATGGTCAGATAGATAGATAGATAGATAGATAGATAGATAGATAGATAGATAGATAGATAGATAGATAGATAGATAGATAGATAGATAGACAGATAGATCTACGTATATGTATTATCGATGCAGGATCTAATAGTAGAGAGCTTTAGATTCAGAGACGAGGACGACTACGAGTACGAGATTTTCTCAATGCTGAGTATTGCTCGCGCGTGAACCAGCGTCATTTTGGCGGGAAAACGTGATAGCCGTCATCACTCTACTACGAGTTTTAGCGAGAATGTCGTAGTTTCAGGAACAAGTTATCAAATGTAAGACGTTTTATCATTTTGATATCGGGAGTGGGCTTAACCTCCTTCAGTAAAAAGAACCGTACTAACTTTTTTGGTGAAAAAAATGAAAAGGAAGCTTTCCGGGGTGTCTTATTTTTTTAAGAACACGAGCAAAAACTTTAAATTAAATCTCGTACTCGTACTCGTTCTCGTCCTCAAATCTAAAGCTCTCTAATTAGAGACCTTTAGATTCGAAGACGAGGACGACTACGAGTACGAGATTTGACGTAAAGTTTTTTCGCGTATTCTCAAAATACAGACTCCCCGGAAAGCTTCATTTTACCATTTCTCACTAGAAAAGTCAGTATTGTTATCTTTAGTGAAGGAGGTTACGCGCTTTCCAGATCGCAAAATGATGAAACTTCTAACATTTGATATCTTGTTTTCGCCACCACGACATTCGCGCTAAGGCTCGTAGTAGAATGACGACGGCTACCACGTTTACCCCCCAAAATAATGTTGGTTCACGCGCGAGCACTTCGTAATATTGAGAAAATCTCGCACTAGGAGTCGTACTCGTCTTGGAATCTAAAGGTCTCTATTATTAATATGCATAAAGTACATTTCAGTTATTATATGGCTGAGTCTGTTTTCGCCATGCGATTGGTCAATTTGCGGTCCGTAACATGCTATACGGACCAAAATTTTTAAAGAAAATGCTCATTTCGGAGCTCTAAATCTCTTTACCTCGGACAAAAGGTTTAAATAAAGTTATAAGACGCCTGTCAACCTTGAGGACTTGGATGTTGACTTTGGCTTTCAACATTTTAAACTGTGTTTATTTTTGAACGAAGGCGATGAAGAAACTAACTCGTAATCTTATCGAAGAGGATTCTAGTCAGTGTTTGAAAATTTTCTCGCAGTACACAGTTAAGAAGACGAAAATCGACTGGCAGAGATTCGAGATGTTTTGCCGAAGAGAAATGAGTAATTCCTTCGACAAATATGATAACAAACATACCTGCACCCGATCATCTAGACAAGCTTCTTTGCCATTTGCAGTGTTTTTTCAAAGACCAACGAAAGAAGAGGGTCGTGAAGGGGGGTACCAAATCCCAGTTCCCAGCCTAAATTTGGCCCAAATCCCAGTTCCCAGGCTAATTTTTAACAAAATCCCAGTTACCAGTTTACAGTTTAAATCCAACAAAAGTTTAGAGTTTTCGGTGTGTATAACGGCGTTATTTGCATTGACGTACTTGATTTCTAGTACCATTTTGCGAAAAACCTTTTCCGAAGCCATTTTTATCTTCCCTTCACAATATCTTCCCGCCATATGCAAACTTGCAGAACTTGTCCGCTGACCAGGAAAACTGACAGAACGTAACTATGCAACCGTGTAAGCCTGGTAGCTAGACCGCGGCCGCGAAGGCGAAAAATACTGATTTCATGGTCTCTAATGAGGAGTGCAAGGTCTATTGCTACGAAATTTTATTTTTCTATTTCAAAATATTGGAGCAAAGACCACTGAAGAAAAGAAATCCCATTCCCATTTTATAATTGTTCATCCCATTCCCAGTGGCTAAATCTCAGTCCCAGTGAGTAAATCCCATTTTCCCAGTCTACAATAAGGCTAATCCCAGTTCCCATTTTACCCCTTCACGACCCTCAAAGAAAGATAGAAGCGAGTTCGAGCCAGACACAATGTCCAGTTTTCAAAAGACTCCAGCGTCACACTAACGAGTGAATACTTAAAATGCTCTTAGTTTTGAACGAATAAACTTTAAAATATGTCTGTAAACCCTGAGGACTGGGATGTTGACTTTGCCTTTCCAAATTTTAACCTAGCTTTGTTTTAATGAGAACGAAGCTGATGTAGAAACTGAATCGCAACCTTACCGAGGAAGAGAATTTAGTCAGTGTTTGAAAAGTTTAACGCAGATCACAATTGAAGACCAGGATGAACTGGCACAAGGAGAGGTTTTCCCAAAACAATTAACGAGCGAATCCTTCGACAATGACAACAAACTTACCTTGTAAAGCTTTTTAGCCTTTTGTAGTGTTTTTTTTTTACAAGGACAAACGGAGGAAAGATGGAAGCGACTTCTAGACAGACACAGTGTCCAGTTTACAGCGTAACATTAAAGAGCTAAAACTTACACTGCTCTTAGTTTTGACCGAATAAACTTTTTCAACATGACGAATTTGTTTTTACTTTCTCGGAGAGCCTTTGTTATGTGCTATTGCTCTCGTGCGCCAATAAAAACTTTCTTTTTTGACGCCTGTCAAATGACTGTCAAATCGTGCGTCCTGCACTTGTTTCCGGTCTCACAAACAGGAAGAAGCCATATAATAAACATCTTATTAGCCTCGTTTTTTCGGTCCGTACTGTAAATTACGGATCCTGGTTTTTTTCATCGATTTATGGCCCGCGCGCTTCGCGCTTGGGCCATAAATCGATGGAAAAAAACTCGGTCCGTAATTTACAATACGGACCAAAAACTCGGCTAATAAGAGGTATGTATACTCGAAGTATGCTTCTTGGAAGTACACCTACAGTATACTTCTTGTGAAGTATACTTCAAGTATACTTTTTAAGTGACTAAAAGTACTGTACTTTAAGTATACTTAAAGTATAACTGAGTTCCTAAGGGGGTCGCTGACCCGACATGAGTTACTTTCGTATCGGTCTGATTCCGTACCGTTCTCAGAAACGAATGTCAGACCGGGTCCTTAAATAGCATGCTTCTTCGTATGGCTCCATCATTTTTGCTTTTTCTTAGTAAAAATAGGAACACTATTATGGATAACATCAGTAAACAAGACTTAAGAGCGAATGTCTGTAAAAATCGAGCAACCGGCGGCCACGGTCAAAAATTAAATTTCGCTCATATCTTGTCCATACATACTTATTAGTAAGTTACTGTAAGTAACTAAACGTGGTGTAGTTTGTTTTTCAAAAGGCCGCTTGGATTTGGAGAAAATCGACAAAATCAATTTTCGTGGTCGGCGACTTGAAAACAACCAAAATTTTTGAGGCAAAATGAGGCGGTCTCAAAACTTCACTCGCACGCAAAAAGGAAGAAAGCGTGGTAAAATATTCGCCGATAAATCAATTTATAAAGGGTTTTAGCCCTAGTATGACGGTAAATTCTTATCTTAACGATAATGTGGAAGGTAGACAATTTTATTTTAGTTTTGGTTCTTTTTCAACTCAACGAAGTTAAAATTTAGACCTAAAGTCGCGATTTAATTTTTAGGTATGTGCTACACCTTGGTTTTCCCTGAAACTCAGGCTATAAGTTAGTTAAACATTGTACTAAAACATATGTAAGAACTGGCTTGGGTAATTTAATTTGCGCTTCAGACGAAACTTCTGAACTTGAACAAATTTTGAGTGAAATATGAGACGTTTGCATAATTCACCAACGGCTTGCTGTTGCCGAAAGGGATCATTGGCATTTCTTGAGAAGAAACCTGATGTACCTCTATAGTACGATAGTTAATTTGTTAACATGCAATAGAAATTAACGTACCTTTATAGTTTGGGGCACTTGTTTTACTTTTTCTACTCTCGAGTTCCAAAATTCTGCTGGCGCTAAGGCATTTTGTAATTTGACCTCTAACGAGAGGTCATTGGAGATGGGCCAGGTTATTTAAATTCTTTGGTTGAACAAAATATTTCACGAGAAAAATATGTTTTTAAGACATTTTCGGCGACTTGAAAGATGTTCTTATCATTTAATAGAATCAGTTACAACATAAAAGGAAGGAAGTGTGAGAAGACAAGGAGTGGTGTTGCGTGACAACGAACACCATCCTTCGAACAGAAAACAAAATTGTTTATACACTTCCTTGATGTTTCCAAAGTTATTTGTTGAATTATACAACAACTGAAAGGTTGCATAGTCTGGCTGCCAACAGTACTTGATTTAAAAGTGTAAAGTGGTGGTCAGTTTTTCGGACACCTGCGCGTGTGATAAAAGTAATGACTATTAAGGAATTTGGAAAACATCAAAATCATACACACTGCCAGTACACACGAACACTGAGTAGGTTTTAAACTTTGGACAACCTGGATAAATGATCTCGGAAGCGTTTTTTGTTTCGAGTGAAGAATCACAACAAAAAAATCACGTTATTTCATATGTATATTTTGGGGAAGGGTGGCTCTGAATCTTACTTGGGTACTACCTGGTAAGACTCCGATGGAAAGGTCGTTGAGGGGATAGAAGAATCCGTCGAAAGGGTTACGCTGTAACTCTTGCTCAAGGATGTTAGGTAAGCAATTCGCTCTAAACCCTGTCTCCCCCTTTTCAAATGCTTGCACAGGCTAACCAGCTTTAAAAACTCACATTAGCACACGCAACTAAGAAAATATTGCAAAGTAATTGGGGAAATGTTATCGAGGCAGGGCGGCCTTGTGGAGTGGTAGATGACGTAGTGCTATTTTCAAGTCTACAAACCTCTCCTTGACTGTGAAGACTTAAGGCATGAGTTTCAGTTTCTACTATCGAATATATACAATAAAAGAAACCTGGGGTCTAGAACGTTGACCTGTTCGTCTCTCATTCCTTTACCAAACGATATGTCAAAGTATATCAGACAATTTCCTCCTTACAGCATGCTCGGCTACTCAAACAAGCTTTAAAAAATCTGACACTAAGAAGATATACCGCAGATACAGCAAG